TTATGGCTGGGCACCCAGGTGATCCTTAATATGCCTCTGTGCAAGTACTTGTGAGATTGCACATGAAGCCCATGCCCCCAGGATGGCACTCATAGCCAAGACACCTGTCTGTAGGACATTGTGTGTGGGTGTGCATCTGTATGTGCCTGGTTGTGTGTGGAAGAGTGTGTGTGACTAGGAGGGAAAATGCACCCACTTATGTGATGGCTTGGTTTGTGCACACATGAGAATAATATCACGCGCCCTCTATACCTGGGTGTGGCAGTCTACATCAGACAGGGAGGCTGGGTACCTTGCCGTGCTGTCTCCCAGAAACCCATCTCCTGCAGACCCTGGAGCTGGCGGGTGCCCCCTCCGTCCCCCTGGTGATTGGCTGTGCCGTGTCCTGCATGGCCCTGCTCACGCTGCTTGCCATCTATGCTGCCTTCTGGAGGTAGGTCGGATGTTGGGCAGGGCAGGAGGTGGCCAGCAACTGCAGGTTGGGCAGGCAGCCAGCACCTCTGCTCCTGTCCACTGTGTCCTGTCAGGTTCATAAAATCTGAGCGCTCCATCATCCTGCTGAACTTCTGCCTGTCCATCCTGGCTTCCAACATTCTGATCCTTGTGGGCCAATCCCGGGTGCTGAGCAAGGCAGGTGCAGGCTCTGGGGGGTGTGGAGGGTGAGGGTGGAGGGTGTGTGCGGATGAGGGTGGGTGTGTTTGTAGGGATGTCCTTAGGGGTGGATGTGTGTGTACACTCAGCTGTGTGCTAAGGAGAGGTATGTGGAAGTAGTGTTTGAGCACCTATGAGGGTATTGAGGAGGCGTGTGTACTCAGTGATGAGTGTTTGTGTACAGCAGTGAATGTGTGCGTGAGCTGAGTGCTTGGGTGCACACGTCTGTAAGACCTCTTTTGGTCAAGAGGTCTGCAAGACCTCTTTTGCCACCTGCCTGTGGATAACCCCGGGGCCTATCCCTCATGCCCCCTTGGCCTTCTCTGCACAGTGCCAGCACTATGAGTGCCAGGTGTGGGGCCTGCCTGGCCACGAGGGGGCAGGTGCTCCTTTTTGTCCCCCTCCCTGTCAGCCCCGTCTGTGTGTGGGTGGCCTGCCTGCCCGCCTCCCCGGATGCCAAGTGCCGTGTGCATGTCACCAGGCCCGTGTCGTGCTGTGTGTGGGTGCAGGAAGGCGGGGGTGCCTGGCAGGGCTCTGTGGGGAGTGGGGCTCCAGTAGGCGGCTGTCCGCAACAGCGCCCAGCAGCCAGTGTGGGAAGCTAGTGCCTCCTGCCCTGGTGGCTGCTCAGGGCCACTCCCTCCGGTTCCCTGTCCCTGCAGGGCGTATGTACCATGACGGCTGCCTTCCTGCACTTCTTCTTTCTGTCCTCCTTTTGCTGGGTGCTCACCGAGGCCTGGCAGTCCTACCTGGCTGTCATTGGGCGGATGCGCACCCGCCTGGTTCGCAAGCGCTTTCTCTGCCTGGGCTGGGGTGAGCAGGACCAGTTCGGGACTCTGCTGCTGGGCTTGTGGGGCAGGGGCAGCCAGGGGGCTCTGCTTTAGCCCTGGCCCAGCTCTCTGGGCACCGGGGTCAGTTAGACTCATGGGTAGAGAATAAGGGTTCCTTGAATACCAGCAGCCATCTCACTTTGGCTCCCCCACTCCCTCAGGTCTGCCTGCCCTGGTAGTGGCTGTGTCTGTTGGCTTTACCCGCACCAAAGGATACGGTACATCCAGCTAGTACGTGGCCTACGTGGCGAGTGGGAGTAGAGTGTGGGGGTCTGTGTCTGTTAAGGAATTGGCCTGGGCATTAAGATTTACTTCTCTGGCTGAGATCATGGCCTACACCTGTTGTATGTCTCTGAAGAAGTTCCTGTCTATCTCTGAGCCTCAGTTCCCCTGACTGTAAAAAGTTGCACTGAGATTGGATAATCTCAAAGAACACTGAACTTGAAGTCAGCATATCTGATTTCATGGCAGCCCCAGTGGCTAGACTTGAGTTCTTGAAACTGAGGCTAGAGCCAGTGGCTCCCTCTCACACCATTGAGAGGAGGTCTCCACTGGTGATGTGGGCATGGCAGCCCTGAGGATTAAGAGGTGGGGTCCCAGGGTGGAAAGGAGCCTTCTGTGTTTCTGACACCCTTTCATCTCTCCCCACCCCAGCTGTTGGCTCTCTCTGGAGGGTGGCCTGCTGTATGCTTTCGTGGGGCCTGCAGCTGTCATTGTCCTGGTACGTGCCCCTTTGAGTGTTCTGGGAGGGATGTGGTCCTTGGGATTCTTCCTGTCCATCCCTCTGCCTCCTCCCTGCCTTCTAGCTCCCATTTGTGGGGTTTCCTGCCTGGAGGGTACCTCATGATCCTGTCTCCCCCCTCTCCTCTCTCCTGGGCCCACAGGTGAATATGCTCATTGGAATCATTGTGTTCAACAAGCTCATGGCACGTGATGGCATCTCGGACAAATCCAAGAAGCAGAGGGCCGGGTAAGAGAGGGCCTTTGTGACTCGGCCTTTCTGGCAAATGGTGCAGGGCGGGAGGGCAGAGGGCACTCTTGGAGACTCAGGGCTTGATGATGCTGACGGGCTCCCCAACCTTGGTGCATCAAGGGTGCAGGCAAGGTGGGCCCCCGTAGTGCTCAGCTGCAGCGCCTCGCCCACCCTAACCCAGCTCTCTCTCTCTTGCCTGCCCTCCCCCTCCCACCCCCTTGGGGCTCATTCTGCCCCTGTCTCCCGGTTTCCCATGTGTTTCCCCTTTTCCCATGTCTGTGCCGCCCCCGAGGTCGGAGCGGTGCCCCTGGGCCAGCCTGCTCCTCCCCTGCTCAGCGTGCGGAGCGGTCCCCAGCCCCCTGCTCAGCTCAGCCTCGGCCAGGAACGCCATGTTAGTCGTGCCCCCTGGGGGGCGGTGGGGGTGGGTTGGGGCAAAGGAATGGGGGGACAGTGCCCTGGGTGGGAGGAGGGAGGGATTTCATCAGCCCAGTGCCCTGGAGAGCTTGCCCTGCCCACCTATTGCCTCACACTCTCCGGGGCTCGGGATAAGGTGGCAGAGGGCAACGGGGAGTGACTGTCTGTGTCTCCCCAAGGTGCTGGGTTCCTTCACCCACCCGTCCCTCTCCCACTCCTGCCCCTGCTCCTGGCTAATGTTCTATCCAGGGTCAGCCACAGGCTCCTCCTCCTCCTCACAACACCAACCCACAGAGGCTTGGAGACTTTTAGGCCTTTAGAATTCTTGAGCTATGGAACCTTAGAATTAGAATGATAGAATCTTAGAATAAGACAATTAGAAGCTAAGAATGTTAGAATGAGTGAATCATAGTTTTAGCATCTGTCATAGAATCTCGAAGCACTGACTCTTAATCAATTGGAGACAGGATCATGGGAGTAGACAGTTACTTCATTGGAACCCACCCCCAACCCCAGAAGCTGAGAATCTTAAAATCCACCTATACAAGAATAGAGTGAACCCATAAGGGCCCAGGCCTCCCCTGCCACCTGGGCCGAAGGTCCGTCTGAGAGTTTCCTTGAGCAGTAAAGGTCCAGCTTTATCTTGCACACCTCCAGGATCCCTAGAAGCCTCCTGCACTGTATTGCAGGTTCTGAGGAGTGGAGAGTTCCCTCTGAGTTGCATTGCCATCTGCTCCCTGTCCTGACTGCCGAACCAGCAGTTAAAATCTTGGGCTTTGGTGTTAGCCAAGCTGGGGTTGTGTCCCAGATCTTTTCTCTCTGCCCAGCTGGGCACACTCCAGTTTCCTCATCTGTAAATCGTGGTACTAGCCCCAGGCCTGTTTATGGCAGTTGTTTTGATCACAATTCAAAATAATATATGTAAAACATTCAGTGTAGGGCCTGGCGTGGAATTGGTGGCTAATCAATGGTAGCTCTTATTACTGTGATTAGACGCTCTCTTGATCTTGACTCCGCCTCCAGAGCTTCAAAGACTGCTGTGCCTGCTCCCTTTAGGGCTGCAAAGCCCTGTGCCATTCTTGGTTTTGCCTCCCTACTCAGTTCTCTGCCTTGGCCTCCCCAGCTATCTCTGACCTGTCTGGAGCTTTGCCTGACACCCCCTCCCCCCGCACACTGCATGCTGTGGGCAGAGTGGGCCAGGTGCCCAGTAGGGCAGGGCAGCTGTTCATCCCTCATGTCTGTAGCAGGAGTGCATGGGGGTGGGGGATGCAGCCTGGAGGCCAGGGCCTGTCTGCCTTTTTCCCCTGCCCTCCGTGGCAAAGGGGCTGGGATATGTAGGCTTGGCCCCAGCTCTGCTGTAACCCTTCTGTCCAGGGCTCTGAGCAGCTACTGGGAGCCAGGCAGCTTCTCCAAGAGGAGCTGGGTGGACAGCCTCTGCCTTGCCAGTTCTGGTCCTGTCTTTTCTCTAAGGATTTGTGCTCTGGCCTCCTCCACGTGCTCTGCCTGTTTAATCTTACTGTCTGGGTCTCTATCTCACACTCTCGCTATGGCTGTCATTTCTCTGTCCTTCTTTTTCTCCTTTTCTCCCAGCCTACCCAAGTAGAATCTCTAGGGATGTGGCCCTGGCCTGGGTATTTTACAAAGCTCCCCAGGTGATTCTGGGCAGACTGGGGCTGCCACTCCTCATGCCTGCATCTATTTGCCGCTGCTTCCTCCCCCTTCCTTCCCACCTTCTCTGCCTGTGTCTCCTGACGGTCCCTCTGTCTGTGACTCAGTCCCACTCTGTGTGTCCCTCCTAGTTCTCCCAGGCCCTGTTCTGACCCATAGTTCCCTGCTGTCTCTGTTCACTGTCTCTGTGGTTTTCTACTTGGGGACACTACTGAGGTCCTGGAATTTGGGGGCCCTGCCAGTCCCCAAGCCACGTGGAGGCGTAGGCTCTTGCCATGCTGTCCCCCAGAGTGTCATTCTGATAGACCCTCTGACACTCTCCCCGCAGGGCCTCATTGTGGAGCTCCTGCGTGGTGCTGCCCCTCCTGGCGCTCACCTGGATGTCTGCTGTCCTGGCCATGACAGACCGCCGCTCCGTCCTCTTCCAGGCCCTCTTTGCTGTCTTCAACTCTGCGCAGGGCTTTGTCATCACTGCTGTGCACTGCTTCCTGCGCCGAGAGGTGGGCTGGGCCTCTCCCATCCCTGCCTGGCCACTATACCGTCAGGCCTCTGGCTTCTCCACTATGTGAACCACAGGGATTGAGGACTGACCAGGCTGTATGCCAGGGTTCCTGGGGTGGGAGACATAGCCAGTGGCAGTCAGGGCTCTGCAGTGGCGTGAGGCCCAGCAGATGCCCTCTGCTCCCAGGTCCAGGATGTGGTAAAATGCCAGATGGGTGTGTGTCGGGCCGATGAGAGTGAAGACTCCCCTGACTCGTGTAAGAATGGGCAGCTGCAGATCCTGGTGAGTGAGGAGGCCCGGTTACCCCACCTACCCTAGGCCATTCAGCTTCCTGTAGCAGGGGGGTGGGGGCAGAGACCAGGTTTGATTCAGACAGTGACAGTGGGGTGGCACTGGGCAGTACTTTCCCCATTCAGTTTGCCCTCCTGCGCTGCTGGGCTGTGTTGGACAGTGTGCTTCTGGCAGCACCCCTGGAAGGCGGACTGAGCAGAGCTCAGGTCCCCCCTCCCCTGATACACTGATCTTCCCTCTGTTCACCTGCTCTCTGCCTCTCCGCCTATAGTCAGACTTTGAAAAGGATGTGGATCTGGCCTGTCAAACAGGTGAGTCTGCTGGGATGGAGCTGATAGTGGCCCCAGGGATGGGCAAGAAGGGGGCCCCATTAGAGGAGGCTGTGGGAGTCCAGCTTTGGCATCATCAGGCAGCCCTGAGTTGGGGGCCAGGCTGTGAGTGCCACTTAGTGTATACATCTGGGAAACAGCTTCTCACTCTGAGCCTCAGTTCGCACACTGCACACTCATAGAGGAGAGAATGCCATCTTCCTGGGGCAGGTGGGAGGCTGGGAGCCTGTGTGAGTGAGGGGCCAAGTACGTGGTAGGAGCCTTGGCATTCATTGGCAGTTCACTATTAGATCATTTTCACAAGTCTTACTAGAATTTCTTTTCAGTCCTGTCTCCTGGAAGTGGTACCCAGGGGGCCTTTTGATAGCCTTGGGGTAGGGTAGGTAGAGGCCTAGATGTGCAGCGGGCCACTGCGGGAGCCAAACCTTGTGTTTGCTTCCTGCTCTGCCCTGCTGTGGGCCTCTGAGCCAGTTGTCTTATCCCCTCTGTTGTGTGAGTACTCAACCAATTCTCCAGGACTCAGTTTCCCTCCCTGTCCAAGGTCAGCTTTGGTACTTGCCCAGCCTGACAAGGGGCTCTTTCTCCTCAGGACTCACCTGTCCCTTCTCTTCTTGTCCCCAGTTCTGTTCAAGGAGGTCAACACTTGCAACCCATCCACCATCACGGGCACGCTATCTCGCCTGTCCCTGGATGAGGACGAGGAGCCCAAGTCCTGCCTTGTGGGTCCTGAAGGTGGCCTCAGCTTCTCACCGCTGCCTGGGAACATCCTGGTGCCCATGGCAGCCTCGCCAGGGCTGGGCGAGCCACCCCCCCCCCAGGAGACCAACCCTGTATACATGTGTGGGGAGGGTGGCTTGCGGCAGCTGGACCTCACATGGCTGCGGCCAACCGAGCCTGGTTCCGAAGGGGACTACATGGTGCTGCCCCGGCGGACTATGAGCCTGCAGCCTGGCAGTGGGGGTGGAGGGGGTGAGGATGCCCCCAGGGCCCGGCCTGAGGGGACCCCCCGGCGGGCTGCCAAGGCACTGACCCATACTGAAGGCTACCCCAGCTTCCTGTCAGTGGAACACTCGGGCCTGGGTCTGGGCCCTGCCTATGGGTCTCTACAGAACCCCTATGGGATGACTTTCCAACCACCACCACCAACACCCAGTGCCCGCCAAGTGCCCGAGCCAGGGGAGCGCAGCCGGACCATGCCCCGCACAGTGCCTGGCTCTACCATGAAGCTGGGCTCTCTGGAGGTGAGGGGCTGCAGGGTGTGAGGAGGGAGTCTGCTTATTGTGTGTCTGAGACCATGTTTAAGTCACAGGCTGCAGTTAGGAAGAAAGGGACGGCACTCAACGTTCCCAGAGTGGCACCTTGAGCCAAAGTGACCAGGGGTGTATGTGTTACGCATTTTTCTCTTTCCTGGGGCAGGCTGCTCCAAGGAAGTCCTGGGGTGTCTGAATCCCTTGCATGGGCTTGGACTTCATGCAAAGGGGGTATATTTTGCAGTTCCTTCACTCTTGTTTTCATGCCTATTTTGGGGTGACTGGTCAGGATGAGCCCTAGTTTGGGGAAGACAGTTGTCCAGGCGTGGTACTGAATTGTTAAGGAAGCCACACAACAGGAGCCGAGCCTGGCCTTCCTCACAGCTCCAAGCTTCAGTCTGGATGTTGCTGACTGGCAGTGAGATATTGAGTAAATCACTTCCTCTGTGTGCCTCAATTTCCTTGTGTGCAAAGGGGATAACAATAGTATCTTTGTAAGAGCCTTTGAAGGATTAATTGAGTGATGAGAGGCATTTTTTTTTTCCTTTGTCTTTTTGAGACAGGGTCTCACTGTGCAGTTCAGGCTGGCCTTGAGCTCACTTTGTAGCCTACGCTAGTCTTGAACTCACAGTGATCCTCTTGCCTCAGCCTCCCGAGTGCTGGGATTACAGGAGTGAGCCACCACGCCTGGCTGAAAGGCATTTGTTTCTGCGTGGAGCAAATAGGAAGTGCTAGAAAATTGGGTGTTGCTGTCAACATCAACTCTGAAATCAGCCTCAAGCCCTAGCTGTGGCCCCTGTCTTTCTGATATATCTCCCTGCGTGGCTCTCCCCCAATGTTTTTTGTTGATGTTCTTCCTTCCCCTTGGCTGACTCCCTGCAGAGATTTACTGGGAACAAGTAGGTGGCAGTGGCCCATGGCCCATGGGTAGTGTGGTCTATAGAACATTCTAGAATTCTAGTTGGAGCAATGAAAGGAATGTGGATAAGGAAGGGGCTGGAGTCATTGCTCAGAAACCATTGGCTGCCCATGTTCATCTGTAGAAATATGCTCCTCTGAGCTGGGGGTGGCTGTGTACCTCTGTAATCCCAGGGAGGCTGAGATGGGATCATGTTGAGTTTCAGGCCAATTTGAGCAACTTAATGAGATCCTATCTCAAAAGTTAAAAGAGATGTTACAAAAAGAGCTGGGAATGTGATTTTAAAAAAGGGGGGGGGGCTGGAGATTTAGCTCAGCGACATAAGCACCTGCCTTGCAAGCAGGCAGTCGCGAGTTCGATCCCTGGTACTGATTTTAAAAAAAAGAAAAAAAGAGCTGGGAATGTAGTTCAGTGGTAGAGTACTTGCCTGCCATCATAAGGCCCTCATTCAATTCAATTGCCAGTGCCACAAAAAAAAAAAAAAAAAAAAAAAAGAAGATGAAAAAGAAAAAGGAAACCTACCCCATCTTTTGCACGAAGAAATTTAAGTTAGTGGCTAAAGGGGTCACAAGTTTAGTTTTTCTCCTAAAATGCTTCTTGAACATTTGGTGCCTGCTCCTGCTACAGATGGCAAAAACAGGAAGGCATAACAAAGACAGAAAAAACCACTGGCTTTGGAGAGGGGTGCACTCAGCGTCATGGTGGGTTTCATTCTGTGGACACCTGCCCGTGATTGGCCACTGAGGGGGGGCCAGTGTTGGGCTCCTTGTGTGGGAAGTGGCTATAAATACACAGCAGTCCGAGGGCTCAAGGATGACGCGCAGAGTTGTGTGGGTAACTGTAATGGGCAGCAGACGAGGCAGAGGCACAGTTTGGGGCAGGGAGTCACAAGTTTGTGTGGCTGGGCCCAAGCTGTTTGCAGGCCTGTGCCTGTGGTAAAATGCTTTCCTTTGCCCATTGCCTCCTTCTTGCCTCCCAGCGGAAGAAGCTGCGGTATTCAGACCTGGACTTTGAGGTGAGTGCAGTGTTTGTTAGGGGATGGAGCGTCTGTCCTTGGAGGGCCACTGCAGGGTCTGACCCCAGGATGCTGACCGACTGTGGTTTCTGTGGAATCCTCCGTGTTCCCTCCTGCCCAGGCCTGGGCTCTGGGGCCAAGAGTTTAGCTGGCTTTATCCCAGAGGGGCTGGAAATAGGGAGGTGGGCCCAGGCTGCTGAGCATTCCAGCCAGGGGCTGCAGAGATGGGTCCATGGTGCTGGCCCAAGGGAGTACTCCACTGATGTCCAGTGGCTCCTAGAAGGTGATGCACACCCGGAAACGGCACTCAGAGCTGTACCATGAACTCAACCAGAAGTTCCACACTTTCGACCGCTACCACAGCCAGTCTGCGGCCAAGGTGAGGGCTCCTTTGACTGCTGCTGCCTAAAGCTTAGGGCTTCACCTCTGACCTGTGGCCCCAGTGGCAGCAGAAGTGGTGGAGTGTACCGTGGGTGGGGAAGAGAATGGAGCACATGCAGCATGAATCCCCCTGGGCAGGAGCAGGTGGGGTGGCTGAAGGGATCCATGCCCTCCTGCCATGCCTCGGCAGCCTTAGCCTGCTTCTCCTAGGACCTCTCCACAGCACAAGCAATAGTTCTGGTCTGCACAGGCAGTGGAAAGGCGCTGTGGATTGTGAGCTGCAGACAAGACTGAGTCTCAGGGGCCGCTGAGCATGGAGGGTCAGGAGGTCCAACTCGAGCCATGCAAATCTACATTTGAACTCTACTTGCCCTGATTGCTCTGTCACTGGGCAATGCTGGCCCTCTCGGGGCATCCTATTTGTTCTGAACAGTGGATGGGTAAGAAGATACTGACCCTCCCCAACGGGTTCTTCCCGCTCCTTCCACAGGAGAAGCCCAGCCCTGGGGAGCGTCCTGGCCTGTCCCAACATCGGCGGCATCAAAGCTGGAGCACCTTCAAGTCTATGACGCTGGGCTCCCTGCCCCCCAAGCCCCGAGAACGACTGACCCTGCACCGGGCAGCAGCCTGGGAGCCCACAGAACCACCAGATGGTGACTTCCAGACAGAGGTGTGAGTGCCACGCCGGACTGCCCACTGCACAGAAATATATATCTCTCTATTTTCACACTCCACTTTGGAACTACCCAGGAGCCGGCGCCCCCTCCCCCTCCCGAGGGCTGGGCAGGAGGCACAGAGGACTCAGCCAGGCTGGGAGAGCCAGACATGGTGTGGCCTGGGGGCCAGGGCCCCCCTCCTTGTTTCCAAAGGCCCCTTAGCCATGGAGCCCCATCTTTGTCCCAGCCTGTCTGTCCCTGTCCTGGGCTGGGGAGGGGGGAGGGGAACTTTGTTGGGAATAAACTTCACTCTGTGGATTTGGCTGCTGAGCTGTTTGCTTCCTCCAGGTGAAGGCCCAGGCTTGTGGCCTGGACCGTCCCTCCATCTTCTTAGTTCATCTCACTTGGTCTCATCAGATTTGTGATGAGGTCAGACCAGCCCTGCCTGGGAGGGACTGACTGGACTGTGACCCCATCTTGCCGCTGGCTCTCGGGGTGACCCTGCATAAATTACATGCCAGTGCAGGTCGAGGTGAGAAGACTGGAATAGGACTCTTTATGACCAGCTTTGCCCTGTGACTGCCATGATTGTGGCTGTTGTTCACTGGGGCACAGGGACCACACTGCCCAGGCTGGGTTTCTGTGAGGGACAAGGGATCAGCTGTGTTCTAGGAGCTTCGCACACATGACCCTGGGTCCTTCAACAGCTTTACTGGGGGCTGTTCAGTTGCCCATTTTGTGGGTAGGAAAATGAAGTCAGAAATGGAAAGTGCCTTGCTCAAGGCCAAAGTCAGAAGCAGAGTTGAGGCTAAACTCGGGCTTGCTGAAGGTGGGCCTCTTGAGACCTGAGCTTCGAGACTGCGGGGAGCTGCAGGAGCTGGTTGTGGAGGAGCCTCAGGTGCTAGGCTGGTCAACTTCTGGTGGATGTGGGGTGTAAGAGGAGGCTGGCTTGGGACCAGAGGCCAGGGCCTGGAGACTCACTGCTGGGTTAAGTCTTACACGTGTGAGTGAGCAGACACTTGCTCAACCCTGAGTACCCAGGAAGAGGGGCAGAGGAGCCACATGTGGAAATACTTTGTGTTGTTGTGACATGGCTCTTTTAAAGTTAAATGGCGCTTGGGGCAGGGTACAGTTAGCAGTGGCCATGGGTGGTGCTGGCCTGGTCATTTAGCAAGTGGTTACCTCAGAGTCCCTCCTAGGGGTTAGGTGATGTGGGATCCCCGATGAGGGTCAAGGAAGAAGGCCCAGATGGTCAGAGTGGGGGATCAGCAGTTGATGGCCTCCTTGAGGGGGTTGGATGGGGGGTGATGGCCCCCAGAGTTCTGCAGCCCTTGATGGCCCAGGTTTCCTCTCAGTCCCATTGAATCCTGCCTGAGGTGGGGCCTGGCCACAAGCCGTGTGGGCAGAGTCCTCCAGGTCCGAGCTCCAGACGCTCAGCACTCTGGCAACTCCTCCACCTCCCTTCCCTCATTTAATTGTACAAAGCACTACCTCATCTGATGTTTGAAAACAGGAATTGTGACTCCTGCATTTTATGAGGTCAATGTGACTTTCCCAAACTTCCGGAACTTGTGACTGTCCTGGGGTGTGACTGGGAGTGGCAGAGTTTGATGCCAGCCAGTTTCAGCACAAGCTATGGGCATGTGGGGTGCTGGTCCCTGTTGGAGGATGTTCATCCCCTCCCAGTTCGCTGTGTGTGGGCTTTATTCTTTTAGGCAGGCTTCCTCATCCCCTGGGCCCACCAAGCTTCCTCTTCTCAGCTCCCATCACTCAATTTTGCCCCCAGAGGGGAAGAAACTTTCCTCTTGAATTCCAATTAGAAAAGCCCTAAGGAAGGCAGGGCTCTGATTGGCCCTAGGGCCTCTTCAGGAGACCCTGTAGAGACGAGGGGAACAGATCTGAAAAGGAGTCCGTCCTAGAAGGAGGATGATAGGTTTACACAAACAAAGGCTTGTCCTGACTATGTGCCAGCTAACCCCACATCACATCCTGGCTGGGCTCACATCTCCGAGCCTCCCCTGCCACCACTGAGTGCATTTCTTAGTCTGTTTCCCTAAGTTCCTGCCTGGACTCTGCAAGCTGGGCTGAGTTCCCATGTGTGTTCCCCTCCCTTCTGGTCCTTTCTTTCTTTGCATCTGATTCAAGGAGGAAATTGTGTCCACCTTGTTGATTCTGCTCCATTAGCAACCTCAGCTGCCAACAGGCACTTCTGACAGCTTTAAGACCCCCCACTTTAAGGTAGAGCTTTTCTCGGATAGGGCCTGTGCCCCTGGGAACCCTTGAATCCCAGTACAGACTTGCTGTGTAACAGGTAACAACCCTGTTTGACTTGTGTTTCCTTATTTGTAAAATGAATTGGCCTAATATCCCTTCCATTTGGGCTGATTTCTAACAACCTGCCATTTGTTGCCTGGGCTTGATTTTTTTTTTTATTTCCTCTTCTTTCCCTCTCCCCTTCCTTTCCCCTTTTCTCCCTCCCCTCCCCTCTCTTTCTCTTTCCCTCTCTTTTCTGTCTCTCTTTCTCCTCGCCCTTCCTTTTTTTTCCTCCAGGACAGGGAATTTGAACTTAGAGCTTTCACACTGAACTTCACCCCAGCCCCTCCCCGCTTTTTGGAGAGAGGGTCACTAAATCACCCAAAATGAGCTTGAATTTTTAATCCTTCAGCCTCCCAGGTGCTGGGGTTAGAGGTGTGCAGCACCACATCTAGTTGCCTAAGCTTCAATTTCTAACCTCATTACCCTTATTTTCTCAACTTCCACTCACCAGCCCTTCACCAGTGGACCAAGTGTGATTATTCCAAAATGTCAATCAGGCAGGGCCACTGCCCTGCTCAGAAGCCTTTTATAGCTCCTAGAATTAGTCTAGAAAACAAGATCCTAGGTGATGTTAGCCTTTCCTACCTGTCTTGGCCCATCTCTCATCTCTGAACCTGCTATGCACATTTCCTTCTGCCTACACCACCATCTGCACTGGCAAACTCTCCTTTCCAGACCTTGCTCAGGTATCCCCTCTCCATGATGCTGCTGTTCCTGAACCTCTGGCCCAGTCAGCATTCACTGGACCCCCTCAGCCCTTGGTACACACGGTCACTGACACACTAATGACACAGAGTAGCTATCCCTGTGTCCACCTGGCTCCAAGGTGTGTGCATGGAGCCAGGACACACGGAGCGGGCCTCAGCAGGCCTCTACTGAGTGAGGGGATAGCATACACAAGGCTCTTGAGCCACGGTTCCTCATCTGCCAAGGGTGGATATTGATAATCCCTATCCAGGTGTTCAGAGCATGACTTGAGATAATTCATTCGGTCTCTGTCCCCCACCCACACCCCATTTCTCTCCTGGCACATGCTAGGTAGCTGTGGATAATAGCTCAGTGGCAAAACACTTGCCTAGCATGTGGGAGGCACTAGGTTTGATCTCCAGTAAAACATCCCCCACTCTCCTCCAAAGACAAAAACAAACAAGTGAAAAAACTGGGAAACATTCTGTAGCTGTTACTGACTCCTGCAAGTTATTTCTTCCTGGGCCTCAGTGGTATCTCGGGCGCACACTTGGGACGCTGTCCAGAGTGCTGAAATGAACTTCGCTTCCTAAGAAGGAAGACAGCAAGGCCACCCAAGGTCAGCCTCTCCTTGGCTTCCAGGCTGTGTGTCCTGGAGAGCAGACTATCCTTATCTAGTTCCTAGGGGCTATCCAAAAAATACCACCTAAACTTAAATAACTTTTAAAATTTTAATAGCCATTTTTAAAATTTTTAAAAATTGAAATTTTAATAATAGATTTAACCCAATATATTAAAATTTCCCTTTTGACATATAATCAATATAAGACATTACCAAACAGTTTACATTCATTTTCGTACTAAGTCCTTGAACTCTTATATGTGTTTTGTACACATAACACGTCTCAATTCTGTCTCGCCACATTGCACATGCTCAGTACTCACCTGTGGTGGGTGGTGGCCACACTGGACAGCACAGCTCCAAGCAGAGCAAAGGTGGTTCCTATGGGCAAGTATTTCAGTGTCCTCTGAAAAAAAGGAAGCATCTCAGCATGACCTATCTCACTGTACACAGAGAGGATCCCAGAAAGTGATTTAGTGTGGTGCCAACTCAGGGGAGATCTGTATCAGTCAGCTTCCTCCCCTTGCTGAGACCCACAGTTTAAAGAAGGAAATGTTTGATTTAGCTCATCATTTTAGGAGATTCAGTCCACGGTACAAGGCTGGCTCTAAGGTACAAACCTCAAGTTGGAAGGCTGTGGTGGAGCAAAGCTTCTTATTCATGGCAGCAAGGAAGCAGAGCAGGGAAACAGTGGCAGAGAGGAACAGGCATGGGGTTAAATACAGTCACCCACACCCACCTCCAAGACCCGTCCAGACATACCCAGGGTCATGCTCAATAATCTTCTAGCCATTTCTTAATCCAATGAAGTTAACATTTCAGGAATAACAGCCACAAGGTCCCAAGTCTCCTGAAATCTAGATATTCTGGAAATACAAGTGGGCACAGAGAAAGTGTGGGGAAGTAGGAAAAGGTCCTGAGGATACCTGTGGGCTGGTCCTGGGATTGTCACAGCAGGACTAAGGAAAGGTTATATTCCCTCTCCTGTCCCTACCTCCACAACCTGTCATTTCCCTCCCACCTGCAAGCCCCAGACCCTGGGAGAAGTGAAGCAGATTGGGGCTGGCACTTGAGCACACATTAAAATTCAATTGGGTTTCGTTCACTTTCATTAGGTACAAATTAAAAGGAAATTAGGTGGTCTGGTGAGCTGAGGGAAGACCCAGGGCAGGGCAAGCTGCTGCTGACTTCAGCCTTTCTGGACTTGTTTGCCTCTGTACTTCCTCATGTCCACCTCATGCCCACCTCTGTACTTCATGGGGCTCACACTTGGGACTTTTTCCCTCAAGGGTGTTTCCCCTCAAGGGTGCCTACTCCAGAAAGACCACCCCTTCTCAGATCTTCAAGACATATGCTAAATGTCCAGTGTAAGGAAGATTCCATTGAGGGTTTTTGTAATTTAAAACTAGCAGGAAGTCAAGGGAGGGTATCAAGCTGATGATAGGATGCCTAGGTGGGTGTAAAATGGATCGAGAGATCTCCAAAGAGTGAGGGTAGCTTCAGACAGCCTAGTAAAGAGCAATGCAGGAGACGGTAGAGGAGCGCTATGGTGGAGGAAGGGTGTCTGTGTGTGCAGCGAGCAGAGCTGCCAGCCATGCTGTGGGCTTTGGTCTCACCCATCTGGATGTGTGATCATGCCATTACCTTAGAGGCAACGAAGAAGACCAGCTTTGGGGAAGACAACTGTAAATTTGGCCTTGTACGTGTTAACTTCAGTCGAAAGATTTTGAGTAGATAGTAGGTGGTTGAATACACAGGGCTGGAACTCAGGAGGGTGCTGTTAGGGTTGCTGGCAGGAAGCCAGGTTGGAGTGGGCTGTCAAGTAAGTAGAAGGTGAAGACAGGAAAGTAGTGTAGACAGCTCTTAAGGTGGAGCTTTGAAAAGGGGAGAAAAAGCCAGGACCTGCTATAGGATCTGAAAGTAAATTAGCTACAGAGAATGTCCTTACCCCTCCCCAAGATTCTACATAATGACAAACTAAAAATAACCAGCCCGCCACCCTAAAAGGCAGGGTCCTGAGATCTAGGAATGGATACCATCATGGGGATTGATTCTGCTTATATATGGGGCTGCAGGGCAGCCACAGTTCCTGAGGGGAGGCCAAGGAGAGTGTTGGGAGGTACTCAACAAATTCTGACTATAGGACTTACAGGAGGAGAGAATGCTGGACCCCCTGAGGAAGCTACCTGGTGCAAAACAAAGATGTAGGCACATTATGCTTGCACCCTGCAGTCCCCACCCTGTCCCAACATTTAAGTAGGCAAGAGTGGGACAGCCCCTCCCCTACCTCAGCCTCAGCTTCCCACCGGGCCTGCTCCAGGTTGGTATGTCCCTGGCTTCTGTGGTGGCACTGCACAACTCAGGCCATCAATCCAGGCGTCCCTAGAGTCAACCAAAAAAGTCAATATTTAATTTGGGCACCATGTTAATGCCATCGATTGTAAGCGCCCCCCTGCCACTTCCTCAGGCTCATTTGTCACTTCTCACTAACTGCATGTCTTGGGGGTAGGATGGGGTGCTGGAACCCAGTGGCAGCAGAGCTCAGCCTAAGGTTGGCTTGGGGAAACTGGCCCACATGTGAGGGAAAGAGCCCTGAGCCATCCAGCTTCCTATTCCCCTTGAACATCACTGATCTGCTTTTTCTGACTTTCCTGAGCCCCCATCTTGGGGAATGGAGGTCAACTTTTTTCCCCTCTGAGGATGTCAGGTGTATAACATAGAGGGTTGAACAGGAGCGGGAAGGATGGAGCCTATGCAATACACCACTGTAGGACAGCAGCAAGGACTGACCCGAGGACCAGAGTCCATGGGCTGTATAGGCTCAGCTTCCCTCTCCCTTGGTGCCCACCATGTGTCTCACACCTCTCAGGAGGGCCCTAAAATGAGCTCTATCTCTAGGTCCTGGAAAGGGGCTTGGGAGAAGTGTTGAGCTTAGAATCTTAGGTCTCAGGTGAGCAATGAATGGGAGGCTATAGGAGGACAGGGTCCATTCCAGGCTAGGCTGGGTCCAGTTCCATTTTATTCTCGTCAGCTCTCTGGACCAAATGGTGACTGTGTCCTTCTGGCTGACATCACATCACAGAGGGGACAACTGGGTGAACCGTTATATTTAGGAGTGGCTGACCCAATGTGCCATCTACCTTGGGACCAGCAGGGCAGCAATAACACATATACACACACATGTCAGCTGAAAGAAGAGCTTATCTAGACGTTTGTAACTGGAAATACAAAAATAACTCATTTTCCTTTCAGCCTATGTGCAAGTGTGATGAGTCATGAGATAGCACAATTTCCATTATAAATATACATGGAAAGCATTTCCTTGGGTAGGGCATCTACATGTCTTCCTCTGGCCCAGATGACCTCCACCTGGAGCTGTCTAAAGACTTGTTGGCCCAGATGGTCCCCTCTGAGCCATTAAGTCAAGCTTTGAGCCAGAAGAACCTGACTTTTCATTTGGCAATCGCTGTCTGTGCTGGACCTTGGATGAAGTCCTGACAATGTCAACATGAGGAAGACGCAGTTTTCTTTGGTTCCTTTCTTTCTCTCTTGCCAGACAGGCGCTGTGCCACTGAACTATCCCCCGGCCTGAAGACAGTTTCTAAGAAGGATACCAAGCAGAGGAGCTGGGGGAAGGGATAGATTTTCTTTCCAGGGCTTCCAACTAGTCTTTGAAGTTAAGGCTCCTCAGATGGTCCAAGAGGCCACGCATAACCTGGTCCCTGCCCACTGCTGTGACTCTCCTGTCACTCTGCCCTCACCGAGCTGCAGCTACGTGGCCTCCTGTCTGCACCTTGAACATGTCTCACGGTTTCCCAGGGTCTTTGCATTTGCTGTACGGGCTGCTTGAAAGATTTGCCTGGTTTTCTTCTTTGCTGGTTCATCTTTTGATTTTTTGCTCCAAAGCCCTCCAGAAAAGCTTTGGTTACCTCCTGCCCTCTGAATCATTTTTTTAAAAAACTCACATCATCCTAATCCCTCCATAGTATTATTTGCTCTATCTAAAATTATATCACCTATTTCCTGGTTATCATCAGTCTCCCCCACTGGTCTGTGAGCCCCTGAGGGCACAAGAGAGTCATATGCTATGATACAGATGCTGTGGCCTGACACATGACAGGAACTTAATAGATAGAAATTGCTGAATGAATGAATGAATGAGTAAATGAGGAGACACTTGTGGGGGGGACATCCAGAAAATAACTGGAGCTAAGCATTTGGGCCTCAGCACCCTGCCACAGGCAGAGTGTGTCTATCTACGCCTGGGGTGGGGAGGCCTTGCTCTTGCAGGCTTGGAAGGGGGAGCCCCATAGGACACCAGCCTCAGGGCATGCATATTGCAGAAGGCTCATTCCTTGAATATTAACTCACTGCTGGACTGGCAGCCCTGACTGTTTCTGAATTTTTCACTGTCAAGGCCAACGGCTGACTGAAGATGGGGGCTGGGAGGACTAAGAATCTACATCCAGAAGGCCACATACAATTTTGTGAGTGTCACATGCAGCTGTTTAGGCAGAGGCTTGCTCCCAAGCGGCTGTGCATGGTGCTATGTACGCAGCTGCAGCTGCATGTCTGAGCATGAACATGTTTTGTTTTCAGCAGGGCCTGTGGCACACAGAAGTTAATTAGGTTTTACATGCCATTGCTTCCAAACTGAACTGAGGGAAGGAAGGATTAAGAGACCATTGAGTTCTACTCCTCCCATTGTGCAGGCAGGAAAACTGAGGCCCAGAAAGGAGAGGATGCTTGAGGTTACAACATGAGTCCTCAGAGGAGCAGATTATAGCTTAGGGAACAGTCATTTAAGCAGAAACTGGCTTCATGCTGGACGGTGGGGACTGCCTACAGCAGAGAAGCCCATGGACTAAGAAAAGATGCTGAGAGAAGAGAAAGCCATGGGCATAAGCAGTATGCTCTAGGGCAGGAGGGCTCTCCTCTGCCTTGGGGGAGGGCATCAGGAAGCGTTAGAGAAGGAAATACCCTGAGCTTTGAAAAGTATTGAAAGCTCAGCAGACAGAGAAAGGGGAAAGGGCACTCCAGGCAGAGGGTGCCACATAAGCAAAGGCATGGAGGCATGAAACAGCCCTGCAAGTCTGGAGAACTGCAAATCGTGCATTTCTGCTGGAGAGGAGAGTGCAGGGATGGGCTACAGAGATGAGCATGTGAGGGAGGTGGGTTGTGACCCTTGTGGGCCTTGTGGGTCATGAAAGAGGTGTGGATTTTACTTTATTCCAAGGGTTATGGGGCAGCCACTGAAGCAGATTTGAATTTTAGAAGGATCTCTGTAGCTACCGTGTGGAAAAGTAAATTCGACAAATACATTCCAAACGAGTACTTACTAAGTGCCAGGCACCACGCTGCGCCCTGAGGATCCAGTTGTGAATGAGGCACGTGGGTTTCAGCTCTGTATTGGAGATGTACACAGCCAGGTGTAGCAGGTAGGAATCTTGGCAGGCAAACAGAATGCTGTTTCTGTACTATGTAAACCAACCCCAATCAGACTCACTCTAAGCCTTTTCCTATAAGTTGCAGAAAATTCCATCTCAGTCATTGCTGGGATGCTTCCTTTCTCCTCTCTAGGCTTATGCAGGACCTGCTTGTGTAGGACCTACCGGCCCCTCCTGTGCGCCTAAGAATGGAGGAGGTGCTTCCTGTCCTCGGTCACACTGGTCACACAGAGATGCCCATTGTCCTAGTCCACATGGTTCCAGGAGATTCAGTGACTGCTGCTGCCCTGCTCCCTTGTGAAACTGAAGCCAGTACCCAGAGCCTGGGCTCCAGCCTCCTTAGCTGCGTTACCACCCATCCCTGGGCTCCAGTCACCCATCAGGGGAAGAAGACCTCCCACTTCTGTCCCCTGGGCAGCTATTTCTCCTTTGTCTATCCTCCCGTCACTGGGGAACACCTAGCACAGTTGCTTCCAGAAGGTTACTTTTTCAAAAGCCAGAACGCTACACCAGACTTCAAGCAGCTTTTGTATTCAGCCCAGTGCAGTTCCCCGAGGCTGGGAAAATCAAAGGCCTTGGTTACCAGTTTGGAAGCAGGAGGGGGAAACACAGGGGAGCAAAGCAATTTCTGTCTTGATAAGTCGTCCTGTCTCTAGAGTGACTGGGCAGTTAAAAAGATCCAGGCCGCGGCTGCTCTGCAAGTATAAGTGTGCACTGGGGGCCTGTAGGACCTCAGACAGGTACCTAATTCATACCTGGGGGGCGGGAAAGACCACCTAAGGTGAAGGGTTCTTGCCAGATTGAGCTCTGAAGGCAGAGATGGCTGGGAAAGGGGTGAAAACCAAGGACTTCCCTGACCAAATGGAACGCAGAAAGCCCCTTTGAGAGTGATGCCAGCGCAGCAAGAGGTGGGGCTGGGTGGTGAAGAGACTCCTGAGTCCTGAGCCAAGGTTTGGAGGTTATCTGGACCAGGAAGAGTCACCGAAGTATTTCAGTCAAGAGGGTGACACAACCAGATTTGTATTAGAAACACCAAGATGTAAAGGATGCAGGAGGAAAACAGCAAAATCAGAGGCAGAGAGCAGTTGGCAGGTGCTTCAGAGACCCTTGGCTGGGAAGGAGAGAGGCAGGTTCCAGAGATAATCACCATAAAGGAGCGGCAGGACTTGGAGCGCAGCAGAGGAGGCCAGATGTTAGAGTGGCTCCCATTCTATCTGGGGCACATCGCGGAGATGGAATACGCTGGACGGGAGAGTGGCCTGTAGGTGCCAAAGGGACACCCAGGGAAAGGAAGGACTCCGGTGCTGGGTACCGCCTCCCTACCTCAGCACTCCGCGATTCCTAAACTTCCCACTAGATGGTGCCGGGAGAACGGGCTCCACCTCCCACTCTCCGCTCCTCACCCCTAGAGGTCTGGGCCTCAGCTTGGCCCTCTGCAAACACAGCTTCCGGAACGGCAGCATATGTGTCCAGCTGTCCTAACGCCCCACAACCGTGGCCTCAGCTCCCAGGGCTCTGTGGTAGGCACATCCGCTAGAGACTTCTGCCACGGGCCACGTATACACCTCCCCGTGCCCAAATACACAAGGCTGTTCCTGGGCCTCCAAGACTGCCTGGCTCCTGCAGTTTACAGGCTTCCAGGGGCCGCAGCGCTGGAGTCCTCTCACCCCTAAGCCCGGAAATTCTCCTCCGTGACCCTACGCAGCGGAGGTCTCCTCTCTTTCGTGTCTGCCGGAGCCCCTTGCATCTACCTACACCTCTGGATCTTGGGACAGGATGCAGGGCTGGCCAGGGCTGGGCGGAGCCACGGAGGAGGCGGAGCCCACGTGGAGTTGTTAGAGCGCCCAGACGGTGGGTGTGGCCGGAGCTGCCCCCGGCCTGGTCCGTAGAGGGCGTGGGCGGCGGCTTGGCTCTGTAGGGATCGGGGACCCTGGCAGCTCCCCAGGCTCTTCCACCCTAGCCAGTTCTGTCGGCCACCCAGCTGGCTCTGGCCTGGCGTCTCCTAGGCAGACATATGGATCATCCGGAGGCCGCTTGCCCCACTTAACAGAGGTCGTTTCTCTGGGGGCAGTACCCAGCTCTCTGGAACCACCAAGACTTTTGGGCAGGAGGATGACATCCCAGTGCCCAGTGCTTCTGTCTTTTTCTATTTTAGACGTACAGCTGGAGGGACTAGGGCTCGAGTCCCAAGAGAGAGGAGCTATTCAAGCCTTTGCGCCCACACGGGGCCCCCTTCCCTGCAGCTTTGCGCTGGAGCCCAGAGCCAGTTCTAAAAATAGGCAGACGCTCGGAAGGCGCGGGTCAGGGAGCCTGCGTCACGCGCCGGGAGCGCCTTCCCCGCTCCCCCACGGTCGCTAAGGCTGCCCTGATGGGCCAGGCATCACTCAGAGCCTCTTGGCCCGACTCTGCGCCGTTGGCCCAGCCGTGCTTGCCTCCCAGGCAGGGGGAGCAGTAGCAGCCACAGCCGGGAAAGATTAGGAGTTCCTTGACCTGATTTATTTGGTTGTTTTTGTGTCTGGAGATGGTGTTCCCGCCCTGCGGGACGGTCATGTCTGCACCTGCCCATCTCTGCTGCCCAAGCTCACCAGGCTTTTGGGTAGGGAATCTGGGCTCGGACAAAAAGTCCTGACTGGGATTTTAGAAGTTCTATAGACAACACTCAACACAGATAACAAAACCAAATTCCAAATGGGAAGGGGACCCAGCATAGGACAGTGTGCTGTCTCTTAGCAAGCAGGCCCCTTGCTTAACTTCTTTCAGAGGACCTGTTCCCTCCCATAAAGTGCCCAGGTTGAGGCTGACACCCAGGTATGGCTCATTCATCCATAAAAAGGAAATAGTTACACATGCTTTACATTGTCTGGATGATTACAATAACTTTTTTCAAGAAACAGAGGCAGCACATTGAGAGTTACACCTAGTTCAGTCCCAGCTAGAAAATTAGTTACTGTCTCTGGCAGCTTTTTTTCCTCCTTCCCAGTACAGAGGAGGATTGATGGGCTGGTGTGGTGAGCTCCTTGAAAGAAGGAAACAGAGGGGCTGGGGATTTAGCTCAGCAGCATAAGCACCTGCCTTGCAAGCAGGCAGTCGTGAGTTCGATCCCTGGTACCGATAAAAACGAAAAGAAAAAAAAAAGAAGAAGGTAACAGAAGGGTCCAGCTAAGGTGACATGGGACACTTGGACAGATTTGGGACACCTGGTAAACTGTGAGACCTGCGTGGGGAAGGAAGGGTGGCATCCTGGGCTTCACATAGATCTGGCACCTCATACCACTCTCCAGAGTGATGAGAAGTCATGTTTGAGCCATTATGGGTTTAAGACTCTCAGACTTGGGGAGTGGAAGAGGCTCAAGAGTCCCCAAGTTCAGCCTTTCCCAGTGGTCAAGGGTAGGGAGCCACCTAAAGCCAAATGCATAGAGGCAGACTCTGTCCTCAAACCCAAGTCTCTAGTCCTAGGCTCTTACTGCCTTCTACAGGAAGGGTGTTTCACTCACACACAACAGCTTTAGGTCTTTTTTGAATGGTCAAGGCTGATGGATGCACCAGTTGGTTTTATTTCTTTGCATACTATTATTTAGATCCCTTTTTAGAAAAAAAAACTATTATGTGTCAGAAATATCACTGACCTCTTAAGCTACATGAAATCAGAAATATGAATAATGAAATGAGGGGAGGTAAGGGGAAACAGAGATGAGGATGGGTGTGAGATTCGGGCTAGAGTCTTTGGTAAATTACCAACCATCTCAAATACTAATATTAAGAATAATCAACATCTTTAAGCATTTACTATGGGCTTTTTTAGTAAAGCATTGTTCCGTATAATCTTCAAAAAATTTTTATGTGATTAATCATTATTATTATCACCCATTACAGATAGGGAAATGATGTCTCAGAGAGGTGGAAGATCAGAGAACAAAGCCAGGAAGCAGCAGAGCCAGGCCCAGACTCTCTCTCTCTCTGACCTTCAGCTCTGTGTTCCGCCTCAGTGAAAAGTTGGGTTTGCACCCTGGATGTTCTCCTCCCCCTCCCCACTCCTGCAATCCTGTCTGGCTAAGCAAGTTGTCAGGCCTCTCCAGCCCAGCCTTGGGCACTGCTTGGGAGGAGGTGGGGCTGAGCAGCAGCCAAAGCTTCTCCCCACACAGAGATTCCAGGATTTGAAGAATTTACAAGTCCAACTGTCTGAGGCTCTTGCATGCTAAGAAAGAATCAGGAAGTCCTTGGCTGCTCCCACTTCCCTGCGCCTAATCTGGATACTCCTTGATTTGCATCTCAGGGAAGGGATCTGTCCTCAGAAGGAGCTGGGCCCCCTCTTCCATATTCATGCGACAAGGATTTAGAAAGCACCTAGGTTCTGTCTCAGGCTCCTGGAAACATAGTAGCTGAAGCAGGGCCTTCTGTGCCGTGGGTTACCCTAAATGGGAAGGGAAGGTGAGAGCAATCTCAAAGCTACATGCTTGGGGAGAGAGAGGAGGAGAAGGAAGTGAGCCAACAGATTGTGCGTATTGCGGTGGTGAGGGTTACACACACGTGCTTTGTGGGTCTGGAATAGCTGGCATTTATGGAGTTTCGGGAGCCACACTCAGCACTTTGCATGTATCCTTACACTAACCCTCACTGCGTCCTTGTGAGGTAGGGATAATTCCATTTCACCAACAAGGAAGCCGAGCCTCTCTGCAGAACAGGGGTAATTTGTCAAAAGTACACAGCTTGCAAATAGTAGAAGCAGGATTCAAACTCAATAGCCACTGTTCTGAGCTCTCATTTGATCATTTTGTTTGGTTGCTTTTTGAGACAGGGTCTCACTATGTACTCCATGCTGGCCTTGAACTCAGGACAATCCTCTTGCCTCAGCCTCTGGAGTGCTGGGATTACAGGCATGTGCCAACATACCTGGCTACCTCACTTTTGTAGGTCAGTGGTGGGGGACTTATGGCATGCACTGCAGCTGGCATGCAGAGCCCTCTCTGTCAGGACACACTCCAGCAGCTGAGCACTGGATAATGGCTGGGTTTTCTAAACTAAAACCTATTGCAGTGTTGGTGCTTTGTGATAAATAAGTGCGTTTTGGGGTGCAGTTTGGGCACTCAGTCTCTATAAGGTTCACCTAACCTATATACACGTGAATAAATTAAGGTCCAGAGAGTCCTTGGGGCAGGCTTAAGGTCACACAGCAGAGCAAGATAGACCTAAGTTGATGCTTGGTTAAGGGTACACAAACTATGTCACAAAGATCTTGGGAGATCAACACTGGCTTGTAAAGTTTGGGATTCTTAGGAGTGGACAGGCCTGGAGGAAATTTGGGAGTCAAGCCAGCCTGAGTGTCCTCCATGCCTGCCTCAACTATACTCCAAGAGGCCCCATGCTAAGAGGCAGAGGCCCCTGGATATACCCGGGCAGATGTTGACTACATTTCAATGACCCTCCTGTGCTAGTAGGTGTTCTCTCTGCTCTGCTTGACACAGGCCTGGGGAGATGGCCAAGAAACAGAAAAGAAGTCTCTGCCCTCTGGGAATTCTTTCCGTCTGGGCCAGGAACCGTTACCTAGGTTCTGATAGAGATGAGCAGGAGCATTCATGGTTTCAGCACCATGAGAGGGGTTCCCCTTTATGATCATCAGCTGAGTAATAGACACAGCTGTTCTCTGTGTTTTCAAAGGAGGAGTTAAGTGGTATCCCCAAGCTGCAGAGTTGGCAAGGGCTGGTGGCAGGATTTGAACTTGGTTACAGGCAATCTAACATTGTGCTCACTGCAAGGTTTTCAAATGGCTGCCCTGGATTAGCATCATCTGGAAATTTGTTCAAAATGTGAGCTCTAGGGATTCAGAAGCTCCAGACATGGGCCTGATCCAATTTGCAATCTCCTGCTTTCCTGCCTCACAGCACTCAAAGATTGTGGGTGACCTAACTGTTTGAGATCATGGGCCCAGGGGTTGGGTTCGAGGTCACACAGCAGTTCAGGGCTCTGCTGCTGGCTTGTGACACTGAGACTTAAATCTTGAACCCTTGGTGTTGTGGTGAAATGGAGGCCATAATGGTGCCCTGCCTCCTAGAAGAGTTGCTAGGATAAATGGGACAAGTGGGTCCTACTGGACAGATGAGAAAGGAGGCCCAGAGGGAAAAAGGACTTGCTCAGGCACCTGCCTCCTGGGCTCTTTCACAGACCGCACTCTGCCTTGTGGGACTGGTTCAAATCCGGGCTCCGTCTGAATCCTTTCCGCCTATCTCCTCATCCCTTGCATAGGAATGGTAACAATGCCTCGGCCTCCATGGCTGTCCTGAGATTAAATAGAGTTTCTCTATGGACGGTACAGACCAGCACTTTAAAAGTGCTGCTGCTGTTATTAAAGGTAGATCCAGAATCAAAATCTGGTGTCCTGAGTTTTCTAATGACTTCCACCTATGGTCAGAGTGTGATTAAGAGTTTAAAGGACGTCAAGGAACGAGGGGATCCTGTGGGCAGAAGCTCCCCTGACACACGGCAGGACTTCTCCTCCATACTACTGACATTTGGAGCCAGACAGTTCTTTATTGGGAGGACTATTCTGCCACTGTAGGATGCTTAGCAGCATCCCTGACCTCTGCCCTGTCGATGCCGGTGACATTCTCCTCTCCTATAGTGACAATCAATAATGTTCCTTTACTGAGAATCACAGTGGGGGAGTCATCAAGCAAGATGCTTTCAGGTACTTTAGTGCCAGGCAAAGTGAGTCAATCTGGGATCCCTTAGGGTACAATGGGGACTGAGGGCTGGAGTCACATAGTAAGTAGAGGCTAAGAATTTTGTGCCTGCCATCTCACCAGAGGTCCCTTAGAACAGGTGGGCAGAGGCCACAGAGGAACTCAGCTGGGGCATAGGGCACCTAGCATCTATTCCTTCCCAAATGCCCACCTGTACTGGCCACTTTCATGTCCACAGCTGTGGTCATCAGGGTCTGGGCTTCCCTCTCCAAAAGCTCCAGGCTGGTGAAGCCTAGGCATGTGCCCATCATGTGAGCGACCTGAAGACCTACCCCTTCCTGACCCTGAGTGGGGATGAATATCGACAGGATCCAGGGTGTAAGCGAGGAGCCTGAAATGGCTCTGATTAGCAGAGAGGGGTGCTGGCCCTCCCACTGGGAACATAAAGCTGCCAGCTAGAGGTGAAAGATGGGTCTCTCTGATCTAGTGAGTGGACAGCCATAGAGATGTGGTGGTAGCACTGATTAGCATGGGAATGGGGATGAAAAACAGGCACAGAGAGAGACAGAAAGACAGAGAGAGAGAGATGGGAGATGAAGACCAGGCTTAGAAACAGAGGCATGGGCAGATGGAGATAGAGAAAAATAGCATAGAGAGGAGATACAGTAAAAAGAGACAGATACAGAAGCAGAGAGACAGGGCATGAAAATCAGAGGTAAGGATGGGTGACAGTGACATAAAGACACAGAAAGTTTGGGGAGAAGTTCGAGACAGAGACCAGAGCCACAAAGATGGAGATGCAGATTTGGAGACAGGGATCCCAAAACAGAAGAAAACAGGAGTCAACCACAGAGACAAAGGCAAGAGGGAGCCAAAGAGTGGGACAGAGTCATGGAGGAGGAGGAGGAGGAAAGAGACCTAGGGAAGCCAGACATGGTGGCACACACCTGCAATCCCAGCACTCAGGAGGCTGAGGCAGGAGGATCATTGTGAGTTTGAGACCAGTCTGGGATATAAAGTGAGCTCAAGACCAGCCTGAATGGCACAGTGAGACCCGAGAGAGAGACCTAGGGAATCAGAATTTTCCTCTGCTCTAAGGGGAGAGGAAAGAGATGAAAGAGACCCAGGTCCTCCAGTCTCAGTCTCTCTTTTAGGATGCAGAAGCTGCACGTGTAGGTCTATGCATGCGTGTCTGCATGCACGCACCTTCTCATGTATGCCAGGGTTGTGCTTCCTGTGGCTATAGTCTGTGTCTGGGTGCCTGGGCAGGGCTCACATATCTTTATCTACTCATTCACTTTTGGTAACTGGGGGTACCAGGTCAGCAGCAGGGCAAAAGTAACAGTGGGCCAGGTCACTCAGAAAGGCAAAGCGTAAACACACACTGGGGAGCCATGTGATAGAGCATGACTGAAGTTCCTCTGCATCTAGAGGTCCGGGTAGGCCACTGTGAGCATCTAGCATAGGAGGGGAGCCCTAGATGGCAAAGAACCAGGCTGGGAAATGCAAGAGGAACACGCTTGCAGGTGGAGGGAAGAGCAGATTGCAAAGACCCGAGGGGAGGCCAGCCAAGTGCATTCAGGGCTGAGAAGCAGGGAAGTAGGGGCCCAGTTTGGGGGGTGAGACCAGATCATGAAGGACTTGATAAGGAGAGGGAAAGATCTGGGTTTCATTCTATGCAGCACGAGAACTGGAAACCAAGTAAGAGAGGTCAGGAGGTTCTCCCCAGCTGCTGGGCTGGAGTGGAGGGGCCGTAGGCTCTGAGCAGTGGACAGAGCAGTCAGACCTCTTGGAAGGGTCACAGAAAAAGATGATGGTGGCTTGGACAAGAGTGGTGGCAGGGAGATTGGGAGAAATAGAAAGATGTGGCCTGTATTTTAGTGGTAGGGGTGACAGGATTGGATGGGGCTGTGGAGAAAAGGAAGAAGCCAGGCTTAGGTTTTCTTTCTTTTTTTTTGGTACCAGGGGTCAAACTCACGACTGCCCTCTTGCAAGGCAGGCACTTATGCCGCTGAGCTAAATCCCCAGCCAGGCTTAGGTTTTCAGACTTATGGGATGAGTGGATTACAGTGGCTTGGGTAGAATGAGGAAGGAAGACAGAGAGAAGCAGATCTGTGAAGAGCAAAGAGTAAGTCATCATGCATGAAATGGCTGTACGTGTGCACACACAACTGCGTGCACTTATGCCAGGGCCTAAGTGTGCACTTGAGCATGTAGAGGGTCAGGACTACTGTGCAAGCTTAAGACATGCAAACCACCTCTGCTTGGATGCAGAGTCAAAGCCCTACACTGGCTTTTTATCTTCCCCAAGCTCCCTACCATATGTGGATTCCTGGTGGCAAGCTGGGGAAATGGGAGTACCCTTAAGCATTGTCAACATCTGGGCATATTACCCCAGATCCAGGAGGCATTGGTAGCCCCACCCAGCAGCGGCAGGCAGGCTCCAGGGCAGCTGGTGGCGATTAGCAGTGTTGATTACCTCGTGGTGATGCCATCTGGGGTGAGGGCACAGAGCCCAGCCCCATGGGATACCCTACTTGCCGGCTTGCAGGGCTTTCTGGGGCTGACTGCATGTGAATGTGTCAGTATGGCTGCATATATGTTTATGTGTATGTGTGTCAGTGAGTACACATCTGAGTATTTCTGTGGGCACTGAGTCCATGTGGTCACCTGTATCTGTGTATACACATGTATGTGCCAGAGGTCTGTCTGCATCTCTATGTAATTAAGCCTGTATGTACATGTCTGTGTCTCTAGGTCTGTTTTTGTGCATATTCACATGTGTGAATATGCATGTGCCTGTGTGTGCACATTTAAGTAAACGCAATGTTCTACATAAGCATTCTGAGAACTGAGCACCTGTCTCTGGTTATGTTTAGGAATATATTACTGTGGAGTCCTATATATATTACTGGGCTCTGACATGTGTCCTGTGTGTAGGAGGAGATATGCGCTGTGTGTACATGCATGTCTGCATAAGTGCCCACAGACGCATGTGGTATGTGCACAGCCAAATGCTGTGAGAGAACATATGTGGCTGTGTGCACATATATGTCAGGGACAGGAAAGGACATGGGCACATTTCTGTCTATGATGATAGATTCAGGTGGAGGGCATGTCCCAGGCTTGGTTGCTGCTGTAAGCACCCTGAACCCCCCCCTTCTCAGCTTCCTATGTCCTTAGCTGTGGCTATTCTGGCCCAGCCACCCCTGCTTGGGGCACATGTGGGGAAAGGGTAGGAGGAGCCAAGATGGCACAGTGGGTGAGCCATGGATCTGTTCCACTGCCGCCTAGCTATGTGATGCTGGGGAGGTTGTACTGTGACTGTGCTCCAGGTTTCCCATCCACAAGGCACGGATAAACATAGAATTCTGCCTCCCTGGGTTGCTGGAAAGATCCAAGGAGTCAGCAGAGGGAGAATTCTTAGATTGGAGCCTAACCGCTTGGTGTTCCCTGTTGGCTCACGCGCCGGCCCTGCTTAGTACACTAGGGGCAGACTGGGCCTGTGCCCGCCCACCCCTCACTCCCGAGCCTCCGAGAGCCCCGCCCCCTGCACTTCCCGCCCGCTGCTGAGCTCAGCGCTTCCCAGGCTCCACCGCTGCAGCGGCTGCCACATCACATCTGGGCCTGGCTCCTCAAAGGGACCACAGCGGGGCGCCTCTGCGGCTACTTGGGGTTTCCACTGACTCAGCGCCTCTGGGTTTGCAGGCGGGAAATCCCAGGCCTGGCTTCCCCTGCCTGGGTTAGAAGGGGCCACACGGCTACAGTTACACCGTGTTTAATAGGATGCCCCCCACACCCACCCAGATCAAGGGACTTCAGTTGACCTCATCCCTTCTCACTCATGGTCCACTTCTCTGTGGTTTCTCTACTTCGGTGCCAAGGCATTTGCTGCTACAGAGCGGGGTGAGGAGGACCCTTGAGGGGCTGGCCTTGGCCGACCTCCCTTTCCTCAATGGAAGTGGAAGTGTTACTTTTTCCTTCCTCCTCTGGAGCCTAACCTCTCATTCAATTCCAGTTCCTTTTGGTTCCTTGGATATAAGGCCTGGCTGACTCCCAGGCTCATCCCCTACCCCACCTGCTCCCTTGCCAGGGATCACAACAATAATGAAAATAACAGCAAATAGTGCTGCCCTTTTGTGCCAGGCCATGTCTAAGCACTTTCACAGACATTTAACCCGTTTTCTTTAGCAGTACCAGGCAGACACTACCATTAGCCCATCTCACAGATGAGCAAGATGAGTTCCAGGTAAGTGACACATGAAGTCACAAAGCCTGAGCAGGAAGCGGGATCTGAGTTCTGATCTCATGGAGTAAAAAAGAACAAGGAACTGGCTGGCTCCACTTCTCTGGGAATGAGACCAGAGCAGAAGAAGTTAATTTGGGGATGTGGGGATAGAGGGGAGCACTGCAGACAGACAGAAGGAAAGACTAGGAATGTTAGACCCAAGAACTGGAAAAAGCTGACCACTGGGACTTGGGTGGCAGCCACATCGTGGGGTTCAACAGTCTTGGGAGGAGGGTCTCCACTCCTACCCCAGCCTTCTGGGGACCCAGCCAAAGAAGAAGGAGGAGGATCAGAGGAGGCCTTTCCAACTCCAGGCTGGCTCTTAAAACCTCGCCTACCCCTCCCACAGGAGCCCCTTTCCTGGGCATCTTGGGGCACGCAGAATCCCGCCTGCTTGCTGGCTGGCTCACCTGGCAAGGGAAGTAGGCGGGGCGGGCTCAGGCACCCAGCCAGGCCAGGAGTGGGGCTGTGCATCTGTAGGTCCTGCAGCCAGCAGCCCCTGCCGCCTCCGCTGCCGCCGCCACCACCGCTGCGGTGGCCGGAGCCCCTCCCGCGATCCTCCTCCTCGGGCCTGGCAGGCGGGCTCAGCTGGGTTCCATTAGCCTTCCTGGCAGGCCCCCAGGCCCCTGGAACCACCCCTCTTCCCCACCCCGAGTGGCCGGCAAGCAGGCGTGCGCGGGACAGTACTCAGCCTGGAGAGCTCGGCCGCTGGGAAGCCGGGACCCGTGCTGCTGGCCCCTGGGAGAGAAATCAGGGACCCCCGAGGGTCCTGTGGAACCCAGGGGCTGCTTCTCCTGACTGGCTGCTCTGGAGCTGCTGCGGGGACTGCTCAGTGAGACAAGAGGATACCCAGTCACCGGGTAAGTGGGAATGGACTGGACTGCCTTCTAGCAGTGGGTTGAAGGGCCCTTTCTGCTCCTGACTGGCCCTGGCCCTGTGCCCTGGGGCAAATGGCATCCCCTCTCCCCCTCCCGGCCTTAGTCCTCTTCTCTGTAGGAGGATGAGCTCTGAACTCCATCCTGATTCCATTCTCTCTGACCCCAAATCTGTGACTCTGTGTTGGGGTGGAATATCGCCTTGGAAGCCTATTTCACTCTGTCTCTGTAGCCCTCCACTCACAATGGGGCCTGGGGAGTGGAGGCCAGAGAGTGGAGATGGACATGAGCTCATCTGTGTGCACGCCCCCACATGCACCCACAGGCTGCCCACCTTGGCAGTCCTTCCATTGGCTGGCAGGAGGGCAAGGCCAGCCTAGGGCTTGAGGGGTGGCATGTGCATGTCCCTGGGATGAGGGATGATTAGGTAAGGGCACAGTTCTCTCCCAGGAGAAGGGGACTGGCATCCTACTGCAAATACACTGGGGAGGGCGTCTTTTCTGTTCTCATTCCCTGTTTAGAACCAATGGAGGGAAAGTAGGATTCCACCGGAAGGAGTGAGGTCAGACTTGCATAAGAACTTCCCAGCAGGAAGGCCTATTGGAGGGGTGGTCACAGGATGGCTGTGTGCATGTGTGTATGTGCAAACTGGTGTGGCAGTTGGTTAGCATGTGTATCCGAGCATGCCTACATGAAGGTATGTTTGAATGTATACACTGGTACCTCTGTGTATATGTGTCTGTGTATATATTGCCCATGTATCCATGCATATTTGTGTGTGTTGAAACACGCATGGCCCTGTGTGTGTGTGTGCATCAACTGCCTGTCCTGGGGGAGGCTGGATGATGTATGACTGTGCTGGCCGCTTGCTTAGCCTGCATTGATTTATCTGGACCCATCCATCAGAGTTTAATAAAACTAAAAGACGGACATTCATCAGCAGAGGAGCTTGGCAACAAGGTCCTGAGCCCTGGTACCTATTCTCTCACCTACCTTATCCAGAGGGAAGCTCCATTGGCCCATATGCAGCCCTCTGAGGCTTTCCAGGAGACTCATCCAAGTCTTGAGCTTTTGACCTTGTAGTTGCTGGGCAGGGCTGCCAAGCCTGAGCCAGGTGCCCCTAGCCAGGTACTGGGCTGGTGTGTGCCAACCCAGAACACCAGTACCAAAATGCTTCCAAGTGTTTGATAAATGGCCTCTGTCTCAAGCTCCCTCACTATCCCCGCTACCACAGTCTTCTAGGATCCCTAGAATTTTCTTCAATCTAGCAGCTACCCACTAGCACAATGAAAGGCTGCCAGGCCTGTTTCCGTGCTCTGGCCAGCATCTTGTTCTGGCTGGTGGGTGTTTGTGCCATACCGGTGGTTAAATATTGTGATTATCACCCCTGCCCAGATCTTAGCCCTAAGCTGGTTAGCTGGGCCTCCCCAGAGGGATTAATGTCTGGCCAGACCTCTTGCAATGCCAGTCCCAGTGGGAGGGGGCGTTACAGCTCTCATACTTGCCCATGTGTGGAATTATGTGAGGGGACTCAGTAGCCGGCCTTCCCGGGTCTGTGTGGTTTTCAGGTGCTGTGGCTGCGGCTGATCTCTCTGGACCGGGATGAGGGTATCCTGGATACCTGGCCTGTGGCTGCTCAGTCTCTGGGTCACCTTCAGCCATGGGGCAAATACAGGTGAGATGACAGGGTGGTCAGGGACCCATAAGCCTGTAACCGGCTCTCTGAGGTTCCCGGGCCTTTGCACATGTGGAGCTATGTATGTGCTAATCATGTGAGCATTTATGGAGAGTCTAGAGGCCCGGTTCAGGGTAGCCTGAGGAGTTTGCACACTCAAACTTGTAAGAGAGTGTGTGTTCATGCATATATTTACATCTTCGAGCATCTCTGTGTTTGCATCCCAGAGTGGCTGTGTGTATCCTGAGTCTCTGCATGGGACAAGGCAGTCCCCTCCCGTGTGTACGTAAACCTGTTCTGTGTTAGCCTTGGTGGAAGCCAGTGGGGTAAAGAGCAGGCGCTTTGCTCTCCCTGCAGAAGGGTGCTGCCTCCTGAGAATGGCCCAAGTCCTGCTCCTATTCATGGTGGAGACTCCATCCTCCAGCCCAGATGAGTGTTCCTCCTCCACAGCAAGCCTGGCTCTCCTGTGCAAAGCCTGCCCCAAGGCACAGACTCTGGATGGAGCATAGGAGGCAGCTTTCCAGGGCCTAAGGCCAGGGGAGGTTTATTGGGCAGCTTTCCCAGACCTACTGGGTACCCTTTGACTTTGTAGCTCTGCCACCTAACCAGGCAGCAGCATAACTCCTAGAACCCAGACCCCGCAAGTCAAGGGCAGCCAACAAAGCATAGTGGCCCATAATTGTAATTCCAGCATTCTGGGAAGCTGAAGCAGGAGATTTCCAAGTTGGACCCAATCTGGGCAGTTTAGCAATTTAATGAGATCCTGTCTTGAAAGAAAAAAAAAAATGTTAAGTACCAGGAATGGGTGTTGCTGCCAGTTGTGTGTGTGTGTGTGTGTGTGTGTGTGTGTGTGTGATATGTGTGTGTATATGTGTGCATCCATACATATGTGTTTCTGCTTGTGTATGGGGGAGATTTGCTCTCCTCTCCCTCAACAGGTCCCCCAGGGGGCTGTGCTGGGGTAGAGAATTTCAACATCTGTAAGGAATCTGGGCCCACTGCCAAGGGGTGAGTCACCCACTGTTGCTTTGAGGATGAAGACAGTGATGATCTTTCTGGCCAGACCTGGAGGAGGGACTCTAGTGGGGTGACCATGACCAGGGACCCAGGATTCCTCCTTTCAGTCAGGCTAACAAGGAGTTTGCCAGCCTCTGGGATCTTACTTCACTGTCTCATCCCAGCTTCTGCAACTGCTTGCTGGAAAGGACTTTTTGACTCTAACCTCTGTCTCTCCAGCAAAGCACCTCTTCCTCTCAGTAAGCCCAGGGGATAGAAGGCTCTCAGCTGCCAGCCTGTCCCATCTGGGCTTTGGAGACCTACATTAAAATGTCTCATTGTCTAGGAACCCTTACTCCTTAATGTGCCCTACCTGGAATCTAAGGCCCTGCTGATGTCCTTGAGCTTGACGTCTCCTCAGACCCTCAGGGTCTTCCCACTGTTTCATCTGATGGTTATCCAGGTGAAAGTCATTCTGTGGCCTGAGATTTATGTCTGGTCTTCTTGTCTGCTTTGGATGTGGGAAGTGGGACCCCACCCACTGCAGAGATCACATGTCCCAGCTGCATGTGGCATCTCTGGTGGCAATTGTGCAGAACACAAAATGGGCACGAGCCTGACATTTCCTCGGAAGTGCTCCTCTGCCCCAACCTCAGCGCGTGTCATGGTGGGAGCACACGCATGGCCGCAGCTCACCACCCCACCACTGTGCTCTGGTGTCACCCAGAGATTCTTTGATCCTGTCCCTTGCTGGCCTGGACCCTGGCTGGGAGCACTGGCAGATTCAAGTTCCAGTTCCGGTTCTGCTGAGTTGTTGACTCACTTAGTGGCTTTGGGCCAGGCCTCAATCTCTGAACCTCAGTCTTCCTGACTGTATAGGAGGCTCCTCCTGGCTCCTAGATAGTTGGGGTCAAGGCTGGGCCAGGCTAAAGCTGCAGAACCAACTTGCTGCTTCCCAGGGACTCAGCTGGGCCACTGCCTCAGCCCGAGTCCCCAATGCTCCCCAGCCAACTTTCTTCCAGGTCAGCAGTGCCCACCTTCCCAGCAGGAAGGACTCAAGCTGGAACACAGTAGCGATCTGTCAGCCAATGTGACTGGTGAGCCTCCTCTCGTTCACTGCTGATCCCTCTACATTCTTTCTGGAAGGACATGCACCTCCTCTTTACCTGCTGAGTTGAACCTTTCATCTGTTGTGTTTCCTGAAGGCTTCAACCTCATCCGCCGACTAAACCTCATGAAGAGTACTGCCATCAAGAAGATCCGAAACCCGAAGGGGGGGCCTCTCATCCTGCGGCTGGGGGCAACCCCGCTCACCCAGCCCACACGGTAGAGGCATTGGTGTGACCACTGGGAATAGACACCGACCTCAGCCGTACCCCAGTTACCCTGGTTATGAGGCCTCTCGGGTGGTCATTTCGTTCCTCCTCCTGCTAGGACTCAGCCTAGCTTATAGGTTGCTTATAGCTTGGGGTGCGAGGGAAAACCAAGCAGCTCTACCCTATCTCTGACCAGCATGGACAGGACCAGGTCTGCATCTTGCGGGCACCTCAAGAATTATAACAATAGGATAGGGGTAGGAGCCTGGCAAGTGTGTGTGCGCCCACATGTGCGGAGCCCACACCCCCACCAGTCCTTGGCTGGCCTGTGCTGTTTCCCGCTTGGCCTCAACTTCCCACACGTCCCTTTCCCTTCTGACTGCTCTGTCATGCAGAAAGAACCCTTTCCATGTTTATTTTTTAGTATCTCCCCTTCCACCCCAATCCCAGTTATTCACCCCAGGGCATCCTAGATGCTTTAGAAGCCTTTACCAAAATTATAATGGAGTAGTGAAGTAATCATTCTGGGAAGTCTTTGTTTATAATCTCCCATCACCACCACACTGGAAGGCTCCATGAGCACAGGCCCCTTCTCTGTTTTCCCCAGTATTCTCCCCAGTGGTCAGCCCCACACCTGTCACCGAGAAGGCGCTCAGTAAGTGGTGCAAAGTGAACCACTAAATGCAATTTGGGTGGAGGTGTGTGGCTGTGGTGTCAGAGGCAGGCTCACTGGTCCAGCGGGCAGCAGCTGGGCTCTCCACCCCGCCTCAGGGCACCTGTCTTCCATTTGCAGCCGAGTGTTCCCTCAAGGGCTCCCGGAAGAGTTTGCCCTGGTGCTCACCCTCCTGCTGAAGAAGCACACCTACCAGAGCACGTGGTACTTGTTCCAAGTGATGGATGGAGATGGGTACCCGCAGGTGAGCCCTGCCCAGCTACCCTATTGGCTTATGCTCCCTAGGGCACCAGGTGAAGCGGGCCCATTCCTGCTTCTATCCCAGCTTGTGATTTCTAGGGCCTCTCCGCTCCATCCCAGGACCCAAACTCAAGGCTACCCCAGCCCATCAGTGCCAGTCCCATTCTTTCAAGTCGTCTTCATATCCAACCAGCTTTCTTCCCTTTCTGGAACTCAGTTTCCCCTTCAGTGAAATGAACTTGAGGGCCCTTGACTTTGCCATGTGTTAGCTCGGGAGCTCTGAAACTCTCTCTTCCTCCTTTCCCAATTCCACACAGATATCCCTGGAAGTCAACAGCCAAGAGCAGAGTCTGGAGCTCCGGGCGCAGGGCCAAGATGGTGAATTTGTGTCCTGCATCTTCCCAGTGCCCCAGCTCTTTGACCTGCGTTGGCACAAGCTAATGCTGAGTGTGGCTGGACGTGTGGCCTCTGTGCACGTGGACTGCATCTCAGCCTCCTCCCAGCCTCTGGGGCCCCGGAGACCCATGCAGCCGGTGGGCCATGTGTTTCTGGGCTTGGATGCTGAGCAGGGCAGGCCTGTGTCGGTGAGTGCTAGGTTGCTCCATGGCCTTGGTTTCTACCTTCCTTGTGTCTGACCGGGGCCTCCCCCTTCCTCATAATCATTACATGGTTCCCCATTGCCCTGTAGATCAATCCAAACAGATTAACCTGGCATTCAAGACCATCACAATCTGGCTCCTATAAGAGTCCATAGCATTGGGCTGGGGATTTGGCTCAGTGGCATAAATGCCTGCCTGGCAAGCATGAGGTTGTGAGTTCGATCCCTGGTACCACAAAAAAAAAGAGTCCATAGCATTATCTTCCTTTTCGCTCCATGGTGCTCTGCTTCAGCCAATTGCACCCTGGGCATCCAACTCACTTAGCAGTTCTACAAGTCCTTGCCTTTGTCTATCCCGTTACCTCTACCTGAAATCCTGAAATGCCTACCCTTGCACCTATTCCCACCTGATGAATAGGCTCAGCTTGACTGAAACTTTCTCCTTCCTCTTCCTCTGGGCTCCCTGTCTCTCTCTCTCTGACATGTGCAGTTTTATCTTGCTTTTAGTTCTTTTGTGTATGTGTGTATGTGTTAGTAGGGGCTGAACCCAGGACCATCACATTGAGCTACATCTCCAGCCTTTTTTGGTTGCCCAGGCTGGGTTCAAAGTTTTGATCTTTCTGTCTCATCCTCCTAGAGTGCTAGGATTATGTGCTTGCCCTAACATGCCTGACTAACACCTCTATTCTTGATAGCTTCTCAGGCCAGAATGGAAACACCCTGAGGTTAAATTCTGGGGCATAGACATCTCTGTCTGTGCCTCACTGGGGGCCAGTGCACAGCTATTTGATAAAATGACCTGAAATTAACTTGTGTGTCCCCTGCAGTTTGACCTGCAGCAGGCACACATCTACTGTGACCCAGAGCTTGTGCTAGAAGAGGGCTGTTGTGAGATTTTGCCAGGAGGGGTGAGTGCCTGGCCTAGCATGACTGGGGTGGGGAAGTGGTGGGGGTGGGGTACTGTCTAATGGCACAATGTGCTGGAGATGGGGGCCCTCTGGGAATGGATGTGTATAATTTGGGATAAGTCTGCCTCTGTACTGACCACAGCTCTTCCCCCACACTGAGCAGTGTCCCCCAGAGACCTCCAAGGCCCGCCGGGACACCCAAAGTAATGAGCTCATCGAGATCAATCCTCAGACAGAAGGCAAGGTCTACACCCGCTGCTTTTGCTTGGAAGAGCCTCACAACAGCAAGGTGGGCAGGCAGGCCAGGCACATGAGAGACTGCCCCTCTCTCTGACCTGACTAAGATCTGCCACCGGGATCACCTGGCCATGTACCCAGGGAAGGGAGGGCCTTGAATGCTCCATCCATTTATGCCTCACCCCCTAAGACTCAGGGAGACAGAGAGATAACCCATGGCATCCTGTGGCATTGAGAGTTATGCCCGCCTGGCTCTGGCACTGCCCCACTGATGCCACCTAGATTTTTCTTATGAGGGTAGCACCAGGCTTGCAACAAAGGCAACTTCTTGCAAGGATACTTGGGGTCAGAGGCCCAGTTGCCCTGTTTCCCCCAGGGCTCCCTCACTTGCCCAGCACCATGGCCAGCTGCCCTGTCCAATTCCAGGCTCTTTGGAGGTGGCAGGGAAACATGGTTCCTCCCTTAGCCCCGCCCTCTGGCTGGGAGCCTCCCTGCCCACCGGGCACCATGCCCAGCCTCTGGCTGCAGGAACACAGGATCCCATTGATTCACAGCCTTGTTTTCTCCGACATCACATGGGAGGGAGGAAAAGAAAGGGCGCCTGTGGGGTTGGCCTGGAGGCCTGAGCAGGTCTCTAATGTCCTGGGAGGTAACATATGCCAGACCGAGAGGGTACCTGGGTCCACATGTGCTTTGCCTTAGTGCCCCTTTCCAGTGTGGGCCCCAGGACTGCCGGTCAATCCGTGTTTCCCTCTGCTCTGTGTGCCAGGTGGATTCGAAGCTGATGGGAAGAACCAGTCAGCAGGCAGAAAGAGGAACAAAGGTAGAGATGGTGCGGGAGGAGGGGCTTGTGGTACCCTCAGTCTGCCCCGTACGCCCTCCATAAGCCCTCTGGAGAAGGCTCTTCACTCCCACTCTTTTCCTGCCTGGACAGAGCTCAAGCTGCATGATGCCAGCTCTGAGAAGGACAGACAGACAGGGTGGGACAGACATAGGACCTGGCATTCTCTAGTGTTGATGCCTGCAGGCCCATGCCTGCTGGCTCTTGGGCAGGGGTTTTGGTGTGGTGCTTTGCTTGGTCCCTGAGTTCTCTGCCCAGTCCCACACTTTTATTTTCCCAGGTCCTTCGGGAGCCATCAACTGATGAGGTGAGCCCCCAGTCTGGGCTGATCAAGGAGCTTAGTTAAAGGGGTACTAGCATGAACACTTGGAACAGGCTTTGGATTAATAGACCCTGGATGTGGGGATGATAGATGACCTTGCAGCTCCCAGTATACCTTGGGGGCCTGACACTGAACCCTATCTGCCCACTGCCTTTTCCTGGGTTGTGGGGTGGTAGCCCTGGAGGACACTCTTACTGAGTTGGCAGTGGCCATAGGTATCACGGGAAAAGCCCAGGCCTTGGCCTTGGAACTCCTAAACTCGGATCTTTACTCTGCCCTGACATGCTGTGTGAGCCGGGACTCACCACTATTCCTCTCTGGGCTTCCATTTCCTTACCTAGAAAATGGCTGTGGGGGGGCTGGGGATTTAGCTCAGCGACATAAGCAGGCAATCGTGAGTTCGATCCCCAGTACCGATAAAAAGGAAAAAGACTAAATAAATAAATAAATAAAAAGAAAATGGCTTTGGGTATAAGTTAGTGGGAAATGGGGGAGGGGTGAGGATTGTTTTCTAGGGTTCCCGTCTTAATGGTTTTCTTCAGTCACACCTAGGACATGTGTGATCCTCTGTGGCTAGGGGTGTGTGTGTGTGTGTGTGTGTGTTGGGGTGAGGGCAGAAGGCTGGTCCCAGGGGCTCAGACGTGATCCTTGTTCTTCCCTCTCAGTGCCCACCCTGTGTCCATGGCGCCCAGGAAAGCAATGTAAGTAAACTGTGGGTACGCGGAGTGGGGTGGGTGAGGGCTAGGCATGCATATTGCCTGGAGCTGGCTGTGCAGCTTCCTGGTTGAGGACAAGGGGGTCTTTGTGTACTCTCACACCCCACTCTGCCTGGCCCCCAGAGCGGGCTTGACCCCACCTCTGTGCCCGCCCAGCCAGGGCTGCTGTGAGGGGCAGAGGACGGGGTGGGAGGGACATGGCATGGTGGCCATCCTGTGGTATCAGGACTTTGGTTACTGATCACGGCTCTGTATTTGCCACATGATCTCAGGTCTGCTGTGCTTGGGAGGTTTCACATGGCACCTGCCAGGCCAGAGACAGGGAATGGCTGGCTCAGAGTTACCCAGCCCAAGACTGGCTCCCAAAACCATACACTACCTCAGAGCTGAGCAGAATCCCCTCTTCCCTCTCCCCTCTCAATAGCTGGCCCTGTTCCTGCCTCCCCCTGGGGGTCTGGAAGGACAAGGGAGAGGGGTTCAGTGTGAACCCAGCTTGTACCCAACTATGCCTCTTCTGTGGGCAGTGTGAGTCACAGCTCTCCCACGGCCTGATGCTCTGAGCTGGCAGGCCACAATGGTCTACAAAGAGTGCAAGTCCAGCTGCCCTCACCTCCATGCCCCCTGACAGTGGGGGACATCAGGAAGTAACCCCTCTGCTGCCTGTCCCCTTTTAGATTGAGTCCTGATCAAATCTGGTAAGACTGATGGTCCCCAGAGATGTAGGGGTTACCATGGCAACTGAACCACCACATTATCCTAGCAACTGGAGGCGGGGCTGGCCGAAGCTAGGCAGGTTAGAGACAGTACACTAGACCCTCTGTGGGTTTGACCACCTTAGGAAATAGAGCCAGCCTGCTGGGTGGCCTGGAAAGCAGAGCAGGTGGCAGGCTGTTGGTCTTGCTACCATACTGTGTGACCTTGGATGAAATTCTTACCCTCTCTGGGTTCCTGATTTCCTCTCCCTTTTTGAGGTGTAATGGCTTTTCCTCTATCCCCTCAGGTCACACTTGGTCCTTCCAGTTCCAAGGTGAGTCTTGACAGAAAACACGACACTCCTGCCTTCTTTGCTGGCTCCAGCCCACCCCATACCATGTGGCTCTGTAGCTATGTGTCTGTCTCAGGACTACCTGAGTCTGTATGGGTATCAAGGATGCATGCGTTGGAGAGGAATGTGGATGTACAAAGATGTCAAGAACTGCCCTTTTCTAAGGCTTTACTATATGCCAGACTCGGCCACACAAGTATTCATCATTTGCCTTCCTGCTCCTTCTCAATACTCATTCTTCGGGGAAACTGAGGCCCTCTGGGCCCACATGGGAATGTCAGACTGACTGTATGGGTATGGCTGTGCGTAACCCTAGGATCTGTGTGTGTGGCTGAGGGTTGAACTCATATCCTTCTGAGCCTAAAGGGGCTGCTGAGCTGTGTGCAGAGGAGCAGGCAGTGCACGCAGATTCCAGCCGTGTTCAGGTGCTCTTGAGTTTGTAGAATGACTCTCAGGGCCACCATCACGGAGTGCCGACTGAGTGCCAGCATCTTGCCTGGAGAATCCCACTTCTTCCTCACCACAGCCCCTTGAGGCAGGGCTGATGTGAGAGGAACCTGAGGCTCAGAGAGGTGACGTGATTTGCCCTGGGTCCCAAGCACAAAAACTGAACTCAGGGCCCGATACTTAGCCATCATGGGTTTCTGCCACCCTGCGTGTGCCTCTGCACACATGTTTTCATCCCTCTGAGTGTGTGGCATGAGCTGGGGTGCATGCGTAATGGGCGTGGGGGAAGGGATACATCTCTGGAGGCTGGATCTGCCAAATGCAGCCTTTTGGGGTGGGAGGGACATGTGGATGGTGCGTATGGGATCCATATGCTGTGCGTGTGGGGGTGGGGGAGGCTGGACCATGTGTTTATGGGTGTGTGTGTGTGTGCGTGCATGCATGTGTGTGAGCACTTACACATTTGCATGGTAGATGAGTGGAGGAAAACAGGGTGGGGAGCACTTCCTAGAGGCTCCTACAGGCCCTCTGATCCCAGCTATCATTTTGGTGTCACCCACAGGGAGAGCCAGGTGAGCGAGGCCTGCCTGGACCATCGGGCCCTAAGGGAGAGAAGGGAGCACGGGTGAGTCCCCAGCTATGCCCACAGCAGGCTGTCCTGGCTAGGCCAGAGGGCTGGGGTAGGAGTTACCTGCTGGTCATCTCAGAGGGGAGCCTGGGCCAAATGGGGGTGAGGGTGGGGTCCTTCTAGGGGTTAGTGTGTGGAAGTCTCTGGTTTCTAGCAATGCCTGGCCCCTGTTTCTCACCGCAGGGCAATGACTGTGTTCGAATCTCTCCGGATGCTCCACTTCAGGTAAGGCCCAGAGGTGAAGCCTGCTTTGGAACTAAGGTGGGGTCAGCCCCAGAGTCCCCCCTAGGTGTCCCTGGCCTCCCTCAATACCTGTCTCCCTGCTCAGTGTGCAGAAGGCCCAAAGGGAGAGAAGGGGGCATCAGGAGCCTCGGTGAGTACGGAGCTGGGGTGGAGGGGATGTGGCCCTGGCTCACTCTGCCTTCCTCACCCCCTCTTTTGTGTCCCTTCTCATTTTAGGGACCTTCAGGACTCCCAGGGCCAGGAGGCCAGAAGGTAACAGGCCAGCATTTGCAGGGGTGGGTGCCAGGGTAATCTGCAGGCTTGAGGAGGGAGGTATCCAAAGTCCTCTACAGGATGGCAGCAGGGACACAGCTGGCAGGACCTCCTGCATTCCTCCCACTCATCCCGCCTTGTCCCAAACCCACTACCCTTAGAAGGAAAAACCACACACTCCCAGAGCAAGGCCTGGCTCATTTGGAAGTTTCTTCTATTGTCCAGCCTCCTGTGGAAGCCATTCCGTTTCAGGGGAGGCAGAGACCAATAGTCTAGGAAGCAGTTGCCACTACCCTAGCTCTACAAAACCTGCCTTGGTTCCTCTAGTCCATTCCCATGACCTAAGTGACTTTGTCTCTTCCATCCCCAGGGCCAGAAAGGCGAGAAGGGCGATGGAGGAATCAAGGGCTTGCCAGGAAGGCCAGGCCGAGACGTATGTACGGTGCTTGGGACCCCCGCACCCCACAGCCCCTGGTCCAGGACCTTGAAAGGGCAGGATTTAGCCAGGCAATGGAACCCTCACCTCCTTGCTCAGAAAAGACAATGGGGCTCGGGGAGGGCACACAACAAGGCGGCCTAGAAAAGGAACTGAACCCAGCTCGATAGCTTGGGGAAATGAGTGGAGTGTTGTGTGCAGATTTATTTACCTGGCCCATCAAGGGAGGTACCAGGGCTCTGGCTGTCCCTACACCTGCCCCCTTCCCTGCAGGGCCGGCCGGGAGAGCTCTGTGTGATTGGACCCAAAGGGCAGAAGGTGAGTTGTGGGGCTGGGGGCTGGGAGCTGGCAAGGCTGAAGAGGCAGCTCTCACACCCATTTCCATCTGTGTCAGGGAGACCCTGGTTTTGTTGGGCCTGAAGGGCTAGCAGGAGAGCCTGGGCCCCCCGGCCTGCCTGGTCTTCCTGGGATGGGACTGCCTGGGACCCCTGTGAGTACCCCGTTGTCTTTCCTGCTGTCTTTTTCTGAGACTGTTCTCCTACCCTGCCCCACACTGGGAGAGGGAAAGCCCTGTCCCGGGGGGTCCTGGGTGGAGGAGGGTTAGGGACACTATGTTAAACTTGTATCCACTCTGTTTCTGCCCTCAGGGGGAGCCAGGTGGCCCTCCAGGCCCCAAGGGAGAAAAGGTAAGCAAAAGCAGAGATGGGCCTAGGGGCCACGGTCAGCTCACTGTTGAGGGACTGTGCAGCAAGGCTGTCCCTCCCAGAGAGGAAGCCAGGGGCTTGGCTCAGCTGGGCCTGCAGAGGGGAGCACTCCCATCCCAGAGCTCGTGGAGGTGGGGCCTTGGTCTTGGTAAGCAGAAGCCCCTGCAAGTGGCCGTCTGCTGCTGTGCTTCCTCTGAGGCTCCTCAGGTCACTTCTGTCTCTGTTGTAAAGGTGGAAAGGGACACAGAGTTCTCATTTTCTCTTGGATCAGACACGGAGAAAGACAGGCAACAGGAAGGGAGGGTTTACCAAGCCAGTGGACATAGGAGAGCTGGCAGAGATCGCCCTGCCATCCAGAAAGGGGCTGAATAAAGAAGGAGAGAACAGTTTATAAACCTGGCGGGCAGCGGCCTCCACCCTTTAACATTGCTTTTGATTGCAGGGAAGCTCCGGGGTGCCAGGCAAGGAAGGCCCTGCTGGGAAGCCTGTGAGTGAGCCTAGCTGGGGGAGGCGGGCACTGGTCACCGTATCTGGGGCTTCTTTCAAGGCCTCTTATGGCACTCATGCTCCCTTCTTCTTCTCCAACAGGGGAAGCCAGGAGTGCCAGGGGTGAAGGGAGAGAAGGTGAGTCCCAGGACTGGTTGTTCGAGGTTGGGATGAGAATGAGAGTCCCTCTGCAGATGACATTGGGCAGCATGCCATAGACCTGGGCCAAGGGTACCGGACCTTCTTTAGGTGATCCCCACCCCTTCTTTTTTCTGAGACGTGTGTGTGTGTGTGTGTGTGTGTGTGTGTGTGTGTGTGTGTGTGGTGTGTGTTTAGTAATAAAGAGCCTGGCTCGGGGTCAGCTGGGCTCAGATCCTGCCTCAGCCACCCACATGGTTTATGAATGTAGCAGGTCACTTAACTTCTCACTTTGCCCAAGTTTCCACATCTGTGATGGGGCACATTTATTTCCTGTGGCTTGCTAGGCTATAGTCATGTGATATCCAGGAATCCTGTTGAATAAATGAGTCAGTTGGGCAGGAATTCCTGCAGTGTCTCTGCTGTTCACTTTGAGAATGGGGACAGGGCACCCAGTGCTAGAGCTGATGAGGGCAGGAGGCTCCTGGTCTTCCCCAGGATCTCAGCTGTACCCTGTCCTTTGATGGTCTCCCCTGTCTGCTAGGGTAACCCCTGTGAAGTGTGCCCAACACTGCCTGAAGGCTTCCAGAACTTCGTGGGGCTCCCTGGAAAGCCAGGGCCCAAGGGAGAACCAGGGGATCCTGCACCAGCCAGGGTAAGCATACATGTGGCCACTGGCAGATACCAACACACACACACACACACACACACACACACACACACACACACTCACTCACTCACCTTGATCATAGAGAGCAATGGAACAGAGAGGCGGGCTGGGTACTTCTCATGACCACAGAGAGAGGCTGTATAGATGGTTAAGGGGTCTGAACCATAGAGTTTAGGACTAGGCTAGAGTGTCACCCCTCATCTCTATGGCAACCTCTTAGGCCTTTCCTAGGGACTTTAGGATGCCTTTTGGGCAAGCTGGTGTGGAGCCAACCCTTATTGTGAGTGAAGCTGTCTAGAGGTGAAGGAAGGGAATAGAGTGAAGCAGGGTTGGGGTTGGAGCCTGGGCCTGGATTCCCCACTGTCTTACAGATACTCTCTTTCAGGATGCCATGGAAAGTACTGGGCGAAAAGGTGACCGGGTAGGTATAGAACTTTCCAATGGGGTATGTTAGCCTGGCCTCATTTGTCTCACTTGTTCCATGCAGAAGAAGCCTGCCTCTGGAACACAGGCACCATGGGACCCCGGGTGTTTGGTGTATCACATAGCTGTCCTTGTATATGGCCAGAATATCTGAGATACTCAAGCATGCCCAGTCACAGCCCACAAGCCATTTCTTCCCTGCAGGGAGACCCTGGCATACAAGGCATCAAAGGAGAGAAGGTGAGGGAACTGTGGTGCCCTGTTGCCCCCTCTTCCTCCCTGAGGGCCTTTCTGATCCCTTCTCTTCCTTGACCAGGGGGAGCCCTGCTCATCCTGCAGCTTGGTTGCGGAAGCCCAGTTTCTTGGACCCTCAATAGGAGCCAAAGGAGATGTGGGCTCCTCTGGCTCCAGTTTGCCTGGCCTTCTGGTGAGTAGCCCACCCTAGCCAGCTCTTCCCCTCTCTGTCTCTGTGGTACCCAGGGGCTTCCACTTAGCAGGTGCTACCTTCCTAACAGAAATAACTGTTCAGTTACCTTCAGAATATGGATTCATAATTCCCATCATCCCTTTCTCTTTCCAATTGGACACTGGGAGCTCGCAGGAGTGGCAATGGAGAGGTGCTGTGACTCCATCTTGGTTATTTTTCAGGGGAAAGCAGGGGCTCCAGGGCCAAGAGGGCTGAAAGGAGAGAAGGTAAGAAATGGGCTAAATCAAGAACACCAGAGAGTGGCCAGGGATTTAGCTCAGTGGTATAAGCGCCTGCCTGGCAAGCGTAAGGTCATGAGTTCAATTCGGGGTACCAAAAAAGAAAAGAAAAAACCCACCAGAGATTCTTGGCAAGGAAGGGGTGGCCTTAGGCAGGAACCAGGGCAAAAATTAAACTGTAATTTTCGTTGTTTTGCAAATTAGAGTCGAAGAACTTATTTCCAAAAACCTTTATGTTTTCCAAGAAAATTTCTTCGTGTTGTATTTTTAATTTAATGATAATCTAAAACTATTAGGGCGTTCAAGACTAACGTAATAAAATAATATTTAATACTTCTTTTCTGCTAATTACGTGCTGGGCACCATTCCAAGGCTTGCACATGTATTTATTTTCCCCTCTCAAAAACTGTATGGGGTAAGTACCCGATTATTCCCATTTTATGGATGGGAAGGGACAGAAAGGCTTAGTAAACTGCTCGAAGCCACATGGGTGTTTGGATGCAGAACTGGGAGCTGAGCCCAGGAAATCTGGCTTCAGAGTCTGTAATCTTCGCTACTCACCCAGGGCACTCAATTTCAGTGCCCATGTTAACATTTGTATTTATGATTGCATTAGAGACAAATGACAGCATTGAACCTCTAATGGAGTGTTGCTCAAATGAGGGGTTCTGTGGGGCTACAAGCGCTGAAGTGTGAGAAACACTGATATCCAGGCTCAGAGTCAATTCCAACAAGCAGACCACGCTTGGTACTTCTCAAATGGAGCTTTTGCACCCCCAGCCCACACCTGCTTCTTCTCCTAATCTTTCCCATCACAACAAAGCATAGATAGCCAACCCCCAGGTGCCAAGTGTTATCCTTGACTCCTTCCTTCTCCATAGCTGTGTCCGCTCCATCCACCCCCGGTCCGGACAGTTCGGCCAGTGACAGCTCTCTCAATTCCCTCTGCTTGACCGCCACTGTGCCCAGGACTCCCACCGCTGCCACCATTGTCTAGGTCTCCATCGTCTCTGACCTGGATGGCAGCAGCCTGCCTGTGGCCACTGCGGCCCTTCAACAATCCATTTTTCACCCTATAACTAAAATAGCTTTGTAAAAAGAGCTCCAGTTTGATTATTTTCCTGCGTACAGTCCTTCTGGGGCTTCACGTTGCACACAGTCCTGCTAGGCCTCATCCCCCATTTGACTGTATGTTTTCTGCTTGTCCCTTAGGGTAATTTCGGGGAAGCAGGGCCCGCTGGCGACCCGGTAAGGAGGCTTTGGTTGGCATCAAGTCATGGGAGGAAAAGTAGGAGGTGCTGCCCGCTTCTGGAGAGCTGACGGGTGTGGGCTTTGCACAGCCCGGCCTGATGTTGGGTATCACGTGTGACTTCTTCTCATGTAGGGGCTACCAGGGCCAGTGGGACCGGCAGGCACCAAAGGGCAAAAGGTGAGCCCACATCCCCCACAGTGGACTTTCTCTATTTCAAAACCTTGGGCCTCCTCCTTGCCTGTAGGGTAGTTTGACTCTTAGCATGGTGTCAAGACCTGCCAACTTGGACCTTGCCTTTGTTTCTCCTTTGTGTTCCCATGATCTTTCTAGAGATCTCCCTGGCCCAGTAGAAGTGCTATGTCATGTCCAGCTGTGTTCCTCAGCCTCAGCTCTCAAGCCCAGCCGTAGAGCCAGGGCTTAGGGACCCCTAACTCAGCATCTTTACTCGGCAGGGGGAGCCTTGTGAGCCATGCTCAGCCCTGTCTAAGCCTCAAGATGGGAGTAGCCACGTGGTGCACTTGCCTGGCCAGCCCGGAGAGAAAGGCGAGCCTGGGGCTCCAGGCTTTGGCCTGCCAGGAGAGAGGGTGAGTCTCCAGGGCCTCTAGAAGTGGACCTGAGCTGGGTTCGCGAGGAGCGGGGTCCCACCTGTGTTTCTTCATCTCCTGGGCAGGGGGAGTGTGTGCTGGGGTCAGCAGTGCCTCTGTCTCTAGTTGAAGGCACCCGACAGGCCTCTGTCCTTTGTCCTGGGACTTAGAGAGCAGAGGGAGCAGAAGGCAGGAGCAGTGATCTCGAACCAGACAGACTTGGATTCCAATTCTAGCTCTGCCTTTTACTAGATTTTCAACTTGAGCAAGTCGCTTTTGTCCTCTGTGCCTTGCGATTTGCCCCTAAGGTTGTGGCAAAGCTGAGTGGCACACAGTTGATATCAGAGAAATGACAGTTATGACTATGGATATTATGATCGTTACTGCTTTAATAGTAACAGGCAACACCAACCTGTGGCTGCCGTGTGCCGCACGCTATTCCCCTCATACCAAGGACCCTGAGGGGCAAGGAACCTGTGCTATTAGATTGCTCCTATTTTCAGGATGAACAAGCTGAGGCTTGGGAGTCAATGAGGTGACTCTTCTATGTCACACAGGCAGGTGGTTTGGCACAAGTCTCTTCTCCTCACCTACAGGAGGTTGCTTCGCTAACACGAGGCAGAGCTTATCTGTTTGTTTTCTGGGGTATCCTGGGATCTAACACAGTGCTGTGCACTCAAGGCTGTGGGGAATGCTTTCTTCTCAGGGCAAGGCTGGAGAGCGTGGGCTGAAGGGGCAGAAGGTGAGAGAACCCAGGTGGACAATGGGGGGGTGGGCACCAGCTCCCCTCAGATACCCTCCTTGCCTCCTCCTGGTTGGTTTGTGCCCACTCTCCACACACACCCCGGGCACCTGCCCCATGGTGGGGAAGGCTGTGAGTGTCCCCAGGGCAGCCAGCCCTATCCTTCTTGAATGATATATTTTACAGGGTGATGCTGGGGATCCCGGAGACCCCGGAAGCCCAGGCACCGCAGGGCGGCCAGGGCTGTCGGGAGAGCCTGGAGTGCGAGGCCCCGAGGGGCCAAAAGGAGACAAGGTCAGGGTCCTGTTTGTCGAATGGATGGAGAGAAATCAGGTGGTGAGAGAATGGGGGGAAGAATTGCAGGGGCAGACCAGAATCGCTGGGTGGAGGCTCGGAGCTCTTTGGTGCATCTAATTTCCCAGCTGAGGTGAGGGCAGTGGAGGGGCAGCGCTTGCAGGGTGTACAAGGACTCCTTTTGCAATTCCTCTTGGCCTGACCTTCCCTCTCTGACCAGGGTGATGCCTGTACTGCCTGTCCTAGCCTGCAGGGGGCAGTGACGGACATGACAGGACTGCCTGGGAGGCCTGGCCCCAGGGGAGAGCGGGGCCCAGAAGGCGTGGGCCGGCCAGGTAAACCGGTGAGTTGCAGCTGCCTCCCTCTGGTCCTTCCCTGCCTGTGCTTTGCCTTCTCTTCTTGCTGCCCCTACCCCCTCACCCCCTAGCCCTTCGTCTCCCACCTCGTTCCCTGTGGAACTCTTGGGCCTGCTCCTACTTCTTAGGGCAAGCCCGGTCTACCCGGAGTTCAAGGGCCTCCAGGACTGAAGGGCACACAGGTATGTATGAGTACCGCGGGACCTGGCTGCAGCTGTGTGTGGGGGAGAGCGGGGAGAGCCTGGGGGCCCGAGGGCCTCAGCGTGGGAATTAGAGGAAGGCCCAGGGTGGCCAGAGGTGGAGGCAGAATGGTTGAAGAGATGGGTGGAGGGTGAGGTGCAGATCTTGACTGGGATTTTCCCTCCCAGGGAGAACCAGGGCCTCCAGGCGTGGGAGCACAGGGGCCCCAGGTGAGTCTCCAGCCCTACCTTCCCGCTCCTTCCCAACACTTCGTTAGCCAGCCCAGTCCCACCAGCCCCCTAAGTCGCAGAGCCCTGCTGCCCCCAGATGGGTCAGGTAGTAGCCCCATCAGCTGTGCTCTATTGGGAACTTAGCTTTGCCCTCCTCACCCACCTACCTCTCAGAGTCTCCTTGGGGTGCTCCCCTGAATTTGGGATGGCAGGTGCCCCCTCAGGTCTACAAGTGGAGTATTCCAGGGGGCAGGTTGTCTTGGGAGGCCATGCCCCAGTCTGTCCTTCTTAACTTACAGGGGGAGCCCGGAGCTCCAGGTTTGCCTGGCATTCAGGTATGTCTACCTCGCGCCTAGAGGAGGCTGGCAGGGGAAGGGTCACGCTGGGCTAAAGCATAATGAACTGTGCTTCTGTCTGCAGGGACTTCCAGGACCTCGGGGACCACCTGGCCCCACTGGAGAAAAGGGTGCCCAGGTAGACTTCATGTTCCTGGGGTGTGGGGCCTTCAGGGGTTTTGAGTACCCTGACAGCAGGCACAGGGAACGTGGGGCTGGGGCTGCCCATCAGAGGGCTGGCTGAGACAGGTCTGCTGCATCACACCTGCTGGGCTGTGCCAGCTTCAAATCCTGCTCCTGTAACCCTTGTGCCTTGTCTTCTCCAGGGACCTCCAGGGACAAAAGGAGCCACTGGACTAGTAGGACCTCCTGGTGCCAGTATCTCTGGGCCTCCAGTAAGTGTCCTCTCCATGCGCCATGCTGGGAATATTGCTGGGTTAAGACACCACTCCCCGGAAGAGGGCAAAGAGCTGACCCTGACCCTGCCTAGCTCAGTCAGGCAGGTGTGGCCGGGAGGGGTGAGCCAGAGCCCAGCCAGCACTGTCTGGGGACAGTCCTTGACTGCCATTTTTCCCTCTTCTGTTATTTCTTTTAAAAATTCTTATTTTAATTAACATGTGATAATTGTATATATTCATGGGATACAGTGTGGTATTTCGGTACATATATACAGTGTGCATTGAACAAATCACGAATCAGCATACCCATCTCATTATCATTTCTTTGTATTTGGAGCCTTCATCTCCTCCTCCACTTTCTCTCTCTCTCTCTCTCTCTCTCTCTTTCTCTCTCTCTCTCTCTTTCTTCCTTGTGGTGCTGGGGATGGTTACTCTCCCTGGTGTCATGGTTACTCTCTCGATGTTGGGACAAAATACCCAACACCCAAAATGAAGGAAGGAAAGGTTTATTTAGCTTACAGTGTTTGGAGGTTTGAGTCCATAATCAGCCGGCTCCCAGGGAGGGTGGAGTGACACTGGGGCAGCGCTTCAAGGCAGCTGCCCGACCAAAGGGGAAAGCTCAAGCCTCTTCTCCTCCCTTATATTGTACACAGGCCGGTGTCCTCCCAGGGTGGGAGCAGCACTCACAAAATCTCTGCCCTGCTTTGCACAGGAAGAGGATATTTACAAAGTGAGAGCCCTGGCTCCCTGCTGAGCCTCTCAGTTAAACTTCTCCACTGCTCAAGTTGACACAATGTATCAACCATAAAACTTGGCAAGCCTCCCACTGAGTTACAATCCCCAGCCCTCTAGTTCTTCTCAAATGTATAATGGGTCATTATAAACTAGAGTCACTCTCTCGTGCCTTAGAGAGCACTAGAAAGTGTTCTTCAGATCTAACTGTGTTTGGGCACCTGTTACCCCACCTCCCTCCCCCTCCCCGCCTCTAGGAGTCACCCTTCTCCTCTTTTCTACTTTGAAGTTGACCTTTTTAAAGCTCTTGCAAGAGACAAACTGCTCACTCCCATTTTTTGACCAGCAGCCACTCTGAGGCCCTGTGCTGAACTCTGAACACCCAGAAATTCATTTCCATCTCACCTGTAAAGGAACTGCTGTTATTCTCCTGTTCCCTAAATAAGGAAACTGAAGTCCAGGGCGGGTGGGCTGCGGCCGGGAACTCTAGGCCCTGTCTGTCCCACTGCAAGCTGCCTACTTCACACCCTGGAGTCTCAGGGCACCTTCTAGCCAGTGCTGCCCACTGCAGTGATCACTGAGGAGGGAAAGCTTCTATTCCGTGCTGCCCAAGACAATGACTCCCATGTTTAAAAGACGTGTCTATTGACCAAATTGCATAGATTAAGTAATAATAAGTGCATTTTCTCATTTGAGTCATCAAAAACTTGTCTAATCATCAGCTTCTACTCCCCATGAACCCACTGGAATTTTGTAAGATGATATAATTTTAGCCCAACTCAAAGGAATACCACCTTTCAGCCAGCCTGTGCCATGCTGGGTCGTGGGCAAACGTGTAATTTTTCTTGAGCTTTTGGTAATGTTGAAAATAGCCCAGTGAACTGTATCTTTTTCTGTCTTTTGGATCCCAACAAAAATTCCTGTAGCAGTTTGTGAATCACTGGTGAATTCTTCTCATGGGTGCACTGAAGGCTGGCCAAGGGGCAGGGCCTTGCCCAGGCTATGGCACCTGTCTGCATGGTTCCCAGCGGGAGCTCGGGGTAGAAGAGAGAAGAGGTCCTGATCCTAGGGGAGCCTCATGGCCCAGATGTGAAGGTCCTCCGTGAAGGCAGCTGGGGGACACCAGCTATGCAGCCAGGCTGGCCTCTCGGGCCTTTGCTCAAGTCACTGTCCCTCCCCCAGAGACCCCCTCCAAGCCTCCGCTCAAGCTGAGTCCTACCTGGGAGGCCTCCAGGCCCACTCCATAGTAGCTGTGTGGCCTTAGGCGAGTGACAGTGGGTGCCTGGGAACCTGGTGCAGCTGCTGTCACCCTTCTCCGAGGCAGGCTGGATGTCCAGCGTCTGTCCAGTGTCTGTCTGGCCTTGCCCACTGACTCTGGCTCTCTCCCTTCAGGGCCGTGATGGACAGCAAGGAGAGATGGGGCCTCCAGGAGCCAAAGGGATGCCAGTGAGTATGGCAGGGAGCTAAGACTGGGCCTGCCTCTGCATCCCTCCCTCCTCACCACCCTGTGTCTTCTCCACAGGGTGAAAAGGGATCTCAAGGAGAGAAGGTAAGTGCCAAGGACCTGTGGCTACTCTTCCAGGGGAATCAGCAGCTGCTGCAGTCCCACTACCCAAGGGATCTTTTGCACACAGTAGCTGCCCTGGACTGGAGGATGGAGCTCACAGAGGCACCCTGGTCTCCTTACCATTCACCAGTTGCCTGATTCCAGAGGCCCAGATGCCCCTCACTTCAAATGGTTGCTGGCCCAGGACTGGACCAGCATCATAGGAAACCAGAGATCTCTGGGACCCCTGTAGAGGCCGCTGTATTGTCACATGGGGGCTGAGTCAGAGGAAGAAAGTTAGAAAGGCATGGTGACAGGGACGAAGTAAGGGACAGGGACGAAGAGCGTGGAAGCCAGGCAGGGCCCAGGGGAGCAGGGCTGCAGCGGGGGAGCCGTGACTGTGCTGGTGGGTGACAGCAGGCAATGATCTAAGTAAATGGTGACAGTCACAGTAGCAGTATCCTTACTGGCCAAATACCATGCAGCAGGACTTCTGTACACGTTAACCCATTCCATTCACATCACAACCTATGCAGTTGGAGTTTTTAACTCCTATTTTACAGATGAGGAGACTGAGTCCACAGGTTGCCCAAAAGCACAGTTATAAGGGACAGAGCCTGGATTTTAGCCTTGGCCTGTTCTCCAGAGCCCGTGCTCCTCCCACTGTCAGCTTCCCAAGGACCCTCCATCCCCGCCACATCTAACCCAGGTTCTTCTCTCCCCAGGGAGAGCCAGGGGAGTGCTCCTGCCCCACTCGGGGAGACCCCATCTTCTCTGGCATGCCGGTAAGTGGTGCTGAGAGCCTCTTCCGCCAGGCAGAGAGGCCTGGCTGCCTGCCTTGCCTGGTTGCCCAGCGTGCGAGGGCCTTGCAGGGCTTTGCACCCCAGCCCGCTGCCCCCCCACAGCCCTGCGCTTGGTGTGGACGTTGCCTGTAACCTCTCCCCTTCTTTTGCAACCCCCACTCCCACCCAGGGTGCTCCTGGACTTTGGATGGGCAGCTCCTGGCAGCCGGGCCCGCAGGTGTGTCTCGCTTGTCTCCTCTGTCTCTCCTGTTGTCCGCCAGCGCCCTGTGGCTTGCCCACCCTCGACTTTGCTGGCACCAGTGATGGGACAGAGTTTTTCTGCAGACTCTGAGTCTGTCTTCTCCTCCTCCTCAGGGTCCCCCAGGTGTCCCTGGACCACCAGGCCCCCCTGGAATGCCTGGGCTGCAGGTAAAGGGGGAGAAGAGAAAGAGGGGTCTGGGGGCGAGGCTCATGCAGTTTGGTGACTGCTCCGTGCTGGAGCCTGAGCCCGTGGCCCTGCCCTAGCCGCCGGCACCTCTCACTCCATTGTGCTTCTGCTTTCCATGGTGCATGGAGGGGCGTGGACCTTGTGGCTGGGTGGGCACTCTCACCCCTTTTTCTTTTCTTTATTTTTTTTTTGGGGGGGGGGAAGGGATTGGAAATTGAACCCAGCCAGGGCCTTCACACCGAGCTAAATCTCAGACTTCCTTTATATTTTTAAATTTTGAAGTGGTCTCACTTAGTTGCCTATACTACCAACCCTTTTTTGAGACTTACCCCATTGCATGATAGCTGCAGGAACCTTCCCATTGGATACCAATCTCAGGCTGTGGTCAGCTTTTCAGAATGCAGAATCTGGATCAGACCAAAGTCTCTTACATCAGGATAGAACTCCCCATGTTGGAGCAGCATCCAACATTCATTCATTCATACAACACATATTTTTGCATATTTACTGTTTTCCAGGCATTGTTTTGGGTACTGGGACATTTCAAAAATGAAATTCCCTGTCTTCTTGGAACTTACTTCCCTGTAGGAGAGACAGACAATAAGCAAATAAACAAAATACAGTATGTTAGGAAGTGGTATGCATTAAAGAGAAAGATAAAGAGGGTGTGGATAGAAGCTGGAGGAAGGTGAGAAAGACTTTTGTGAAAAGTGCTAAAAAGAAGGTGGTGTTGGAATAAAAACATAAAGAAAATGTGAGCAAGTCTGTGGGGGCGAACACTCCTGGTAGGGAAACTGCAGGTGCAAAGGCCCAGGGGTGGGAAGGCAACTGATGTGTTTAGCCAATAGTGAGGCAGCCCTGGATAGCAGGAAGAGCAATAGGAGTCGACTCTGTGAGACTTTTTTTTTTCATTCAGTACTAGGGATGGAGCCCGGAAGCACTGAGCTACATCTCTAACCATCTTAAGTTTTATCTTGAGACAAGATCTTGCTAAATTACCCAGATTGGCCTTAAACTTGCAGTCCTCAGCCTCCCAAGTAGCATGGATAACAAGCATGTGCCACCTGTGTGGCATTTAGTTCAGGGTGTGCATTTCAGAGCCAGGCAGCCTGAATTTGAATCCCAGATTTGCTGTGGGCTCGCTGTGTGATCCTGGGCAAGATGGTTAACTTCTCTGAAGAGGGATAATTACAGCACCTGCCTTTTAGGGCTTTTTATAAGTATTTTAAAACATTAATGCATGTGAAGTGTAGAGAGCCATTCCTGGCACCTCATAAAATGCTCAGGAGGCCTTAGCTGTCATTACTACAGTGATGACTGCTGTTATTATTTTATATCCATTCTCTCATTCATTGGAGCTTTATATCAACTCTAAAAGGAAGGTGGTGTATCCCTAAATCACAACCCGGCAGGCTGATGCTCGGAGAGTTAGAGTGTCTCATCCAAGGTCACCCTGCCAGGCACTGGCAGCCCTGGACTTGGGCTTCCCTGTGCGGAGCATTTTCTGTTTCCACCCTCTGCCTTTCAGAACAGCTCCCCAGCGCTTTGCACTTGGCAGACCCCCATTTGCTGAAAGTATCCAAGCTTCCGCTCGATGCCAGGACACAGTGATCTGTCTGCAGGGGCCTTGTAGTTTGCTGGGAGAGGCTGAAAGTCATTTCAAAGTGACCCATTAACCAGTGAGAGCTGATGCAGTGCAAACCCCACCCAGCCATGGGAGGGGACCCTGGCAGGAAGGCGTGGCTGGCGGGTCTCATCTCAGGCACCACTGGTGCTGGTGCCTGAAACCAAACCCAGGTTGCTGATAACAGGAACCTGTCCATGCCAGGTGGGGTGCAGCGGGCTTTGTAGTAACTCTTATGTGGGTACAGAAACATGTCAGAAATACACAGCACTTATCTGCATAATCCCACTGACTATCATGTTTCATCTTGACCCATTATCCAGATGAGGAAACTGAGGCATAGAATGTTAAGAAATGTAACCAGTAGGTAGTCAAGCTTAGATGTCAACTCTGGGTGAACTGTTCCCTTCTACATATAGAACAGCATGTGGAGCATTTAGTTCTGAGAGAACAGGAAAAGAATCCCAGTCTCAGCCTTGAACTAGCTCACCGGAAGTGCAGATTGGGGCAGGGAGGGAATGCTGAGGAAGATAATAATAAACATGTTCAAGGCTTGTGCTAAGCCCGGCGGCACCGGGCTGGGTGCTAGAGGGAGGTGGTGGAGGCTGACTCCAGGTTGGACCCAGGCCTGGCAGGGTGTGCCCTGTACAGGGAGGGCTGCTGGGGGCTGGTGTTGTGTTCCACTGCTGGGAGCTAGGACTTGAAGGCAAGCCAGACCTCAGAGTGGGCCAAGGAAATCCTGTGCGGGGAGGAGTAGGTTGAGCAGTGGAGCGTACACTCAACACATATTTAACGCATACCTCCTCCATGTCGGGCATCAGGGATTCAAAGCGGAACCTATTCCCTGCGCCCATGGAGTATTTAATATGCAAATGTGCATTGTCAGTCTGCAGGGGGAACCTCAAAGCTGGATGGCACACATTTAATACGAGCATGCTGGGTTTCCCAGCCTCTGTACTGAGCTCCTTCAGTCTGTCTCCATCGAAGCCTCACTACAAACAACCCCTGAGCCCTCTTTTACAAATAAGGAAACTGAGACACAGAATTTGCCCCTCTGTGTGCACCAGTAACCCGCCAGTGGTCATTAGGAGTCAGGATTTGCACATGGATGTGACTGATAGCAAGCATCCCGAGTTTCAGAGATGCCTTTCCAAGGATGATCCTCAAACAGTAGGGACGAGAGGGAAGGAAGTTATTGAGCCCCACTCTGAATCTCAGCTCTGTGCCTGCCCAACTTGCGACCTTTGGCAAATTATTTACCCTCTCTTAGTTCCTTATTTTGTTTCTAAAATGGAGATAAAAGGCTTAGTGCACAGCTGGGCATGGCGCTACATACCTGTAATCTCAGACACTGTGGAGGCTGAGGCAGGAGGATTGCAAGTTTGAAGCCAGCCTGCGCAACTTAATGAAAACTGTCTCAAAATTTTAAAAGGGCTGGGGTTGTAGCCCAGAGGTAGAGTGCTTGTGTATTATGTGTAAGGTCCTGGGTATAATCATTAGCACGCATATACAGAAATGTCTAGTTCACCGAGATGACTGTGGTGATTAAAATGAGAAAATGAAGAAAAATTGCTTAGGATAGAAAGAAACAGCAGTTACTAGATGGTAGACTCTGCCCAAGTCTGTCCTCCTGCCACATGGGTGAAACACTCCCTGTGGGGACTGGTCACCCTCTGGGCCTTCTTGGTTTCTCCTCCAAACTGTCTGGGAACTTTTTTTTTTTTGGTCTTTTTTTTTTTTTTTTTTTTTTTTTTTTTATCAGTACCAGGGATCGAACTCACGACCGCCTGCTTGCAAGGCAGGTGCTTATGCCGTTGAGCTAAACCCCCAGCCCCTGTCTGGGAACTTTTGAGCTATAGAAGAGATGGCAGGCTGGTGCTGGCCAGGGCTCTTGGCTCTGCACGTTGGGGAGAAGAGGCAGCAGTGATGAGGCGGGACCAGGGAGGCTGCAGGGTGAGAGGGGGGAGTCTACTCACGTGTGTCTCCTCTTGGCTGCAGGGACTGCCTGGAATTGACGGTCTGCCAGGACAGCCTGGGCTCACTGCAGAAGTGGTAGGTACCAGCCAACACACCGTCCACCTCCCCGTGCCCCTTTCCAGGGCTCCTCTGGCCACCCAGCCCCTTTAGCTGTGTGTGGGGTCCCTCTTCTCTCCTGCTGTGGTGTGGGAGAAGTCCAGGGGGCCTGATGCTCTCCAAGGCTGTTCCTGATCCGACAGCCCCCCCCACCTGCTGGAGCCCACACTGCCATCTTTTGCAGGGCTCCTTACCCATCGAGCGGCAGCTCCTGAAGGTGAGAGGGCTGGGGAGGTGATTGGAACTGGTGGGGTTTTCTCTGAAGGGCGTCTTCCCAGCGAGTACTCAGCTGTGGGCCCCTCACAGAGAGCAACAGATTGAGCTCGCTGGTTCCCTGTTGCGGGGAATGTGCCTTCCAAGCATCTGTCTAAGAGGGCCTGGTTGATGCCTGGTTTGTAGCAGATCCTCAGGCAATGTGTGCTGAATGCGTGCTTAAAGGAACCCTGTGAAAATCCCCCCTCTCCTGGCCCAGGCTAGTCAGTGTCCTAGACATCCCACTACCCCTCGGGCCTTGGCTGGGGCAGAGTGTGGGGGCTGCCTGCCCTGCCCCTTCTCTGAACTGCAGATATCTCCAGAAGCAGCCGGAGGAGTGGTCAGGTCAGCCTCCTGGCAGCAGCTACGCACTGGATCCAAGTGGGGCTGTGGCATTAAGATCCCTGGCTCTTCTCTTCTAGGCTCTGTTGAGCCTGGGCTCCCCCATACCCTGACCTTGGGCCATGATTATGTGACTCCAAATCCAGGATTTGACATTGCTTCTTGTAAAATTTCACTTGCTGGCTTCCTAATGGAGTGCTCCACAAAGGAACTCCCCTGGGAGCTGAGTGTACCCTTAGACAGTCAGATGATAGCATCAGGGGTGCTGCCCAGGAGTCCCAGTCCCAGCTGCATCCACAACCCAGCAGAAGCACTGGCATGGCCATGGACAGACGGAGCCAACCCGGCTCCCACCAACCTAGACATAGACTTCTTTAGAGGGTCAGCTTTCTCACAGTCTGGACAGCGCTTGAGATAACCTGCCTTCCAGCCCTGAGGACTGAATGTGGTAATGCTCAGAGACCTATTATGACAGCCGGCCTCCTGGGGGCCACATAAATGATTACTGTTACCTTTGGGTGTCACAGTGAATAGGGAAGGGGAGACCTGGGCTCCCACCTGGGATCCCTGAACACCACATCCTGCCACAGACAAACTCCGGAGCCCAGAGTCTTCATAAACTGTGGACTGGTTCTCTTGGGTGGGTTTGAGTTTGGAAGAGAGCACTGATGTCTTCCATCACATTCTCAGAGACTGTGAGCCAGAGCAAGTGGAAGCCTGGGGGAAGAAGCGTGGTGGGCTCGGTGACCTGGGGAGCCCGTGACAGTCATGCTGCTCTGGCACCAGAGGCCAGGCCCAGCCCACAGGGTGTCCTCGAAGGGCCCAGCGCCTCCAGCAGCTGTGTCCCTGGCTCCCTTGAGCCACAGACCTGGCTTCCAAGCCAGCCCTTGCCGCCTCACTCCTGGTGGCTTGTCCTCCCAGTGGGCGCAGGTTGCAGAAGCAGCGGGGACAGATGGTCCCTCCGCGGGCCCCTCCACCTCCTCCCACACGCCTGTCTGGCCCCACCAGAGCTTCTTCCTGGAGGGAAGTCAAAGCCAAATGTTGGAACTGGGTCCCCTGAGGATGGAGCAAAGCTGCCACAGGGCTGAGGCTGGGGGGGGGGGGGTTCCAGGCAGGACGCCCTGGCCTCCTGCTGTGTTGGGCTTTCCCTGTTGGGCCCATCCTCACCGGCTCTGACCTAGGTCCCAATGCTCTCCCTGTTCCTTTCCTAGAGTATCTGTGGGGACTGTGTCCAGGACCAGATGACCAACCCATCATCCCTCCAAGAAAAGGGAGAGAAGCGAGACCAGGCCGTATCTGGAGTGCCAGGCCTTGACAGTTGTGCCCGGGTAGGGACTGGGTTGGGGTACCCAGGCGATGCTGGGTCTCCCTGGCTGCCTCTTCTGACATGGCCTCTCTTGTCCTCTGCAGTGCTTCTTGCAGCGGGAGCGCCCGAGAGCCGAGGAGGCCAGGGTCAGTGAGCCCTCTCCTTACCTGCCATCCTTCCGCCTCATCTTGGAAAGAGGCCCCATCTGCTCACTGTCACATCTCTGTCCCCACTCCAGGGAGACAACATGGAGAAAGATTCTGACTGTGTTGAGAGCCCTGGCCTGCCTGGTCCTCCAGGGCTTCCAGGCCAGAGAGGAGAAGAGGTGAGACCAGGGAGGGGGCCCCCATCTGGGCAGGGCCAAGGTACCCAGGGTTCCCCCAAGGCCTAGAGATCTTCCAGGACCACCCAACACCTCACGGGGCTCAGAGCACCTCACTGCCTGGCCTCCCCTGGTTCTCTGGACACTTGTCCCTTGCCGTTTCCTCTGCCTGCAAGGTTCTTCTCAGGGCCCATTCCTGCACACCTTCTGAGATGGGGGTCACACGGCACCTTCTCAGCAAGACCTTCCTGGACACCCTCTCTAAAATGAAATCCTCAGCCAGGTGCATGCCTGTGATCCCAGCACTCTGGGAGGCTGAGACAGGAGGATCACAAGTTCAAATCCTGCCTGCAAACGTTAGGGAGAACCTGTCTCCAAAAATACAAACCTTTCACTAATATCAGAACCCCTGGGTCCCTAGCTGCATCATACTTTTAACTTAATATGCTGTGTATTTACTTCCTTCAAAAACATTCCACAAGTATCAACTAGGTACCAACTAAGTGCCAGCCCTGTTCTATTTGCCACTGTCCACCTTGCCTCTGGAATCTAAGTGCTACTACAAGGCAGGGATTTATATAGCTTTATTTATAGCTGTGTTTCCAGCCCCTGGACCAATGCCCAGCACATAATAACTGCTCAATAAATGTTAGATGACTGAATGAACTAAATGAAAGGCCATTTTAGCATCCGCTAAATGGTCCTGCTTTGACACCGGCTGCCTGCTGTTGCGTTTGGCCTTGCTGTTACCAGGGCTCTTTGGGGCTCCAGCTTCTTCATTTACTGTCCTTGGCTTCCTTACAGGGTCCACCTGGCATGAGGGGCTCCCCAGGTCCTCCGGGCCCTATTGTAAGTATCAGTGGTTCCCTGACTTGCTTGAGAGGCTTTCAAAGGGGCTCTGATACTCACACTCCATTTTGCTGCTTTGTCCCCAAGAAGCTGGGCAGGGCAGGAAGGGAGAGCTTCCATTTCCCCATGAGAGCATCTTTGGAGACTGGTCTTCTAGCCCTGGTCCCCTGGAACCGCCCTGCTCTGCCTGCGTCCCTGCTTAGGCCAGGCCCCCAAGGGCACATCTTTACCTCCACTTTATTGCCGAGTTTGTTTTACACGAGTCCAGGTTGCCTAGGCAGCCAGGCAGGTGTGTGGTCTTCTGGCCAGAACTCTTCCTGCCCCTACAAGGGGCAAGTGTCCTGACGGAGCTGGGACCATCTCTGGGGCAAGACTACGAAGACCAGAGCCGGGCATCTACCCTGGAGTTCTCTGCGGTGTTCGTAAGGCAGGAAAAGAGAAGGGACTAGAAAGATGGGAAGAACTGGCCATGTGTTCTTTGGAGAAAAATGTCTGGTGGGAGCCTTCTTGGAGCCCAAAAGCCATTACACGGAGGGCGCGTGGAGCCCAGGTTGCTGGGAAGACAGGCAGTACCACAAGGACCCGGCTCCCGCTCCAGACTCAGGAAGCCTGGGGACGGTTTTTGACTCTGGCCTTGTTTGCATCTCTGCTGATGGAGGAGCCATTCTTCCAGCTGCCAAGGGGAGGAGCAGTTTTGTTCTGGGCCGGGGAGGTCAGCAAGTCTCTTTAGCTGCCTTGAAACACTCCCAAGTCCTCCTCTCCCCCACAGCTCCCAGTCTTAGACTGTGCTCCCCTGGCCATCCCAGGGTGACTGTGCTCGTGAGATGTGACCTGCCTGTTTCTCCCACCAGGGCCCCCCAGGTTTTCCTGGTGCTGTTGGCTCCCCCGGATTGCCCGTAAGAACCTAGCGCTGCTGACTTCCCCTCCCCCGCCAGCAAGGTCTCTGTGGCTTTTGCTTGTGTCCCTACCTGTGGTGCCCTCACACCCCTCCTCTGTGTTCGATGTCCCCTGCAGGCACGGTAGCTAACGACACAGGTTCCCGGTGGCTTGGATATCCTGGCCCCTTCCTGTTCCCTCTCCCTCTCCCTCTCCTCCCCCATCTCTGGATTTCACCTGTTTCCCTGCCTTCCCTCTCACAGTCCCATGCTCTCCCTGCAAGTCCTCCTGGCCCTGGACTGTTTTACCTTCGTGTTTCAGCTGGGGCCTCTGAGTCCCTTTATTCCTCTCTTCTCACTTCTGCCCCCTGCTTCTCACCACCTGCCGTGTGCACTGAAGATTTCAGCAAAGTGGTTCTTGGGGCCCTGCCAGGCACCTGGCCCCGAGCCCGGCAGAGATGCCAGAGCGTCAGGGCTTCACACTGCAGGCTGGCCGGGGTTTGCCGCCCTGCTGCTTAGCAGGGCTGTCCAGAGGCACTCGGGTTTGAAGGCAGCCCTGCCCGCCCCTTCCCTGTGTCCCCGAGGAAACCCTCCGCTCCCTGCTCTTCCCCCCTCTTCCTTGGCTCCAATCTGGGCTCACTCCAAGGCTGGCCATGTGGTACCAGCTAGTGGCCTTTCTGGGTGTTGAGGGGCCTCGCCCCTCTGTGGCCAGTGTCTTGGCCTTTGCTCCTTCTGCCAGGTGTCGTTAATTGCTCTGCCTTCCTTGTCGCCGTCGCAGGTGTGTTAAAGTCACCCCCACCCTCATCCTCGCTCCGTCCGGGTCACGGCAGCAGCTAACCTCCTGTGTGTCACACTCCTGTGTGTGCTCCCGGGGCCTGGCTCCTCCCCTCCCAGGCCTGGCGTTGGAGGCTCGTGGAGCACGGCCCCTCCTTGTCACAGTTCCATCTGTCCCCACGTCCTCATCTCTGGCCGGGCCTTGTCTGTTTTTGCTTGCTTGGGTGAAGGGGCCATCTGTCCGTCTAGCCATCTGTCTCGTGTCATGAAAAGTTTGGGCGCCGTGTCTTGAGGGCAGAGGGAGAAGGTGGTAGAAAAGGTGTGACAAATCTACAAAGGCCAGGGTGAGGAACAAGGTGTGGGGCTCCAGCTCTGATTGCAAGGAGTACCCCTTCCGCAACACTAAGTGACAGGGATTGCCCCGGAGGGAACCCTCCGTGTCGCTACCCTACATCCCTAAAAGGAGGTGATTTGGGGCTCGGGTGGGACTTGGACAGGTAAGTGTTGGGCATCTGGTGATACGCTTTGGTGGGGACCATCCATCCGGGGACACCCCTCCTGACCGTCACCCCTATGAAGGAGCACACATCTTATTCGTACCCTCCCAATGGTACACCCGAGACTTCCACCAGGTATTGTACCATGACAGTCACTTAGGAGGCATCCTCTCCGAGCCACCCAGTCAGCGCACATCTCTGTAGCTACCTGTCTTGAGGGGTTATGCTCATGAAAGGCTCCCATATGGGGCGTCGTCTTCCAGAGCACACCCCACACAGTCCCAGCCTTGCTAGGGCCACTGGAGGCCTCTGCCTGTGCCTAGCGTGAGAGAGACGAGGAGCAGGGGAGCCAGGGGCCTTTCTCTGCAGTTTCTCATGGTTTTTCTCTCCAAGGGCCTTCAAGGAGATCGAGGCCTCAGGGGCCTGACAGGGGACAAAGGGGAGCCGGTAAGAAGAGGCAGTGGGGGCTGGAGAAGGATGGGGAGCCCTGGGGAGACAGGTTGGGCTCTGGGGTGGCAGTGAGTCGGAGGTGGGAAGTGGGTGTTTGGTTTTGAAACTCTTGGCCGCTCAGCTCTGGCACCCTTGGTGTGGGAGTCCTCGTACCTCTCAGCCTCAAAGAAGCCCAGTCCCCGTGTGAAGCCAAAGCCTGGTCCCCCGTGCACCCCTCAGCCTGCAGTATCCAGTGTACTCCTCCCCTCTCTGCCCACTCTGGGCCTCCCAGGGTTCTGGGCAGCCTGGGTCTTGCCACCCAGCCCCGGTCTCAGGTGATACACCGAGGAGCCTGGGCTGCCGGGAAATGGCCAAAAGTGGTAACTGTCCCCAGGTGGGTGGGCACACATGGGTCAGCAGCTGCAGACATTGTGGCGTTGGCCACCCTTTTGCCCAGGGAGGATGGAGTATAAATACCAAAGGGCTAACCCATCGTGTCTACCTTTCTTCACAGGGTCCTCCTGGACAGCCTGGCTACCCAGGTGCCATGGGCCCCCCAGGACTGCCGGTGAGTAGGGGATCCTTGTTCCAGGGGTCCTAAAGGCTTGGGGTGGTAGACAGGCATCTCTCAGCAGGTTCCTCCTTTCCAGCCAACTGTGGGCCCCTCTGCAGGATTTGGCCCTGCCACTGCCTTGGGGCCAGACCCCTAGGGAACACTGTGAACTCCGGTCATGGCAGGGGCTGCCTCGGGGTATCGGGGAGGCTGGGAGAATGGAGGCCCCTGGAAGGCACCACCCTCATGGGAGAGTTGGTGGGGCAGGCTGTGTCCCCAGATTCCACTGAGGGTCCCAGAGACAGGCAGGAGGCCACAGGGGCACTACCTCTCCTGCCTGGCTGTCTTCCCCGGTGCCCTGGGCCTCTGGGTACCAGTCTGGGTGCCAACTGCAGGCTCCACCCCTCACATTAGCACCAACTGAGCAGGCCAGGAGACTAATTTTGCTCTCTCTCTCTCTCTCTCTCTCTCTCTCTTTCCCTTTCTCTCTCTCTCTTTCTCGGATTGTCAGGGCATCAAGGGGGAGCGAGGCTATGCGGGGCCGGCAGGAGAGAAGGGAGAGCCGGTGAGTCCAGTCACAGCGCTCAGCTCAGCTTGCGGGGGCGGGAAGAAAAGCTTCAAAGACGCTGCCTCCGACAGCCACCACTGTGAGCGAGCCAGAGATTTTCCTAGCAGCCTATGAGCCTGTGAGGAGGAGCCGTGACCCTGCCGCCCCTGCCCCCCGAGTTGCTCCAGCTGCGTCTCAGCGCAGGCTGGTGGCTGCGGAGGCGGAGGCTGTGAGGAGAATCCCAGCAGGTCGCATGCAGGCTGGATGCTGGCGTCAGCTGGCCGGCTCTTCCTTCTGCTGCCAAGACAGCCCGGCCAGGGCTGGCCTAAAGAGCGCCAGGGCCTGGGCCTCCCCCCCAGCTACCCTTCCCAGAGGCCCCACGCTGAGTGCTGCAGCTGGGGGCTGCTATCACATGAGGACCATCGGTATGGCCTGTAGTAAGCTAATAGTGGGGCCTGGCCAGGTCTGGTGACAAATCTCAGAACTAGGAGCAGCCTAACTGGGACCAGAGTCTTTTACTTTTCCGCCTCACGAATTTCCCCCAGGCCTCAATGGGATCCAGCAAACTGTCACACTTTTATCAAATAACAAAGGTTTCTCATGGCCTGCTGGGTGTCAAGCTCCCTTGGGAGGATCCTGCCAAGAGTCCAGCAGGCAACTATAGCATGCAGTCACGCAGACATGATGAGAGAGAGGGGACACACAGGGCAGGGGAAACGGCTGCAGCAGCCTGGAGACAGAGGACAGGGCCAGGGGGTCCTCGGAGGAGGCAGCATTTGAACTGAGACCTGAATGGCAGGACGAGGGAGCCCTCAGTTGTGTGTACTGAGGAATTCCCTGAGGGAGAGGCCAGGGGTGGGGCACTGCAGGCCCAGCTGAGGCCGCGTAATGATTCAGTACGGTTCCAGGAGACCTAGAAGGGTGGCGAATGTGGGCTGTCTTGGTGGGGGGCAGGTAGCCATTCAAAGGCCAGGGGGTGGGAACATACATGGCGTGTGGAGGGTAGGCAGTCCCTTCACGGGGCACAACAGAAGTGAGGGAAGTGAAGCAGGATGGTGCCAGATGATGGCCCCTCAAAACCCAGCACTGACAGAAAGTGTGTCCCTCATTCACTTGGCAGAGGAGAGCCAGGGAAGGTTTTTGAACAAGGGAGTGACATAATCAGAAATATGCTTCAGGAAGAGAAGGGGACAGCCATTTGTCAGCTGGCTTGGTGAGCTGGGAGGTGGCAGGACCAGTTAGCAGGCTGGCTCCACAGCTCAAGCCAGAGACAGAGGGGGAAGCCCCACAGGACCAAGCAGAGTCTTTCCATCTCAGCTGGTCTCCCACCGAGAGTCCTGACCTTCCCCATCCCACCTCTTAGCTCCCCCAGAGTAACTAATTCTGCTTCTTTTCATCCTCAGGGCCCCCCAGGATCTGACGGCCTCCCAGGTTCCCCAGGGCCAGCGGTAAGTGAGAGGGCATGGGGAGAAGTGGACATGGATTCCTTGGTTCCTCTCTGGGGCCTGAGCACAGCACGACTGGGTTCCAGCTGTATTCTTCTCTTGTGGCGACAGGGTCCCCAAGGGGAGCGAGGACCCCAAGGGAAATCCGGTGAGAAGGGTGACCAGGTGAGTGACTGGGCCCTGGCTGGGCAGAGGCAGGGAAGGGACGGGTCTTTCTCTCTGAGGTCACCAGCTCTAAACCATTCCCCCGACCCTGGAACTGTAGGCTCCTGGCCTGCTGGCCCGTGGGCTTCAGACTTGAAGCTGCCTCATTTTGTCATTCTTTCCACCTGGGCAGCCAGGCAAAGAGAAGGTGGCACAGCAAACTGTCCTTTGCTTTCTCCCCTAGGGCTTCCAAGGCCAGCCAGGTTTTCCAGGCCCACCGGTGAGTGAGGGAGGACACAAGGCCACTCTGTCTGATGTTCTGTCTCTGTCTCTGTCTCTGTCTCTGTCTCTGTCTCTCTCTCTCTCTCTCTCTCTCTCTCTCTCTCTCTCTCTCTCTCTCTCGGGAGGGGATGGGCCTGGGGAGAGGTGGGAAGACCAGGAGAGGAGCAGCCTGGGTGGTCAGGCCTGATTTCCCTGGCAGACCTGGAGAGCTGACCTCCCCGGTGGACCCAGCTGGCCAGGCAGGCGTAGCGCGCCTGGGTGGTGTTTCTAGGAAGTCCAAAGCTGTGTGTTAACAGTGAAACACACGCACGCACAGGAGGAAGAGACCGAGTGCCTCCCACCCCCACCCGTTTTCATTCCTGCCTGCTTTGTTGACACAGGGTCCTCCTGGATTCCCAGGCAAAACTGGAGCACCTGGCCCTCCTGGCCCCCAGGCAGAGAAGGTGAGTAAGACCCCAAACTGGCCAAGGTCACAGATCTGAGCCATGCAGCTCCCATCCCCCACTGGGAAATTCCGACTGTACCAAGGCTGGTCAGTGACTGCAGGATGGCACCAGGGACCATGGTGGACCAGTGGTTCCTAGGTGGCCCTTGGTTCAGGGTCCTGCTGGCACTAAGCAGCCCCAGGCTGCCATTTAGTGGGAGGGGAGAAAGGTGGGTGGAGGACAGGGTGGGCAGATGAGTGGTAGAGACAGGTGACTAGGCCTTGGCCAGCTTCTCAGGGGGGCAGCAAGGAGCACAAGGACATAGGGAAGCACTGAGACCAGGAACCCCAAGAGAGGATGCCCACCCAGAGGGGAAGCAGGTCTCCCTCTCAGGCAGCCACGTTTAAACTTGCAAAGGCCTGGAGAGGGCATGTATGACCTGGAAGTAAGGGTGGGGAGGGACAGCAGCCTGGAGAGGCCCCCACCAGCTGCCCCAGGACACTATCATATACCATGTTAGCAGCCCACCTCCCGGGCCCTCACCGCCTCCGGAGCACAGTCATAGTTGGAAGTTCGGGCAGCTCCCTTCACCTCCCTTCACTGAGGAAGACCCTTCTCCGCCCCTGCGCGTCATTGCAGAGAATCCCAAACTGCCGGTTCTCCTTCGGGACACTCAGTGGAGCTGATTTGGCTGGGGATGTGCTGACCCCTCCTGGTGGTTTGTGGCATTGCAGGGCCCCAGAGTTTTTCCGGTCCAGGCCTCACTGCCACACCCACGGCTACCCACCCAGGCCAGCCGCTGTCGCCTGGGGGCTGAGGGCGGGGTGGGGAATGTTCAGCAGCCCAACCCGCTCAGCCTCTTGCCACCCACTCCTCTCCTCCGGTAAACATTCCAGTCCACACGCCTGTTCTCATCACTCTCCTGCTTTGAGCTTTCGGTAACTCCCCAGTGTTTTCAATTTTATTTTATAGCCTTTCACACATAAAAGATTATGTAAAACCTCAATCTGTAAAACAGATACAAGTGGAGCCCCTCTGGCTGAGTGGAGTTTCACCTCCTGGATCTCCACTTCTACTCCCAGCCTCGAGGCTCTCATAGGTGCTCTCTGGGCTCGGAGTGCAATGTGAAACCCCTAGTCCACCTGATAAAGCTTTGCACTCAGGACCCTTCTCAATCAGGCTCCACCTCTTCCAGCCCCTGCCCCACCAAGGACATGGCCCCAAAGCCCTGGCCGTGTAGGCTTGTGACCACTTGCAAAGCTTTATCCTTCTCCTAGGTGCCCTCTGACAGGCCCCTTCCTCCTGCCGTCCAGTCCCACGCATCTGTCCATCAGGGTCTTTCCTGAGCCCTGGCTGTTGTGAGCACCTCCCTCCTCCCAGCCGTAGTCCCTTCTTGTGGAGTGTGGGGACTGTTGCCTTGCCCTGGGTGGTGGCCTGTAGCTCTTGCTAGACTGAGAGCTCCTGAAAGACGAGGGCCTCTCTCCTTTTTTCCCTGTGGGCCTCAATGCCCATATTACATGGCCTGTGATCTGAATGGCCCCGTCCCCTTCCACAAAGCAGTGAGGTAAGGAGTTGCTTTGCAGATGAAGGCCTGCTCTTGGGCATAGAGTGTATGCAATATATCAGTTAGGTCAGGATGGAACTGGAGCTAGGAGCCAGATGCCCTGATTGCCAGGGGACCGCAGAACCCCTGGACCAGGGCCATCTTTAAGGCAGGGGCAAGGCTGTAATGACTTTGTTGGGGTACTGATTTCCAGGGCAGTGAAGGAATTCGAGGACCAACAGGCTTGCCTGGTCCCCCTGGGCCACCAGGACCTCCTGGGATCCAGGTGAGTGTGTGCCGTCTCCACCCAGTAAACCAGGCTGTGTGTGTGTGTGTGTGTGTGTGTGTGTGTGTGTGTGTGTGTGTTTGTATTCTCTGGAGGAAGACAAGAGTTGGGTGAGTGGTGGAGAGAATGGGGGGACTGAGTGGGGTCTCCCACCTGGGGTCTGGCACAGCGTGAGATGCCCTTCTCCCGCTGCAGGGCCCTGCAGGGCTGGAAGGCCTGGATGGGAAGGATGGCAAGCCCGGTGTGAGGGTAAGATGGTAGCCAGGAGGGCAGCCTCCTTCCTCTCCTCTTTCCTCCAAAGAACAGAGTCAAGAGAGCCCCCAATAAAAGGAATTAAAAGACCTCTCATGTCCACCGTCCCCTTAAGCTGTCTCCTGCTGTAACCCCCTCCCTGTTGGCACCAGAGCCCCTAGGCTTCTCAGTCCTAGTGCCCTTATACAAGTTAGCTGGGCCTCACCAAAGGCAGGACAGTGACAGGGACGCGTTTATTTTAGGAAACTCAGGCAGTGAAAGAAACCAGACTATGCTACAGAAAGGATCAGACTGCAGGCTGTGGTGGCAGCCACCTGTAATCCTCGCTATTCAGGAGGCTGAAGCAGGAGGCTCATGACTTTCAAAGCAGCCTGGCCAACTTAGTGACCCCCAGCCTCAAATAAAAAAGACTGTAGCTCAGTGACAAAGTACTTGGCTAGCATAGAAGAAGCCCTCGGTTAAATCCTCAGTAATGTTTAAGAAAAACAGGAGGGAGGAATCAGACTACAGACATGGGCAGTCTTGAGCAAGCCCTGGTTCCTCGGGTCAGGTTTTGCTGGAGAATCTGAAAGGATGAGACCATAGCAAAAACTGAATATTAAGAGCAAGCCCGTTCTATACTTAAAAGGAGGGAAACAGAGGCTTAGGTTGCTGCTGCTTCACTCGGGGTCTGCTGCCAGTCAGAGGGCACACCAGGCTCCTGTCTCCCCCTCTGCCCCCCCATCCCCCCGCGACATTCCTGCCATCCTGGGGTGGTTGGGAGGGGCTGGGCAAGAGGAGGCAAAGCTGTGATGAGTGGGTTGGATTCAGACTGAAGCAAGCTCTTGTTGTAATGTCCCATCTCTTTCCCTAGGGAGACCCTGGTCCTCCTGGCCCCCCTGGTCTCATGGGACCCCCTGTAAGTTGAGCCACAGAGGTAAACTGAGCTACAGGAAGGAGTTGGGGGGCTCTGAGGCCTCCAGGCTGAGCAGCCACAGTCTCTGCCTAGAAGGGCGGGGCAGCTCAAACCCTCCAGAACCTTCTGTACCAAGCTTCGACTTGGATTGGTTCCATTTGTTTAAACTGAGGAACGAAGTGGGGCGGGGGGAGGCGGCTTTGGCTGATCTGAAAGATCTGTTAGCTCTCTGCTTCTCCTCCCAGGGTTTCAAGGGGAAAACAGGACATCCTGGCCTCCCAGGACCCAAGGTAAGCGTGTTTTCTCTGCTATCCTGATGCCTGACCCCTGACAGACATGGAAGCCCACCCTAGGCAGAGGTGCTACATGACGTCCTAAGGCCTCTGAGGCCTGGCAGACTAGGTCAGGGTTTTGCCATCTACCAGCCTGAGGGTACTGGGAGTCTGTGGCCAAAGCCAGAACAGGTGGCAGCGCCCCTCTGCTAAGGGTTGACTTGGGCGCGCATTACCCTCTCAGGCTACCCGTCTCTCTTCCAGGGTGACTGTGGCAAGCCAGGGCCCCCTGGCAGCAGTGGCCGGCCAGGTGCAGAGGTAAGGCCTACTGATTTGTGCATGCTGCTATTATGAGACTGTGGGCTTAGCTGAGGCTGAGATGCAGCTGCTTCCTTCCACTCACTGCCAAAGCAGCCGCCTTCTCTCCTCAGCCTTCTGAGGCCAAGTTGTACCCAACACTGGACACCTCAAACCTCCTAAACTTGTCCAGGCTTCTGGGTCACTCAACCTTGAAGGCAGGGCCTGGCCTTCTTAGTCCTGCAAGGCTTGTGTTAAAGGCCAGAGTCCCGCCTGGATCCTACGGCCACTGGTGTCCTCCTTTGCTCGGCCCTTTCCCACCTAGCAGCTTCATGTGTGTCTGTGTCAGTGTGTGTCACCTCTTTCTTTTTCTGGCTCCTACAGGGTGAGCCTGGTGCCATGGGACCCCAGGGACGACCGGGCTCTCCTGGCCACATTGTAAGTAAACTGTTTTTGTCCCTGCCTCTCAGAGAGTTAGGATTCTCTTGCAGTGGAGGGGGGTGGACAAGCCTATGACTGGCCTGGAAGCACCAGCCCCAGGAGCAGCTCTGGCTATGCAGAGATACAGGGGGCTTTGGACTCACCCAGCTCAGTATTCCCCTAGCTTTCCACCACCCTCTTCCTTTCTGGGCACATGCAAGTTCACATGTCAGACAAAGGGCATTCAGCTAATCAACAAATAATTATTGAGCACCTGCTCCATACCAGGCACTGTCCCAAGCATTGGGTGACAGTAATGAGCAAGAAAGACCAAGTCTCCTAATCTCATGGAGCACTGGCAGGGACACAGCAAACAAATTAACTTGGAAACATCAGGCCGTGATATGCTGTCATGGAGGGGGCATCAGGAGGTGGTGATAGAGGAAATCTGGCTGGGTGAGTGGCATCTGCCCTAGGCCTGCATAAAAGGAGGAAATAACTATTGAGCAGCCGGAGTCCCAGGCAGAGGGGCGGCTGACTCAGAGAACCAAGGGCCAAGGCAGCGAGGAGCTTGGAGGGCTTGAAGGACCCCAAGAAGGTCAGCACGGCTGGAGTATAGTTTTAAAAAGACACAAGGACACAAGTGGGACCAGAGAGCTGAGCTTAGACAAGGGCTGAGGGGATGCTGGAGGCCCTCACAGGGCAGGTCAGGAAGGTGGGGAGGGCAGGCACAGGAAAGTGGTGGAGGGAGAGCTCAGGGAAGCTCGGAATGTGCCTGGAGGTAGAGGACTTGCTAATGACCTGAGCTGGGGCAGGGGCAGGGGCAGGGGCACTGGTAGAGGAATCAGAAATGATGCTTGCGCCTGCATTTGGCTTGGGCATCTGGGTAAGTAGGTGGTGTGTTTACTGCAATAGTGTGGCTTGAAGAGAACGTTTATTAAGCAATAATGAATTTCCCATCTACTTTACTCATCAGGAACACAGACGACTGCCAATTGGTGCCTTTGATCAGTGTGACGGCACCAAGCTGATAGGGCTCTGGAGAAAGTGAATGCCCTAGCATTTTATTGCAGCCCTATCTGGGCTGGCAGCATAATTTTCAGGAGGTTTTTGGAAATGTTAAAAATAGCTCATGACCAAAAAAAAAAAAAAAAAAAAGGAATTCTTTAAGTCTCTATTACCCTTTTTATGCATCTCAAGGGGTAGCGCCCAGCCTACTCACATTATACATGAAAAGAGTTGCACATTCTCAAGCAGTGGCTCAGTGGAGAATCCTTGGGGGCTAGGATAAAGGGGTGCAGGATTCCTCCTCTCACACCTGCCTATCTAGCTAAAGTGCCCTGATGTGTGGTGATCTCAGTGCTGGACATTTCTACCCAAGAGTCTCAGATGAGTAGGACACAGATTTTGGCTTCTGGAACTTTCCATCTGGGTGTGTGAATAAACATGCTCTGAGAGAGAACTGAGTGCCTTGGGAGGCAGAAAGAGTGTCACTGACCAAGGAGGTGGCATTCGAACTGTGCTGCGGCAACGATGTGGGCCATCAGAGATAGGGCAGTCCTAGCACTGGCATTCTGGGGTCCTGGAGAGCCACTGCACCCCAGAACCAGGATTGGTGAGGCACCAACAGACTGGGGATAGGACCAGAGCTCTGAGTGGACATTATGCTTGGTGCTGAGCCCCTGGCCTTCCCTGCAGGCCCTGGTTCTTGGTCTTCCCACCTCTGCAGAGCAGCAGGAAGTGGATTTGGTCATCTGTAGGGAAGGAGGGGTTTCAGAAACCCTGGCTCAGTAATTGGTTCTCTCAGGCCTTTGCTCTCTGTGCTTGGCCTCTGCCTGGAGCTCCCATTCTCTGCCCTCACACAGCCCCAGGTGCACCATTCTGTGGACTCTGGAGGGTCTTGTGTGCTCAGGTCTCCCAGGCCTCTGGTGTGGGCACAGATCTTTCTGGCCAAAGCTCATGTGCAAAAGCAGGAAGGAAAGAAGGATTTCAGGGAGAGGACGCAGTTGGTGGAGTTTAGGATCTGCTCCAGCTGCCAGCCTCTTTCCCCAGGGGCTTATCATTACAGCCTGTTTCCACCCCACTGACTCTCTGCTCTGTAGGGGCCTCCGGGGCCTCCAGGCCAGCCTGGTCCAGCTGGGATCTCTGCGGTGGTGAGTTACACTTCCCCCTCCTGCTCCCTTCCAGGAGCGCTGCCCTGCTCTGCAGTGGGCTCCTTGGGGGGGTGGGTGGAGACAGAGGGAGGGAGAATAGCAGGTCTCCATCTCCCTCCTCCTCTGATGTCAGCCTTGCTGTCTCCAATGAGCCTCCTTCCAGGATGTGGCGAAGGATGCCCGTGAGGGTTGGGCCATTCCAGGACCCTGCTGCATGTTCAGGCAGCGTCAACCCACTCCTGTAGGGCCTGGGAGGTGGGGGCACAGTGCCTGGTATACGATGGAGTGTCTCTATCTAGCTGTGTGGAACCCAGTACTTTCCCCACCCCATCAGTCTTCCTATTCCCTAGGGCCTGAAAGGAGAGCGAGGAGCTTCTGGAGAAAGGGGCCCAGCAGGTATTCCAGGCCAGCCCGGCCCACCTGGACACCCTGGTCCCCCGGTAAGGTCCCACAGCCTCCAGCACAACCCAGGGGAAGGGTCAGCTAGCTTTGCCAGTTGGGTATAGCACTGCGGACCTGGCCTCCAGGGAAGGAGAGAGTGGAATAGGACGGGACGGCAGCACAGGAGGACCAGGTGTGGTTGGAGAGACAGACCCACAAGCCGCTGCCATGCCACTTGCACACAAGGTCACTGCCTCTGCCAATGCTAAGTGTCAAAGGAGACTCAGACCCTGTTCTGCCCTGTCCTGCCCAAGAGAACTTGTCGGTAATCATAGAAAGTCTAAAAATGTCAGGAAACCAGAAATGCAGTGTTATGCTATAGCTTTCTGAGCTCCTCAGAAACCATGACGTGGTCTCAGCCCACGTTTAGCACTAAGAGCAATGCTGTCTTGACCACTCACCAGTGCTGCTTGGTGAACGAAGTACTTGATGTGCATTTGCCTTTGTACTTCCACTTCTTTTGGGGGATTGATTGTCCCCATTTTAGATGAGGAAAGCCAGGCTCAGCAAGGCTGAGTAGGTTGTTCAGAGCTTGTAAGTGGAAGAGAAGTGACTTGTTCCCTAGCCTGCTTGGTTCCACAATTTGACTTCTTAACCGGTCTGCAAAATTACCTCTTTCAAAAGCTCCCCACAAGTGAACCATATCAAGTGGAATTGATTGCTAGTCTCAAGAAGGAAAAATCTCCTGGGTAAGCCCAGGCAGGGCCCCAAGTTTCCTAGCCCCATCAGGGTGCTTTCTACCAAGTAGACTTTCCTGTGGGGAGAGAAGCAGTGACCCTGGGGCTGGTGGTTTGGGATGGGGTGAATGATTCCAGTTGCTGTCAGGGTGGTCACCCAGCCAATGTGCCAGGAAGGCCTAGAGCCACTGCTCATACTTACTCTAAGTACTAAGTACCTACTAAGTGCCTACTAAGTACCCTGGACGGATTGCTCCTATGCTGTCCAGGGAAGTGGCATTTGAGCTGTGCTCAGAGGAAGGATGTGCACCATCAGGAGACAGGTCCTTAGGAGCCTCCAGAGCCCCCCAGAGGCATCTTGCCATACAGTCATAGATTCCTCTTCCCAGCAGCCCTCCAGAAGAGGACTGGGCTAGAAGGTAGCCCCTCCTTTCCTGGAGAGGAAGTTGGCTCAGGCACATCTCAGCAAATCCTACCAAGTCAGAGGCTCACAGTTCCTGTGTTACTTCCACACTGTGCAGGGTGCCAGCCAGGATCCCAAGCAAAGAGGCCCAGTGTCCTTTCCTGGCAGAACTCGAGGGAACTGTCAATATGGGCTTAGGGAGTGGGAGTATGGGTTGTCTGAGGGTGAGGGCTGGTAGAACAGGGAACTGGACACGCCTGGTGGTCTGAGGAATGTGAGGCTGAGCGGGTCATAGCTCACACATCTCCATTGCTCTCTATCCCCAGGGTGAACCTGGTATGGACGGTGCCACTGGCAAAGAGGTACTGTGGTCGCTGGTCTCCTTTTTGCTTGGGGATAATTTTTAATCCTTGTCAGGCCCTGGCCCCATTGAGCTGCCCTCTGTGCACAGACCATCTTGGGGTAGGATCTGTATCCATAGCTCCCAATATCTGTGAGGGCAACCAACCTCAAATTGAAAATGTTTAAAAAAATTGTAAGGGGCTGGGGATTTAGCTCAGCGGCATACGCACCTGCCTTGCAAGCAAGCAGTTGTGAGTTTGATCCCCGGTACCGATAAAAATGAAAAAGACAAAAAAAAATTGTATTTGTACAGAACATATACAGACTTTTTTCCTTATCATCATCTTCTAAACAATATAGTAACACAAATACAGTAGAATTTACGTTGTATTAGGTAACGTATTCAATCTAGAGATGACTTAGAATATACCAGAAGATTTGCACAGGTTATATGCAAATACTATACCATGTTAAGCAAAGGACTTAAGCACCCACAGACTTGGGGTTCCATGCCAGTCCTGTGCCCTGAGGATACTGAGGCAGGACTGTGTGTAGGAAACTGGTAACCCATTGCTCCAGGAAAGGAACTGGAGACAAGGGTAGCAGTATGGCTTGTTCCATAATCTGTTTTCCCCACTTTGCACCCAGTCAAAAAGAGAACAAACTCCAAACAAACATTCCTTGGGCACCAACTCATGCCAGACTCGCCACCATTCTAGACCGGCCTCTTATTCTGGTTTCATCTATGATGAGGGACCCAGCCAACATATTCAAAGAAGGCCATGCTTCCAGGGACATCATTCTGCCTTCCAGCTGTCACCTCTTTGTTGGCAGGAGGCTGGCATCCTCTCTCACAGCCCGGCTGGATCCAGCAGAGGGGCCTGGGGCTAACAAGGGTGGTCTTTTCACTGTATCTACCTCTTGCCCAGAGGCCTTAGAGATGCTGCCCAGACTCAACTCGTGACTGTTACTTTATTCTAGGGACCTCCTGGAAAACAGGGACTGCATGGATTTCCTGGTCCGAAGGTAAGTCAGGCACTGTCTGGGCGGGAGAGGACATGTTGATGGAGTAGACCCAGCTCTGAGATAGGATAGTAGCTCCAGTAGACGGGATGAAGGGGAACAGAGTTTGGGGCAGCCTTGTCCCTGAATACACCTCACTTAAGGTTCTTAACTCTGCTTGGGGAATAGAAATCCTTTTTTTTCATTCCCCAGGCATTTTTGGCCCTTGCTGCCATTCCAGGCCTCTGTCTAGGCCTCAGGGAAACAGAGGTCTCTGAACAATAGTGCTCCCTGAGTCCCGTCCCCCTGACACTAAAGTAGGGCAAGGTTTACAGAAGACTGTACACAGTACTTTGGCATCTCTGAGGAGGAGCGTACTCAACTCTGCCTGGGGAGGGTGAGGGAGGAAGATTGTATAAAAGCAAGACCAGTCAGGCACAGTGGTCCACCCCTGTCATCCCAGCACTTTGAGAGGCTGAGGCTGAAGATTGCTAGTATGAACCCAGCTTGGGCAACTCATCAAGACCATGTCTCAAAATAAAAAAATAAAAGGACTAGCTCAGTGTAAAACCCATGGGTTCAATCCCCAGTACTGCAAACCACAAAACCAGGAACACTTCAACCAGAGGAGGAGCATGCTGGGTAGATGTGGGGAGGAGCTTCCAGGCAGGGAGGACTCTGACAGCATGGCAGAATCAGAATTATAAGCAGGGTGGGCTGGTTGGCTGGAAGTGGGGGAGGCAGGGAGGTGAGGTTGAGAAACTGATGACCAGGACCATGGTCTTGCGTGCCTGGCAAGGAATTGGGCCTTTATTCTTTGGGCACATGGGAACCACCAGGTTTCTAACAGGGAGTAACAACAGGAGCCCTGTCACCTAGGAGACCAGCTCTGATGGCAGTGAGGCTGGGTGGCCTGTAGCATGGTGGTTACGGTTCAGGAGAGACGGAGACTTGATGGAGCACAGAGAGGAAGGGGTCAACTGCTGAGACATCATGACATGAATTTGATAGCATTTGGTGATGTTGGACTGTGACTTCTTGTCCTTGAAGGGTGATACAGGGCCTGCAGGACAGAAAGGCCAGGCAGGAGAGAAGGGGAGATCTGGCATGCCAGGCGGACCCGGCAAGAGTGGCTCCATGGGCCCTGTTGGGCCACCAGGTCCTGCAGGAGAGAGAGGCCACCCTGGATCCCCGGGGCCCCCAGGGAACCCTGGATTGCCTGGTGTTCCCGGCTCTATGGTAAGAGGAGGCTGGCAGCCACGAACATGTGCGGTGGAATATGGGTCATTTTTAAAGTTCCTGCTCACATTCTGCAGAAGCAAGCATAACTCCAGGACAGGCCGCTCTTAGCTGTGTGGGGAGGTGGGGGTTATGGGATCTTCTCCCCAGCAGACTGTTCTTCAGCATGAGATGCTTTGTACCATTTGGAAGCAGGTAGGACTTTGGATCAAGAAATCATGGGCAGCTCCTGGGACTTTTGGCCGCCTCCCCATCCTTTATTTCCATAAAATATGTTCCTAGGGGAAAGCACCCAGCTTGGAAGTACAATTGAGGCAGGTTTTCTTCTCTTTCCTCAGGGAGACTTGGTGAATTATGATGAAATCAAGAGGTTCATCAGACAAGAGATGATAAAGATGTTTGATGGTAATTGGCAGCTGGCTGGGTGGCAGTGGGTGCTGCATGCTTTTCCCAGCTATTTCTCCACCCAGGCCTGGCCTCCTTTGCCTTAAAACTTCAGTGTCCTCCCCCTCCCACACCACACTTACAAGCGGGTGGGGGTGGCAAGCATATGTTCAATTATCCATCAACCCTTCCTTGTCACCCGCTCTGTTCAGAGATAAAATGATTCCCTCCTGCCCTCCCAAGCAAAGGAGGCTGACAAGAAAATTGATCTCGCATAAGCCTGCATGGAGTGCACTCTGCAGAGGGCCCAGCAGCAGCTAGAAAGTGGCTGCTGCTAGGGTTTGTTTAAAGCTTTGCTTTTCCCCGTTGCGTGTTTGCTCATCAATGCTGCTGTGCTGGGACCTGGGAGAAGTGTGGCCCCTGTCCTGGAGCAGTTGGGCACCCTGCTTGGGAAGGAGACCTTGGGTGCCAATCAATGCAGCCTGGACTTTATTCCAGAGCCAGTAGCAAAGCAATGAAAGATGTTAAAGAAGAGAGATGCCAAAATAAGATCCATGCTTCCAGAAGCTCTCCAAGGAAAGCCATGTAGAGACCAGGACACCTCTTAGGAGACCAGTCTCTGTGTTTCTTGTCCAGATGTCCTTTGAAAAGAGGCTGTTCCATGCCAGTGGCAGGTCTGCAGCATCTGTAGTCACTCTGAGTCCATGGAGCACCCCATGAACTGTCCTTGTCCTTTCTTACAGATAGGATGGCTTACTACACTTCCAGGATGCAGTTCCCTATGGAGATGGCTGCAGCTCCAGGGCGGCCAGGGCCCCCAGGGAAGGATGGTGCTCCGGGCCGGCCAGGTGCTCCAGGATCGCCTGGGCTCCCTGGTCAGATTGGCAGAGAAGGACGGCAAGGTTTACCAGGAATGAGAGGTAGCTCTGCCTTCTTGCTCCTAAGGGGGCATGTGTACCTCTTGGTGGCTGGCCTGAGAACTACGTGCAGGTTGGGAATATGGTATTTGTATGTGTGTCTTTTTCATTTTTCTATTCAGGGATAAGATTCATATTTTTTTCTTATTGTGCCAGGATTACCTGGAACCAAAGGTGAAAAGGGGGACATTGGTGTTGGCATTGCAGGAGAAAATGGTCTCCCTGGCCCCCCAGGTATGAAGATTCTACATTTGAGACCCTGCATCTAGATCAGCAGAGACCACCTGTCTTATTTTCTTTGGATGCCATAGTTGTATAGAACTCCAAATGACTACGGTATAGGTCAACCAACACCATCACAGTAATGTTTCTGTATCAAGGCTCTCTGCTAGGGCTTGGAGGCAGTGGTGGGGAAGATCCATTACTCACCCTCAGTCCTAAGCTGGGCTAGTGGGATGCAGTAAGAGAGAGCTGCATGTGGTCAAGGCCAGTAACCTGAGTTCGGGTCCTGCTTGGCATCTTCCTGGCTGTGTAGTCAGGCTAAGGCTTAAGGTCACTTAAGCCTTTGGGGGTCACTCTCTGAAATGCTGTGTGGCAATGTATCTTTAAAGAGGATGGCCAAAGCTTGATGGGCTGGCTCTGAGGCCCCACTTGACTACTCACCTGATACGCAACCTCTGTGAACCTGTGTTCTCATCCTCAAAATTAGATGATAGTACTTTTCTAGGGGGATTTTGTAGAGTCAGTGACAAATGCATAGAAAACACCCAGCCCCATGCCTGGCAAACAGACGCTGTCAGTAAAACCTGCCAGTAGTATGATCATCACTGTTAGGTCAGTGTGAGGATCAGATCCAGTCTTCATGAAAATATGTTGTAACTTGAAAAATATGCATCAAATGTAAAGTATTATTTACCATAACCATCATTTCTTCTTTGCATATTATCTGGGTCTCCTGATTTCTCTTTTATGACTCTCCCCTCCCTAGGTCCTCAAGGGCCTCCTGGATATGGAAAGATGGGTGCAACAGGACCAATGGGCCAGCAAGGCATTCCTGGCATCCCTGGTCCCCCGGGTCCTGCAGGCCAGCCAGGGAAGGCGGGTCACTGCAACCCCTCGGACTGCTTTGCAGCCATGCCAATGGAGGAGCAGTACCCATCCATCAAAAACGTGAAGGGGCCTTTTGGCTGAAATGGCCACTTCCCTTGAGATGAAGGACTCCATTCGGAATAAATGACCAAAGATTATAGGACTCCGTGATGGGTTATGAATGTTTGTGTTGTTAATGTTGTTGTTATTTTTAATTGCTGTTAATATTTTTTTAACAATAAAGAAAGAAAACTATCTGCAATCCCACTTCCCATGCATCCCCCTGGTGCTGCAGTCACATCTCCCTGGCATCTTCCTTTTTCCATTAGGTCTCATGTAGGTTCTTCTTTATCTGCAGTCAGTCATGGCAATTGTGGGGTGTTGCTGCATAGGATGCACCACCACCACCACCACCCACCCAGCTTCCATCTTCACATGTTTCTGATTCATCTTTCTGTTTTCTGAGCCCATTTTCTGTCCTCTATTGTGCACTTGCCACAAGTTAGGGAAGGGATATCACTCAGCCTCTCAAATGAAGCAAAAGCAGTTTTGAACACCTTCCTTTCAGCTCCCAGTGTTTGGTACCCTCACCCACACTGCCCACCTCACTTCACTTCCTATGACCCAAAGCCAATTTGGCGTACCCCTTGGGAGATGCCACCCAGTGCTAAGGTGTGTTCACCAGCCTGGAAGTCCGTTCAAGCATTCAGACTCTTCTCGATGCTCCAGTAATTCTGTGATTAGAAAACCAGTGCAAACAAGAGGAAAGAGAGGCTCCAGCCCCTGCCTAGGCAACCAGGGAATGCTTCTCTGGTAAATGAGATAGAACCCTCTGCCTGCATCAGTGCATGGCTCTGTCAGCAGCTCTCCAGCCTCAGGCAGTGCCTTTTCAGGTTGCAAATGACATCTCTTGTTACTCAAATGTGCACGATGCTTTTCCTGCACATTTTAATCTAGGCCTTTAGAAAACACCTAGGTTAGTTTGGTGAGAAGGACTCATAGGCAAACCACAATCAGACCTAAACTTGTGGTCCTCAAAGCCCACTGGGGACTTGGTGATCCATCCAAACTCTGCATATGTGAAGGGATAGGAAAAAAAGAAAGGACAGTGAATTGAACATTGTAGGAGCAGTCTATCTCAAACTTCTTTCTCTTCTCCCTCAGGACAAGACTGGCTGCCCTGTGAGAAAGCAGCAGGGCACGTCCAGGGGGACTTCCAAAGAAAGGCTTTTACAGGCCCCAGCTCTCTGGAAGGCTTATTCAAGTTGGATAAACTTCAAAGGGATCACAAAGCAGGCTCAGAGATGTACTCAAAGTCGAGATGTTTATCCAAACTGCCTGAAGCCTTCAAGCTGGCTGGGAAATCTCCCCAAAGCTGGCATTTCCAGCATATTTCTGAACATTTGTTCCTCTGGTTGAGCCCCCAGATTCCAGGAGACCAGCCTAGGGATGGCTTCTCAGAACATTTGCCATATTTATTTTCCTGCCAGGGACACAGAGATGTGTTGGTGGTCCGAGGTATGAAGACAGGCGGACTCCGCTGAGCCTACCTGAATGCTTTGCATGCTGTTTTTAGATACAGAAAGAGTCAAACTCTTTTTCAGCTCTCACCAGCAATTCTCAGTTAACCTGGGTTCTAACCGAAAACATTAAAAAGCAAATACCTCATCTCTGCATTGAAGTAGCAGCCAGGTTTTGGACAGCAGATGAGGACAGATGTTAAAGCACTCCCATTGGAAGGCCAGCTTCCTCTCTCAGCCCAGCCTACAAAGCGAACTGATGGTAGGCCTCATGACCGGGACCATGCTGGTGCCGACAGAGAGAGAAGCACACTGTCAGTTGTTGAACTGAGCAGGTTGGCTCCAAAGGCCAGGAGGGAAAACTGCCACAAGGAAACAGCAAACTCGCGTCCTTCGAGGGCCCCAAGGGAACTTATCCTTCTAGAGTAAATGATGTTTGTTCGTTCAGTTTTCTTCCTGAGTCGCATTCAGGCTACTCTTTGGGAATTCTTTGACAGGGGAGGCTTAAGCTTCCATGATTTGAGTGCTTGCTTCCCGGGAGTTTGAAACTGCTGTATTTTCTTGGATCATGAAGAACCAGATGGGAAGCTGAATTTTATAGTCTCTTTTTCTGTGGTCAGCAAAAAAAAAAGGAAAAAAGATCTGTGAATCTTGCTCATCAGTTCAGGAGCTGGGTAAGCTGAGAAGGGCACATGCCTTCCATGTCTCTTAGGCAGCTTTTCCACGCTGTCGCTCTGTTATTCCTCCATCTTCATTTCTTAGTCTACTCCAGGCTTTTAAGGCAACCCAGAGATCATTTTAGACAAAGTCTAACTAGATAAGTCTATTTTCTCTTCCTGCTTTGTGCTAGGAACTGTACTAGGCTCTGGGGATCCCAAGGCAAACTAGATATACGTGGTTCCTGCCCCCACAGTGTACAGACAGTTAAGCAACTACAATAAAATAGGATGATGGGGCAGTACCGGCTGCCAGGGGTACGCATCGCTGGGGAACCTAACTCTGTCTAGAGAGAAAGTGATCGGTCCAGGCAGAGGGAACAGCATGTGCCGAGTTCAGAGCTGATTGAGCACAGCAGGCTGTGATGGGACAGAGGGCAATGTGGTTGGATTGCTGAACGCAAGCAGGAAAGACACAGTGGGGAGCCACTGATGGGTTTTACACAAAGGTACGCTAAGTCTGGTTTACCTGATGGGGAGCTTGCCGATGGCAATGTGAAGAATAACTGAGGAGTCCCTAATTTGAGAAGCATTTGCTCTATAAGATGGATAAAAGGCTGTTGCATATTTATCCTGCAGAGAAAAATCCCAAATTTGATGCTTTCTGGAATTTCAATTTTCCTTTTTGTCGTATTTCCTTCTGTGACCACAATTCAACAGAATCTAACAAGATTCTTTCTTCACATGCGGCCAGTCTGTCAGCCCCTTATGAGATTCGATCCTTTTTGTTGCTGTCCTGAATAGTTTACAGGAATAGACCACATCAATGTGCTCTATGGTCCCATAATGGAAGAGGTGTGTGGCCAAATTGCCACGTCTGCTGTTGTTTTTTTGTTTGGTTCCATGGAAAGCAGCAAATCACCCTCCAATTTATAAAACTCAACTGGAATTTAAATTTCAGAATGGGTTCTAGATGGAATCAAAGAGAATTAATTCCATAATAATTAGGTAGGTGTTGGCATTCTTTTCTCCAAGCCACACAGGAGCCTGGTGCTCAGCCAGGAAGCTGTGGGGAGGATCTGTCTCTAGGGGGTGCAATATTTTCCAGGGCCCAGGCCTTCCAGTACCAAGATCTGCCTGTCCTCTGATGGGTCAACTACAGGATTTCCATGAACTCTGGAAGGTGCTCTTTGCTCTAAAAAAGGGCTGGAATCTAGGTTTTCCTCTTTGGCTAAAACAAACAATAACAGGAATGTCCCCACCCACCTCTGTCTGCCTCAGGTAGTTGAGGTTTTGAAAATGAATTGTTTTTCAGTCTTTGGAAGATCCTGAGCTCTCTTTCATCCAGTCTTTTCCAAAATAAACACACCTGGGCCTGCTGCAGGTCCTCAGAGGCATAGCCCTGTGGATGTTGGCTTTGGTTGGCATCTGGCCGCCTGAGAGAAGATTTGGATGTCCTTGCCTCCCAAATAGCATAGACCTCCAACAGAAAGCTCTTAAGTCTTTAGCCAGGCAGCAGGCATGGGAACAAAAAATCCTCATAGGCAGTTCATAGCACCCAGAACAGAGCCTGGCAAGTCATGGGAGCTCAGTAGACTAAAGTGTTTGTGGAATAAATGAATGTGAATCACAAAGCCCCAGTTAGCAAGTCAGGTGTCACTCCGGTCTCTCTGGGCTATCTTCTTGATCTTTAGCCCCTCCCATGCTCCCACACTTCAGAACTTCTTTTCTGAGATTTTGTAATTCAGTTTCACCAATATTTTTTGCACTGTGAGGTTATGAAGATAAAGAAGACATGAGACCAACTATTAAGTACTGAATGGTTAAAGCAGTGTGAACATGGGTGCAAATCCTGAATTCTCCATTTATCCTTTTATGTTAAGGAAGTCACTTAGCTTCTCTGGGACTTAGCCTCTCAGTATAAATGGGTCGTAGTATTTACTTCAAAGACCATGGTGAAAATTAAACAATATAGTACTTAGCACAATATCTATCACCAAGTAAACATTTAATAGATGATGAGAATAATAACCACTAACATTTAATGAATTCATAACAGGTCCTATTCTAGGTTCTGTGGGTAGAGAAGTGAATAAGAGGAAGAGAATCCTATAATACCCATGTAAACCTTACAAAATGCATGCAAACCTTGAAAGAAGTAAAGACTATTATGAAAAAATAAGACACAGTAGACAACTGGAATGTGTGTGGGGTAGCAATGTAGTTTAGATGTGGTGCCCAGGGATTTCCCAATCTCCCCAGAAGGAGCTATCTCAACTTAGACCTGAATGATAAGGAAGAGCCAACCAGTGGAAAGCTCTCCCAAATTTCTAGAGAATAATATTCTAGAAAGAGGAAAGAATAAGTCCAAAGATGGACTTATTGGAGTCAGAAATGAGCTCAGTATGTTCCAGGGATGACTATCAGGCCAGTATGGCAGGGGTGAACTGAAAAAGACAACGATGGATGGCAGTGAAGCCAGTGACACAGGCAGGGTCTGGGTCATGTAGGGCTATGAAAATCATACGTTTAAATTTTGTTATAAATATGATGGAAAGCTCTTGGAGGAGTTTAAGCCAAAGAATGACATCATCTGATTCTCATTCAAGATAATCACTCTGGCTGTCCAATGGAGAATGAAGGGTGGAGGAAAAAACTGAAATCAGGGACATTGGTCAGGTGGCTACTGTAGAGAGCTAGGCTACACATGATGAAGGCTTGGATCAGATAGTGCAGACAGGAAGAAAAGAACAGATGCAGGTATATTTTTTAATTAGAGCAAATGGAAGTGGGGGACTGAGTACAGAAACAGACACATAAGAAAAATACCAGGTTTTTGGCTTGAGAGATTGAGTTTTCTGAAATGAAGAAAAATGGGTTTAGGGGAAATATGAAAGAGAACTCTTATAGAAGGTATGGTGGGTTATTGCACAGCTACAGTACAAGTACTAAAAGAGATTGGCAAGAGTGGCTAACTCACGATGGATGTAACATGGGGAAATTGGGTGAAGGATGGGATTGGAATTGAGGCTTGGAGGACTGGAGATAGGAGATGGGAGCTGCTAGTCCAGTAAAAGGATGCATGCAAATCTTGAAAGAAGTAAAGACTATTATGAAAAAATAAGACACAGTGGTACGGTAGACCTCTGGAATGTGTGTGGGTTAGCAATGTAGTTTAGATGTGGTGCCCAGGAATTTCTCATCTCCCTAGGAGGAACTATCTCAACTTAGACCTGGATGACAAGGAAGAACCAACCAGTGATTTGACCATAGGTTTGGACATAAATAAATACAATATGCTCATTTTCTTTGTCTTCTTCCTTCTTCCTTTATTTATATTATTGTTTTTAGACAGAGTCTCACTAACTTACCCAAACTGACTTCAGACTTGCAATCTTTTTTTGCCTCAAGCTTCAAAGCAGTTGGAATCACAGGCTGTCAGGCATGCGCCACTACATTTAGCAAGCTCATTTTCAAATTTCCAGTATGTTTATTTCTGACAATTGAGGAAACTGACTTAGGTAAAACATCCAGAATCATATAATTAGAAGTAATAAAATCAATATCCTCACACCCAAATAAGAGTACTGAATCATGCAATTGAACATAGGAGTACAGTGTGGGACAGAGACTGGTGCTGTGGGAAAGATTTAAAAAGTGAGGTTGGGTTAGATTGTGAAAGGCCTTTGATGCCAGGGGGACTGACGTTATTTTGCAGGTGTAAAGGAGCATGCTTTGCAGGCCATCCAATGGGTAATCATCACGATCATAAGCACTGTGATTTTGTAAAGTACTAGATTTATAATTCTAAGTTATACATTTATCTGTATAGGATTTGAACTCAGAGAGTTAGGTATGTGTTGGGGTCTCTTAGGAACCACGAGATGACCTACTAAGGTAAACAATATAGACTTTACTGCTGAGACCGGGGCATCCATTGAACCCAGTTCTAGGTCACACTTTGTTATGAACTCATTGTGAACTAGGGCAAGTAAGTCACTGCCTTTTTGGACCTCAATTTCTCCATTTATGAAGAAAGAGGTACTAGATCATCTAATTTTCCTCCTACTCTATCGATTTTTTTTTCTCCGCCAAAGATCACAGATCTATATCCCACTCCGAGGGCGCTACCTTGACATGAGAGAGTACTTTCGCCATCGCCTCTATCTTTTCCAGGAGACAGGGATCAGTGCCTCGTAGTCATGGCAACCGCCTGGGTTCTCCTAGGGCGGAAACTTGGAGTGACGACAGTTATACGCCACTATTAGCCAGATTACAACATGGCCGCCGCAGCAATACCTGCCCGTTATTTCACTAAATATCTTGGCCTGAGCAGCCCTAGAACCCACTCTAAGTCAGAAAAAGGGAGAGACAAGTGCTCCAGCACAACCACCAAGACTTCCGGGTATTTTAACCCTGCCCTTAGCCTCTGAGCTGTCGGGTAGGAACCCACCCTCCTCTCTGTAGCGTCATTTCCGTTGGCTGACTTCACCAAAGATTGACAGCCTGTCCGTCCAGTCAGAAGCAGGCTCGCCTTTAGACCCAGGAGGGGCAGTTTTGAGAGCAGGAAGCCCCGCCTTTCGCTGGTTGTGACGTCAGAGTCGCCATGGCAAGTTATCCGTATGGGCAGGTGAGTGTGTGAGGGGTCCGCGGATCCAGGTAGGGGGCGTGCCAAGCCCAGACTAGGGTTTGCCTGGCTTCTCTTTCTCCTGCTTTTTTCCGCGACGTTTATACTCCGAGATTCGCTTCAGCGAGGCCTCGCTCCAGAGAGAGGAGAAAAGGGACTGCTAGTGGCAGCAGGCTCACGTCACTCCGGACCACTGATCCGTGAGGTGGTGTGGAGGCCTTTGACTCCCCCTACGCGAGGATTTGGGAACTTTGAACCCCACAGACCCAGACTGGCCGAAGCCTGAGTTCCACACCCCTCCTAAGACTATAGGCGTCCTGGGCGGGGTGATCAAAGTTGACAAGACCTTTAAAACTCTGGTTCTAATCATGTGGAGCGTCCAATTAAAAACAAAATTTTCAGACCACCCTTCACGTACTGCATCTCAATAACCAGGAGAATCCGTGGTTTTACCAGGCGCCACAAGCACCCTCGCGTGATCACTGACGTAATCCAACATCTCTGTTTCACGTGTAGAAAAAGTGACATCCAGAGAAGACACAGAATTTATCAGAAGTAACTAACACCAGTTAGGCAGCAGAGCCAACGTCAGAATCCCAGCTGTCTGCAAATACGTCTTTTTCACTTGCCAGTTCATCTCATCTGGAACTAGCTGAGAACCACAGCAATGTGATTCTGTATCCAGAATTCTTTTTTGGGTGACAAAACAGAGTGGTTAAGTGCAGTTTAGAGCCAGAATAGGTTCGTATACTTAGTTTCGATCCCTTGAACAAGATATTTTGCCTCTGTGTGTGTAGTGCTGGTGGTGGTGGTGATGGCACTGGGTATTGAATCCAGGACCTTTACACTGATCTACATTCCAAGCTCATTTTTTTTTTTTTTTTTTCGAGATGAAAACCTCACTAAGTTACCTAGGCTGGGCTGCAACTTGTGATCCTGCTGCCTTAGCTTTCCAGAGTGCTAGTGTTACAGATATGCACCACCACGCCCGACTAACATTTTGCTTTTCTAAGCCAAAGTTTCTTCCTCTGAAATGTGGTAGAATAGGGTACACATGGAGCTATTATGAAAAATAATGAGATGATGCTTACAAAGCACTTGTTACAGAGTGCGATGTAACATGTGTCGGGTTTTAGTATTTTGAGTTTTACTAAAGTCCTAGAAGGTCAGTCCTGGGAGGCCCTCATAACAGCCTCCATTTAAGAGGAGGACATTATCCAGAAAGGAATCCCGGATTGCCTGAAATCACATTATAAATTAGAAGAAAAAAACTCATGCAGGAAAAATTTAGAAAACAAGGTTAAGTGGTACATTAGCATACAACTAACCATAACCACATGCTATGTGATGTCCTAGGGTCCTTGAAGGAATTGCAGCTCTATTCTGTTTACTCAGGAACTGGATCTCAGTCACATCATGAGGCCCTTAAGCATGCAGGGGTTATTACCCCTAATCTACATCTGAGGAACAAGCCCAGAGAGGTTACCTGGGCTAAAGGTCATACACAGCAAGTGAAGGGAGGCCAGAGCTAGAATTTAAAACTTCTTTTTTTTTTTTTTTTTTTTTGGTCTTTTTCCTTTTTATCGGTACCGGGGATCGAACTCACGACTGCCTGCTTGCAAGGCAGGCGCTTATGCCGCTGAACTAAATCCCCAGCCCCTAAAACTTCTTTTATTGTATACTTAGCAGTAAGAAGAGAGGCCAGTGTTGGCTGGGATTAGGAGGATGTAAAATACAGTAGTGTTTTGTAAACTGCTATATTTTCTGAGTCTTGTGAGATGTTAATAGTTTTTTTTTTTTTCAACGTTGAGGATTAAATCCAGGGTCTTTACACTCAGCTACATCTCCAGCCCTTTTTTACTTTTATTTTTGATTTTGAGGTGGGGTTTTTCTAAATCACAAAGTTGACCAGGGTGGGCTATAGCTTGCCATCTTACTGCCTCGGTCTCCCAGAGTTGCTAGAATTACAAGTGTGTGTCACCATGCCTAGCAATAGCTATTATAGAGGAGGATTCTGTGGTCTTATAAGTTTGGGGCATTTGTTAAATTCAGTTGAATATATTTGTTCATAATATGGTATCTCAGAATTCTTAATTTGCTAAATGTGTTTCACCATAGAATTCCTCTTTTGCTTTTTGGCTAGTCATTTTAAAACACTATAGTATTCTTCGGAGTACAGTTTCGGAATACATTGCCAGAGTGCATTGTCTCTCAGTGACTCAGTCTGCATCTGAGTTTTGTTTAGAGAAGATACTTTTTACTTTTCGTGCATGTCTGTAATCCCAGCACTCTGGGAATCTGAGGCAAATTTGAGCCCAGCCTGAGCAATTTAGTGATTTAGCTAGACCCTGTTTTATAAGAAAAAATTTAAGAAGGATTTCAGATGTAGCTCAGTGCACAGGCCCCGGTTTCAGTTCTCAGTCCTATAGAAGCTGGGTGTGGTGGCACATACCTGTAATCCCAGTACTTGGGCAGCCACGACAGGCAGATTGCCATGAGCTTGAAGCCAGCCTGAACAACCTAGTGAGTTCAAGCCCAGCCCAAATTACACAGTAAGACCTAGTCTCAAAAACAGTCCTCAGTACTACAAGACAACAATAAACAAAACAAAAACCTCATATTTTTGAGTCCTACCTCAGACTTGGTCTGTGCCCAGAAATCTGTATCTTAATGAGCTTTGAGAATAATTTGTATGCATCCTAGAAGCAGTGACCGGCTAGACAGAACTGGGCTAGAATCCTAACTCTACCATTTAACAATTATATCCTGTTGGACAAACGTCTGAGGGCTGTAGGAGAAATAATAACTGTGAAAAGGGATGCAATGCAACAAAGCGTACGGAAAGCCTGTTGCATTGCTAGCATGTAGTGTACTCGGCAGTGTAAGGTGACAGCTTTTGCTCCTTCATTTACCATGCTGTCTGGGCTTATTCTTGGAGTGAAATATTGAAAAGGAGCACAGAGAAAAAAAAAGTATCTGAAATAGAATAAGAAAGAGAACTTTTTTTGCCTACCGTGTTACCGCTACCTGATTCCTTGTCCTAGGTGTTCTAAGAAAGGAAACTGGTTGTTTAAAGTCATCTAAAGGCTCAGTCAGTGCTGCCTCCCCTCCACCCACTACATAGCCTGGGAGGATCCCAGCCAATTGCGAGGAATCACAATTCCTGTAATTTTCCACTGCCTACAGCCCAGAGTATTCAAGCATGGACTGGGTGTTGGAATCATAAAACTCAAGTACCCATTGGCCGTGTGATTGAACCAGCTTGATGTATTTCAGTGTTAAGATCTTGGTCTCTGAGGTCAGAGAAATTTGTCTTTTAAGTTCCTGCTTCTCCACTTCCTTACAGAAGTTTGTTGCAAAGGTCTGAAGCATGCTTTCTCCTTCTTTAGAATGGGATCATAATAGTACCTATCTCAGAGTTACTGTAAATATTAAATGAGAGAATTCATGTTAAGGGCTTGCTGTGGTGTTTGCCATGTAGTCAACACTCCAAGTGCAACAAGAAGACAGATTCGTAGATTGCAGAGTCAGTGTGAGAAATGTACTCCTAGGACAGCACAGGAAGGGTACCTAACTCACTAGGAATGCAGGAGGATTCCTACAGGAGGTGATGTTTAAGCCAGACTTCAGATCACTAGTGGGAGTGAAGTGTGTGAAGGAATTGCATACTAGCAGAGGAAATAACTTCACGAGGACTGGGGAAACAAGTAAGACAGCTCAGTGTTTTGGAGGAGCTTTAAGATCAGTGTGGTAATGATGAAGTAAAAGGTACAAGAAGTAAGAACAGAAAAGAGCTGGGGATTTAGCTCAGTGGTGTAAGCATCTGCTTGGCAAGCACAAGGTTGTGAATTTGATCCCTGGTACCCCCCCCCAAAAAAAAAAAAAAAAGAGATCGGAAGAGTAAGCAGGGACCAGATCTCAAAGTGCCTTTTATGCCTTTGGGGAGAAGGGAGGTCAAGAGTAGCAGAGGAGCTGGTGAAGGGTTAGTTCGGTCCTTTGGAGCCCTTACCTTGGGGCACTGTGGAAATGGATTGATGGAGGTAGGTCGGTTTGAAGCTACTGAAGTAAGGCAGGCTTAAGAGAACAAAGACTGGTGAAGGTTGGTTTGAGAAGCATTTGGGAGGTAAAGTTAAGAAAACTTGGTGCCTCATTAAGAGGCAGAAGGAAAGAAAGGGGTCCCCAGAAGAGCAATGAGCTTTGAGTGTGGGTGCCTGTAAGGCGGACGTGTCAGGAAATGAGAACCAGAGGGAGGTGTAGGGTGGGAAAGAAGGCCTTTGGATGCGTGAGTTGCTCAAGGGAGATAAAGCTAGAGGAAGGTTTTGGAGGGTCAGCACAGAGGAGATAATTGAAGTGTTGGGACAGTTCTTGGCGCACTGGTCATTGGCTGCATGTTTCTGTCCTTTAAATATTTTAGGAGGCCCTGCTAGGATGTGCCCAAATCATTCCTTCTGACTTGTGATTGTTTAACCCCTTAGCTTCTGCTTCCCCTGTTCCAGCAAACACTACAGGGGTAGCTGTGACATGCAAGCTTGTCTCTGTGGTGCAGCCTCCTCCCTCCTCATCAGGACCCAGCATGGCCCAGCCTTTGATACCTCTGAGACTCACAAGAGTCTTGGAGGCAGAAGAATGGTTCTCAAAACTAAAAGAAAATACAGGACTTTAACAGTGGGTTATTTGGGAGAGGATGGGCTTCATCACTTGCAAGGTTCCAGGTGGTACTGCAGAGATTCCTTTATGACTCAGAGGCTGGACTGCAAGGTCTTTGGGGTTTCTTCTGATAATGTGGTTCTCAAATTGGGTCTCAGTGTTAAAGTGAAGAAATAGTAAGATTCTTCAGAGATACTGTGATTTCTGGGCCTGAAGGTCCTACCGTAAGGTTAAGGTTGCCTACTTCAACCTTTTCCCCTATCGCTGTCTGCTCTGGAAAGCCATCAGATTTGACAGATATAGCGCAATCGTTGGTGCTGCTACATGCTAGGCACTCATTCCTGCAGACCTGTTTTGAGTCCCAACTCTCCTGTTCTAACCATATGACCTTAGGCACATTATTAAATTCCTGCACCTTAATTTTCTCATCCCTAAAATGGGGAAAATATCACTTACCTCCCAATACTGAGGATCAGTGAAACCTGATTGAACTGGAAGTAATTAATGGAGCCTCAATAATAACTGTCTCCCAACCCCCTAATATATTGAATATAATCAGTGAGGCTGATTAACCAGCTGTGTAATCAACTAAAGACCCAGAGATAGTTTTTGTGTGATGCTTCAGTAACCATGGTTACTGAACTCTTCATTTTTCCCCCTGTTTCTCAATCTTGTGTTTATCAGTATGAAATACTCTTGGAAACACTCTCAAAAGAGTTGGCAGCATGAAGTGATATAAACAATGTGGAGTCCGGTTTTCATTTCTGACTCGAACTTTTCCTGACAACTCAGAGACTCTACCTCCCATCTTCCCGAACTCCCTCCCCAGTTGGATTCCACCCCAGGTGTTGGTTCTGCCTCCTCTATGTGTGCAGGCTGGAAACCTGAGTCATCCTAAACCCTTCTCTCCTCACTCCCCCTGTCTCTTTCCTAATCTAATTAGTTCCCAAGTCATGTTGAGTCTATCTCTGAAATAGCTTGAGAACCCATACCGTCCGCCCTGTTCCTGACTCCACTGTCTGGTTCATGCCCTGCATGGCACCTGGGCTACCTTGCCACGCTAGCTCATCACCCACACTTCTGGTTAATTCTCTAAGCAAGGCTTTGATCACATTCCTCCTTATTGGAAACCCTTCTGTTGGTACTATTTTCTATGGCAGGAAGCCCAAACTCTTTAAAGTGGTGTTCCTCGGTTCAAATATTTATGGAGGCTTGCAGGTGCCAGGCACTGTGCTGCACCCTGGGTTACCATGATGACCAAGGCCCAGCATCTGCCCCCGGGGAGCTTATTGTTGGGAGAAGACGCAGTTAACTTGGCTAACTAAAAGATGATGGGAAATGTGGTCGGTCGAGGAGTGTGTAAAGTGCCTTTCTGGATTCACACTGTATTCTCTTTTCCGGCTCATTCCCTGACCACATCATATTCACCCGTAGGTCTGTACTGTCTTCTTCTGTCAGGAGCATCCTTCCCTGCCTTCTCTCAGGAGGGATACCTAGGTGTCTGATGTTACTGCTTCCTCTTCCAGGAAGACTTTATGATTTACTTCATGAATTGTTCATGTGGTTGCTCATTTTCATTCAGCAAATGGAACAGAGTCCTGTGTCCATGCTGCTTTCCTAGCGTGTAAGTAGGTTTTTCTGATGGCATTGACCAGATTATTTTATAGTAAGATGTGGGCCACTCAAAGGCAGAGTCCCCTTTAGTTTTGTGCTCTTAAGTTGTGCTCTGTAAATACTTGCTGAACGAAGTCATTTCACAGCTCTGCACTCAGTTTCTCTGTCTGAGAAGTGGGCCTGCTAATGTATTCCTTTTTCTGCCAGCAGTGTTTGCATATGTGAAAGTGCTTTATGGGGCTTTTCTGTGGGAGAGGAAAGAGGGGTTTTGTTGCTGCCAGATTGCTCCAGATGCACAGGCCTGCACTGTGATAGGTAGGACAGAAGGCCTGCCCGGCTGAATCTGCTTTGCTGTCTGGGAGCATTTCCCAGATCGGAGAGCGGTGCCTCAGGTCTCCCTGGCTAGGGAGAGCCTTGCTCACAGGGTTTCTGGAAGCAGCTGCTTCCTGGCTTAGTGTCCAGCATGTCCCCTGGAATCTCTGTGCCCTGTTGCCTATAATGAAGGAGCACGGTAGCAAAGGCAGTGGGGGTCATTTGATGTGGGCTGGTGAAGTAGTCCTGTCCACTTCTGACTTTTACTCTTGGGCACTTGGGCAGTTGCTTTCCTCTCCCAGCCTTAATTTTCCCATCTGTAAAATGAGACGTAAGTTACATTACTGGCTGTCAGGGTACCTCTCTTGTCACACCTCTCCAAGTTCCTTAGGAATTTCATTAATTCTGAAGTGCCAGGTAAAATGTCATTTTCTTGTGGAATCCCTCTCTGATTTTCTCCTCTTTCCTTTGCAGTTCTGTGGCAAGTAGCTTATGTATTAAACACCCATTTTTTATGCTGTTCCATTAGATGTTACAGAGTATCCCCAGACCCTTCTGTTAATTGTGAGTTTTCTTCAGAATATCTTACTATCTTTAAGCCCCGCAGGGTGTACCTGGCCCAGGACTTTGCTGATACTAATAATTCATATAATAAGAAGAGTAACAGCAATGCTTTGTCATTGCTTAGTCCAAGCATTGTTGTTAAAACTGTTTTTCTTCCATTAGTGGTTTACAGACTATCTTGTGGGTCATTCTGAGGGTTCTTCCAAGTCCTCTCAGAATCTAGCAAAGCAGGAGGCCCCCATGGTTAGGACTCGGGCACTCCCTCTGGCTTTAGCCAGAGCTGGTTATTTTGATCAATTTTGTTCATTTAGTAAAAGGATTCTTTAGCTAAAGATTAAACTAACTGAATTCTGCTACATATATTTTGTGCACTACATGGAACAATCCAGTAAGGAAAGGATTACTATACTTTGTGAAGAAGCAGGCATGAACTCAGCTGGTCAGAGCTGAGTTTTGAATCAAGATGTGTCATGATTTCATTGTCTGTGAGAGTCTTGCTGCTGGGAGCTTCCAGGGAGGAACAGGGCCCCCGATACTGAGGGGAGAGGTTGGCAGGGCCTGCTTCCTGCCCTCTCCTTTGACTCCTGTCTTCCTTGAGCAAGCAGATCCCTTTTAGGTGAAGTATGAGTTTGGCCCTAACCTTGCGAGTAACTGTCTCAGGAAGGATCAAACACAATAAAAAGAAACCCCAAACGTTCAGTGCTAGGCCACTGGGGCACCTACACGTTGATCTGGAACATACTGGAACTTATACTGCCCTTGGAACTTGGCCACCTGCGCACTTGACCCAGCAGGACTGCAGATGTGCTGGTGATACGTTCCGCCAGGCCCGGTGCTAGCCATTTAGGGACATATAGTGGAACTCAAGCCTCCCAGGTCACTGACTTGTGGCATGTGGAGATGCACACGAGTCTCACTGCTCCCATGTAGGTTCTAATACACAAATGGCATGGTCTTTCATTCAGGAGACCTGGATTCTTTGGCTGGCCTTTTCTGAGTCTGTACAACTTCTCTGGACTTGTTTCCTCTTCTTTATAGAGGACTAGTATTAATAGTTAATGCGTGTTGAGTGGTTACTCTGTGTCAGGACCTGTGTCAAGTGCTTTACATAACTGGTCTTACTTCATTCATATGATGGCTGAGTAGACACTATCGTCAGTCCCATTTTACAGCAGAAGCTTAGAGAGGGGAAGTCATTAGTTTTTTTTGCCATTGTGCCATATCGGCGTAGGAATGGGTTTCCCCTTCCTGCCTCGGAGTTGTGAGTGAAACTAGGGAAACATTTTTATATGTCAACTTGGCGTAAAGTATGGAGGATATGAGCGGATGTATGTGTGCTGTCCGGTCACCAAGAGTGTCAGGGCTGTGTGGCATGAAAACTGCTGTGAATTCTGCACATGAAGATGGGCGTTACACAGGGTACATATTCAGAATTCTATTTGATTCACATGTAGAATGAATCAAATTATATAATAAATTATATATATAATCATTATATAATGAATATTTCCTGAGTGCTCACTGTGCACTGGGAGCTGGTGACAAAATGTCAAACCAGACATGATCCCACCTTTGTAGAACCCCTTGGTGTACAGGAAAAGGGGAGTCGAGAGAGCAAGAGTCCGGCCTTCACTCTGCAAGCCATTGATGGCGTGACCTTGGATAACTCACACTTACTTAGAAGCCTCAGGTTTCCCACCTAAGCAAAGGGACCATAATTCCAGCCTGCACAATAAAATCAGCTGAAAGAATGGCAGTGGAAGTGCTTTATAGTTATGAAGTGCCATACTTTTGTAGTTTCTGACATCATCATAAAAACCAATATCTTCCCACAGGGCTGCCCAGGAGCTGCAGGACAGGCGCCTGGAGCTCCTCCAGGCAGCTACTACCCAGCATCCCCCCACAGCGGAGGGGGACAGTATGGTGGTGGTTATGGGGGTCCTGCTCCTGGAGGCCCTTATGGACCACCAGCTGGCGGAGGGCCCTATGGATATCCCAGTGCTGGAACTCCGGGAGGACCGTATGGTGGTGCAGCTCCAGGGGGACCTTACAGTCAGCCACCCCCAGGATCCTATGGTGCACAGCAGCCTGGACCCTATGGACAAGGTAAGTGGTGTCTTGGACTCTGGGTGCCTCTGAGCTGGTTCTGAGCTACTCACAGCTCGTGCTTGTGCTTTTTGTGGCTATGCAGGTATCCTGGTCTCTGGCATGCTTGCATTTTGCTTCCAGTCTATCAGCAGATAGAAGACTGTCAGCTTTACTGTGGTACCATCAACTCCAAACTCTCCTTGGCTCACAGCAAACATTTATTTTGATTGCTTGCTCATACTTATTTACTGCTGCTTATGTGTCAGCAGCTGCAGGTTGGCAGCTGAGTTTCTGTTCCGTGTGTCTTTTCTGGGATCCAGGCTGAAGGAGCATCCCTTGTTCATGATATTATCTTTGTGGCAGAGAAAAGGAGAAGAAAGCTAGTAGGGATGGTCAGTGCCTCTTAAGAGTTGCTGTTCTGGGGCCTGGGGATTTAGCTCAGCGGCATAAGCGCCTGCCTTGCAAGCAGGCAGTCGTGAGTTCGATCCTTGGTACCAATTAAAAAAAAAAAAAAAAAAAAAGAGTTGCTGTTCTGAAGTTCCACATGTCTGTTTATGTTCATTTGGCCAAAGCACATCCCCTGACATCAGTAATACGGGAATGGATACTTGGTTCATGCAGGAGCTCTGTGAGCCACCAGGCAGTCAGAGAGAATGTGTACATCATGGGGAAGAGGAGGTCAGTAAATAATTGGAGACACTGATGTATTCTCCTGGGGGAGAAAGCCCATTCCTATGTGAGGGAGACTTGGCTGCCTTTATAGAAAGGCAAGACAGTATAGTTTTGAAAGGTTGGCTTGAGGTCAAACTACCTTCTGACCTGACCAAACCGTTTCAACTCTTTAAGCTTCAGTGTCCACATCTGTAAATGGAAACAGTACCTGCCTCCTATGGTTGTTATAAGGCTTAAGTGAGAAAGTATCTGGCTCATGGGAAGGGCTTAGTAAACAATATTATGCAAGAGGGCTCATTCTAGGGCATTCTTAGAATGGGAAGACTTTAGCATTTAATATGACAGCAGATATGACACGAGCCTTACCATTAAAAGATACTGAGGCAGGCAGGAAGATGAGATAGGAGAAAGGAACAGCAGAGAAACCGAAGGGGAGCTGCTAGACATGACAGGGGTGGGACAGGAGCTGAGAGACCTCGCTGGTGCAGAGAGCCTTAGCTGGGGTCTTTGGCCTCAGTGGGATTTCTGAGCAGCCTTAGGATCAGGGAGAGCAGGTGCCAGCCCCTTGCTTCCCACCAAACTCATTTCAGTCAGCTCCTTCACAGAGTGATTGTTCCCAGGAGACTAAGCCACCAGCAAGGCAGCCTGAAGCCACTTTGGTGCACAGGAAGGACCTCCGGGGAATGCCCTAGTGGGAAACAGCATCTGAGTGTCTTTACTCAGGCAGGTGGCCCTGGAGGAGATGCTCACACCTTGGGGCTTCTGAGCACTGCCAACTAGTAGCATTTAATCTTCACAGAGCCCAGAGCATCTGGCCTTTGGCGTTCAGCTTGACAGCACATCAGGAGATTTCCTCATCTGTTTTAACATCTTGTCTCTAAGCCCATTGGAAGTCACTACAGAGAAACCAGCCCCTGGTTCAAGGCTTAATCCTCCAGGCCAGAAGCGAGAGGGCATCTCTGGGGCTGGAGAAGCGTGGCGAGTTGGGCCTCACGCCTCAGCTTCTGCAGCCTTCTGCTGCTTCCTTTTGTTTAACCGCCACTGCCTGGCGACACTTCTTCCACCCACTGCTCCGCTGGCAGCCCTACTTAAAGCATGAGCCATTCGTCACCTGCATTGATGTCCCTGGGAGGTGCCACCTTCCGTACTTGAGTACCACTGTTCTGGAAGACAGACTTATCTGCCTGAAGGAACATTCTAATGGCTCTGTCCAGCTTTGTCCCTTGTTACCCCACTGCCCTGCCACCAACCCGAGACCTCTGGAGTCCTCTGAGTGCACCTGCCCTCTGCCATCTGCTGTGTCTTTTCCTCATCTCACGCTTCATCATCCTTTCAGATTCAGTTGTAATATTCCTTCCTCTGCAAAAATCTCTCCAACCTCACTTATTCCAGGGCCTGTGCTAAGGGCCTTATTGTACTGTTATTTAATCATTACAACCCCCCTGGAAAGTTCATTTTAGAAATAGGAAAATTACGTATTTTGCTTAAAGTCACACAAACTAGTAAGGATCAGAGCCAAGATTTGAATCCAAATCCACACACTTTATGAAATCTCTCCTGTCAGGTGTGACCCTCACTCCCTCATGACACTTCAGGAAGGTAGATGGCACTGACCTGAATTTCCCATCCAAGGTCAGACTCAGCCCTCAACTGGCAAACCTTTTTTCCTCTGGCCTCACTGATTTCTGCCTTCCCCAATTACCCATGGTGCTCTCTGCTACTTAGGTCTTGTTGTGAGCCCCTTTTGTGGCAGTTAACTCTCTTAAGTTTTTCAAAAGATAGGCTTCTCTGCTTTTCCACTTTCATCTGCCATTCCATCTTTAAGCTTACCTTTTCCAGAAAATTGTTGATGTGCTAGAGGGGGACAGGAAACAGAGAAGTGACTGGTGCATATTCAAAATGTGTAAAGGATTCTTGGAGCAGAAACCAACTGCAAATGCTTGTAAGTCTACTGAAAGCCTCTTTCATCAGTGAGAATGTCAGCTCGATGGAAAACTAGTAGGCAGATTTGTGAGGCCTTGTGGGTAGGGAAATCTAGCTAGTAAGGCACTGAAGCTTCCTGTCATTTCTGCAAATTGGCTTTGAAACCAAGGTCTGACTCCAAGGTGTTACATGCCTTTCCCCAGGTGGCGCTCCTCCCAATGTAGATCCCGAAGCCTACTCCTGGTTTCAGTCTGTGGACGCTGATAGAAGTGGCTACATCTCCATCAAGGAACTGAAACAGGCTCTGGTCAACTCCAACTGGTCCTCATTCAATGATGAGACATGCCTCATGATGATAAGTGAGTCCTGGCCCTTCTCTGTGGGCTTGAGCTGGGGCAGAGCCACCTGACAGTTGACACTAGATGGGCAGGCAGCCACTCTGAGGACAAGTCCTTTGGTCAAGGAGGAAGCTGGTTTCAAAGCGCGAATCCCTGGACTGAGAGTTCTTTCCCTTGGATCTTTCCTAAGTTCCAGACCACTAAGTTATAGGTTGACTCAGTTTCCCATCCTGTATATAGGGATCCCCCTGCCCCACCTCGGGTAGTAAACAGCAAGGATTGGGATTTGCATGGATCCAACTCCTTGTGATGCAGCCACCACACCAGTGGCGAAAACAGCTCTGTTGGGATGGAACTGAGGGCAGCTGGGTTGGAGGCTGGTGCTGCATTTGATACTGGTGTCTTAGATACAGGGATCTTGGCCTAAAGCCTTGGTTCTGTGGACTCTCCCAAGCCAGCCAGGGTAGTAGGGCTCCCTCAGTGGTATGCTTGGCCCTCGGTTTTGAGACCTTCCTCTCCTCCTTTTTGCTACCCCTCAGACATGTTTGACAAGACCAAGTCAGGCCACATTGATGTCTATGGTTTCTCAGCCCTATGGAAATTCATCCAGCAGTGGAAGAACCTCTTTCAGCAGTATGACCGGGACCATTCAGGCTCCATCAGCTACACAGAACTGCAGCAAGGTGAGGGCTTGGAAGGTGCATGGTGGGCAGGCCAGAGGTAGACTCTCTTTACTCCCTACGATGCAACAAAGTTTTTCTTCTCACTGCCAAATATTCACCTCTATCTACCCCAAAATGTCCCTTAGTGCAGGTCCATTTACCTCACTGTTGTGACCTGGTTGGGGCACTCAGTTGAGATCCAGAGCAAGCAGAGAATGAGGGCTGGAGCACCTGGTGGTGGGACACCCCGCCGGTCCGGCTAAGCTGGGTGACATAGCCCCAGATGACACAGAGCCTAAGAGGAGGAAAGGTGATGCCCTGGGCACTCGGAGACCAGTGTGTTCTGTGTGTGTGATCACTTCCTCTCATTCCTAGCATGGAGGATGGAAAGAGCTCTGCGCAGGGCCTCAGAAAGATGGGCTCTCTTGGTCCCAGTCTCTTTCCCAGTGTGGGACTCAGAGCACTCTAAAGTTGCAGCTGGGTAAGGTCATCTGAAGCCACAGGTCTAGGTATCTTTCTAGACTCTATAAGGCCAGTGGGGGAAGGAACTGTAGGAACTCAACAAGAGAGTTTTGCTACTGAGGAGGGGGAAACGGCTTCCAGAGTCTAGTTCCTTGCCCTGGTCAGGGTTTCACTCAGACTAAAGGAGTCTGGTGGGAGTGAGCACGCCGCATGCACTCCCGGCAGAGAGGAGATGATCATTACTCTTCCCAACTTCTGTTGTGGATGTGGGAAAGGCTGACACTGACAGCAGCAAAACTAGTATTTAGTGAATGCTTGCTATGCCTTGGGCACTGTAATAAGCATTATTAATAGGTGTATAAGCTCATTCTTCCCATGCATTAGATCCCATTTATTATTCCACAGCCCTTGGTGAGGATCCCTTACGGTCTCCTTTCTACAAAGGAGAAAACTGAGGCTTAATGTATATAACTTGCCTAAGTATACACGGAGCTAAAGGTGAGCTGAGGTTTGATCCTGGGATGGTAAGTTATGTGGAGAAGAAGGCAGGAAGCATCTCAGGGGGAGGTGGCAGTCTTGGAACTGTCTAGAAGTCACATGTAGGGAGACAGTGATTGCATTAAAACAGTACTTACTAAGGGCCAGGCACTGTGCTAAGTTTAGGACATGATCACCCCCTTTAATTCTTACCGAACCCACAAGGTTAAGTATCAGCTCCATTTTTTTTTTTTTTTTTTTGTCTTTTTCCTTTTTTATCGGTACCAGGGATCGAACTCACAACTGCCTGCTTGCAAGGCAGGCGCTTATGCCGCTGAGCTAAATCCCCAGCCCCTAAGTATCAGCTCCATTTTAGTGGTGATAAGACAGAAGGATAGAGGGGTTAAGCACCTTGCCCTGGCCAGAAGAAAGCCAGCGTGCCCAGAAGGCTTCCTGCCTTCTCCACATAACTTACCAACCCAGATCAAATCTCACTTCGGCTTTAGCTCTGTGGGCCCTTAGGCTTGCTGCTCCCCCAGGGCTGTGCCGCCTTGGAGGTCTGCCCTCCACAGGGTGGTCCCAGGGAGCTTGGGTTTCTTCTGTGTGCAGATGAGCCAGAGATGACTACAGATAAATCACTGTCATCCCAGAATAAACAACAAGGGAAATGTGGAAGAGGGGGGGCTTTCAATGAAGGAGAGTAGCCGAGTCCCTGCCGTGCTCCTGACGTCTTGAACAGATCTTGGGATTTCATTGTCTCTTTATGCTTCTGTGCTGATCCTCAAAATCCCCCAGTCTGCTGTGCTCCAGTGTTAGGGGTTGATGGAGGTGCTCACAGCAGGCTTTTGTGTCTGTTCTCTGTGCCCCTCTCCAGCTCTGTCCCAGATGGGCTACAACCTGAGCCCGCAGTTCACCCAGCTCCTGGTCTCCCGCTACTGCCCTCGCTCTGCCAACCCTGCCATGCAACTCGACCGCTTCATCCAGGTGTGCACCCAGCTACAGTTATTGACTGAGGCCTTTCGGGAGAAGGACACCGCTGTACAGGGTAACATTCGGCTCAGCTTCGAGGACTTTGTCACCATGACAGCGTCTCGGATGCTATGACCCAACCTCCAAGGACTTTCCTGGCTCTTTAGCATGGGAGAAGCATGTGGGCCTCCCTTCCTGTCCCTTATAGAAATTCTTCCTTGCTTGGCACAGCACAGTTCCCAGAAGCTGGAAGTCCTACATCAGAGTCACCAAATAGGGAGGCCCTGGCCTGTGGCTACCCACATAAGAGCCTGACCTAAAGCAAGTCTTGGCAGTTGACTGTTCTGCCACTCCCAAACAGTTGGCTGGCACAGCCTGGTACCAGAGGCAGGAGGTGCCAGTCATGGCAGTGGAGTTAGTGTCCAGTCTGGCCTCCAGGTTTCCTTTCTATCCTGCTGCTAATAGTAAACCCTTGTCAGCTTCTTACCATTAGTGCCTGTCTCCCCTCACCCAGGCCATCTTGTCCAGAGCCCAGTTTCTCCACGATGGACTCTGAGAATAAGAGAGATTTTCCTGTAGGACAGTGGCTTGAATTTCCCACATCCACGAATCCTCGTGTGTGAACTTCTAAATGCCGGGGGCTATCCCTGCTCAGGGAGCTTGGGTATATGCCCTTTGGATATCTTTGGCCAGGCAGTTGCCCTCTGAGACTTGGACCCTTCCCTTGCCTGCCACACTGTGCTCAGCTTCAGTCCCCAGGGGACCATGTCACCCCCTACTGCCAATGCTTTTTTTTCCAGTTTTTTTCACTTGGGGCCAAAAGTCCAGTGAAATTGTAAGCTTCAGTAAAAAGATACCGTTCTAACTCTGGCGTTGTTTGTTTTCCACCACAATTTCCCAGCTACAGGTTCTACTCATCTATTCATTCGCTTGTTTATTCTTCCATTCAGCAGATATTTAACTACATACTATATTCCAAACCATACGGAAAGATGTGGCTGGGGCCGGGGCAGGCTGTGGCTGATGGGGCTCCTCTCACTTTCCAGGGTGAAGTTGGGGTGGCAGGCAGCTCACTTTGTCCTGCCAGGTTCACTTCCATGTGGCTGAGGATCAACTCAAGAAACTGACCATGTTTCATAGAAGTTTTAGGCCGACACGCTAGGCTGGAAGCAGCCACCCCAAACCTTTCACATCTTGACTTTTTTTATTATTTTAGACCTGAGTTTTATCTTCCAGACAAACTCCATTTATGAAGTCATAACTTTTCCCCCATTTTTATTAAGCACAGATATCTGTACCTGCCAGTTGGATCTCTAGATCAGCATGATACCCAGTCTACCCTGGAAGTCTGTAAGGAGCTGACAGAATTTCAATCAAAAGCTGAAGACACCAGACATTCTAGTTTTCCAGGGGAGCCTTATCACTGGTAATGGTGTGATTATCCTTTGGCTTTTAGAGATGAAGATAAGAGCTTTGAGGCCTTTTCTCCCTGCAGTGCAGGGAGTAGCCATAGCTGTTTAGCAAGCCTGTGAGGCCCAGCAGGCAAGTCAGGCCCAGCCAGTTCAGCCCCCGTCTCTGCACTGCTGTGCCACTGGGATCCAGAATTAGATGAGACCTAGTTCTCAGGGGCCAGGCCCCATCTAGAGCTAATACTCCCCCACAGGACACGCTAGGAGTCCAGCTTCTCCTTGCAAAACTCTGATGACAAAGACTCAAGCCCTCACTAGCTGGCTCATTTCCTCTTTAACTGGTGGAAACTTCTTCGTGATGTGGATTCTAAGCCATTGGTTTTCTCTTTAGGGCCACATCACCCTTACTGCCTGCCAATCACATGGGTAGTGCAGCTCGCCACACACACCCCTCCACACCCATTCGCAGGTGCTCCTCAAGGCTACATAGCCCTGGGCTCTTCAGCTGCTCTTTACTCAACACCTGAGTTGCCCACATGGAAGCATAAAAGCCATCGTGCTGCTGGGTCTAACTACCAGCCCATAGGGCAGAGCTGAAGCCATTAGAGGAAGCCCTTATTGCCTGTTCTTGCTGAGTATCCGCTGAAGCCTACCATTGTTTTTTAATTCTTTACATGGTGTTGGGGATCAACCCCAGACTTTACACTTTGTAAAGACAAATGCTTTACCACCGCTATGCCTCCAGCTCCCAACCCTGTCTTCAGAATGGTGTCATTCACTCTCTCTAGCTTTGTGTTAGGGTAGATAAGAAGCCCAAGTCCTGGGTAGATCCTTGCAGACATGGTTGGCTCGGCTGGGGGCCCAGTGCTCATGCCTTGTTCTGCATGCCTGATCTCTAGATGTGCCTTGTGAGCCTTGCCAACAGCTCTGGAGCCTAAAGCCAGTGGGAGCACAGAGGCACTGGATAACCCGTCCCTCCTAGCAACAACTACACTGTCCACTGTGAGCAGGGGCTGTGCCAGTGGCTCGGAGAGAGATGATACACAGCACCTATCCACCTGCTCTGGGTAAAGGGGGTACCCAAGAGAAACCATGCCTTGGCATTCCTGGGCTGTGCCTCGCAACCCACTCTGCTTTTGACAGCTGAGGGTGGGGAGCCCATGACTCCATTAATCAATTTAAACAGACCTAGTGGGCCGCATGGCTGAGTTGCCCCAGGCCAGATGTCTTCTGCGTCTCCCTGCAGAGCAGGACTTCAGAATGTACTCACATCCTGCTCTGCTGATGAGGATCAGGGCCTCTGGCAGCCCTGTAATCATCTTGGTGGCAGCTGGAGCACGTCCGGCCAAGTCTATAACTTTCTCTTTTTATCCTGGGAGTTCATAGAGAATAAATGAAGCCCTGATTTCTAAGAAGGTGAAGGAACAGTAAGTCGGCTAACCTGCTGCCTGCCCACCCTATCGTCTTTCTTGCTACAGGCTATTGGGCTGGGAGCAGGCAGTGTGTCAAAGGTCAAGGTTCTGGGCATCAGAGGCTTGGCACCACTGAGAAGGCAGCACCGCCCTTGGAGGCCTGGCCATGTCCATCGGGACTGGAGGGAGAGGAGGTCTGCAGATAATAGCATTTCAGTGCCTTCTCATCTTGCCTTCCCCCCAGCCACCCCATCTTTTACTACTAACCTGAGCAGCATGGATTTTGTGTAATGACAAGGAAAGGGAACATTCAGTGCCAGGCTTTTAATTACAGTTGCTTCGGGCTGCTGGCCTCCATGCTGAACGACTGTGTGGAGAGCATTTTATCACAGCACAAAGCCAACAGGGTCCAACCTATTGTGTGTGCATTCAGAACCTGGTGAGGATGGGCTGTGCTCATGGCCTCACTGAAGGGCTGGGCCCAGATTAGTTCACACAGGCACCAGGACAACTGGCCAAGTGCAGCCTGGGCTTTAGGGAGCCCCTGGTCCAGATGCAAATGCTGTGGGAATGTTTATAGCAGACGCCAGGGAGAGTCTATAATAGGCAGGAGAGAAAGGGGTCTTTGGGAAGAAGGCCAACATTGAGGATGATGAGGGCGGGCAGTACCTTCGGGTATGGCCAAGCGAGAGAAGTACACCAGTAACCATATCCGCAGCATCTCACGGTGTGCAGAGAGCTTCCCACTACTTGGGCATGGGATCAACCCTGCTTAGAGAACACACACTCAGAGAGGAGAACGACTTGCTCAGAGTCACACAGGCAGAAAATCAGGACTGGAGCTTCAGCCTTTCACCCAGCAGCCTTTCCAGGGGTAGATCCCAGGAGCCAAAGAGCAACCCAGGCAGGAATCAGCTGCATCACTCAGAGCCTCCAGGGTGGTCCTTGCTCAGGGCAGCACTGTGGTGACACTGGTGAGCACCACATGCTCGGAGACTCTGGAGACGGAGCACCGGCTCTGCAAGGACAGGGACTTGTGACCAGCAGAGGATCGCAAACTGGGGTCCTTCAGAGAGCTGCAGGGACCCAGACCAGGGAGGCAGCAGGAAAAGGCAGCCTTAAACTGCTCCCGGAATTTGCCTTGGTTGGGAGACAAAAGACACAGCTGTAAGGAAACAAATACAATGGGAAGGAGCCTTGAGCCCAAGGGACACCCACACAGCTCCAGCCTAGCTGCCTGTGAGGGGTAGGGAGGGAGGGTGGAACTGGGATGGAGAGAGCCCCAGGGCAACCTCAGTACTGCCTGGGAGAGAGACAGAGGCCCCTGCCCTTCGCGAGCAAAAATGCAATTGTCATCTGATTCCTTGACTGCACTCTGGCTTAGAGCCTGGCTCAAGACGTGGTGTCTGGCTCAGGAGCCTCAGGTCACCTCTGCCCCTCTCGGTGTATATGTGGAAAGGGTTCAAGGCTTACTCTGTTGCTAGGCTTTTTCAAGCTCTGCCCTCTGAGATGAAATGCAACAGCAAACCTTGCATTTGGCAGTCACACTGTGCCAGGCACTGTGCCAAGTACCTCAGCCTCTGCCCCCTGGAGCATCTCTGCACCCTGAGAGGCTGTAGAGCAGCTCACTCAAGCTCCCTCAGCCAAAACCCTTCTTTTAAAGGAGAAGGGACCACTGCACATCACCCTGTGTGGCCCAGGATTATTAGGGGACCAGAGGTGGTTTTGGTACAAACCCTTCCTGATGAGGCATCTCTGGTGCTCAGTGTAGGGTCGCACACAGTAAGTGCTCAGTGAACACAGACCAGACAAAGGAATCAGGAAGGCACTTGTCCTTCCTTTACTCTCCTGGTCCCTGAGCTGCAGTCCAGGGTAAGTCTTGAGTCACAGTGATGATTTTACTATTGACCTCCGATCTCTTCAGGAACCTTTGAACTATTTCTGAAAGTTTATTTGGGTCCAAGTTTAAGTCATCTGCACCTGCTCCTTATGAGTCTGGTCCCTGGTCTGATGTTTTGTAAGTCACTTCTGTTGGGCCAAGCCTGAAGGGCCAGTCCATGACCAGCCTAAGACTAGGAAGTAGAGGTGGGTCCTCTGCTGCAGGACCTCAGGAAGCCCATGGCAAGAGCGGGGTCCAAAAGAGTGGGGCTTATAGAGGGAAGGGTCAGAGGGCCCTTACTGGAGGTAGACCCAGGGGTAGCCCCCAAGATTCTGGCCACCCTGCCAATCAATGTGTCTGTCTGGGCAGGCAGAACCCCTGGACTGTCGATGCTGTTGGTACTGTTATACCTGACTCCTGGATTATACAATTGTACCCTCCGGCAGGGGCTCCTGACTTCTCATCTCCTGGGCTGGGCTCCCTCTGGGAAGATGGACTGCTGCGCATGCCCCTACTGTTCCAGCCCCTGCCCTTCCACTTGTTCACTAGTGCAGAATCTGCTACTCCCTCCTGGGTGCGGGCCACTGGTAGAAGTGTAGCCTGTCCACCCTTCAGAGCAGAGTTCCTCAGGAGGGCGGAGTCTCCCAAAAGACTGGGCCTTCTCACCGCAGAGTTCCATTGCCCAGGAGAGAGCAGGTAAATCCTCCCCTGACTGTTCTGGGAGTTTCAAGTTTCAAGCCCCTGGGATGAGGCTGGTCCCAGGGACCACTGGCCCTCAGTCACTTCCTGCTCAGCCCACTCACCACTGAGGAAGTTGTAGATGATGGGGTTGGCGGCGCTGTTGGCATAGACCAGCCAGTGGGAGAAGGTGAAGCAGGCGTAGACGGCTTCTCGGTCACTGGCTTGGCGGAACATCCCAAACACCCTAGGACCAGGGGGGATGACAGTTAGGAATGGGGTGTCTGGGGCTGGTTCTCACAGACCTCTTGGGTTCCCACTACCCACTTCTGCCCACTGCATGGCCCTTGCCTGGACTGTGGATCTTGACTACAGTTTTGAGTACTTAACACAGTGTGTAAAATAGGAACAAGAATCAGGACTTATCTGCTTAGTCACCTGCTCCCCTGGGCCCCAGCTACCTTCCTCACAGCAAAGTGGTGAGTCATAGACTTCATCTGCTTTTCAGCTAGGGAAACCGAGGCTCAAAGAAGAAAGGTGACAAGCTTAGAGTCACACACCCAAGACATGGTCACACACAAACCTAGACTGTGTCTTTGCAACCGTCCATGCACTTTCCCAGCACCCCAGGGTCCCTCATCTGCCATGCTCTTGTGTCCCTCTGCCTACACTGCTGGCCCTCCAGACTCTCCAGGCTTGTTCCTCCAAGTCTCTGCCCATGTCATTTCCTCCAAGAGTCTTTTAGAAGATTGTAATATCTAAAACAACAACAACCCCCACCCCGACCTCTGTCACTGTCAACTCTGTAGTCTCTTTCCTAGCAACTACAGCTACCCAGTGACACACATGGGTCTTTCTGTTTCTTTGATCTCACAATGGAGCATGGCCTCTGTCAAGGCAGCAACTTTTGCCTGCCTTGTGTACTTGTTTACACTAAAACTTGATGACACTGGTGCTAAGGAACCAAAGATGATTGTTGGTTCCACTTGGTGACTGAGGATACGAGGCACAGAGCTCAGAGGAGAGCAGAGAACTTACCCCAGATGCCCAGTGCAGCAGCAGTCGGGCAAGAAGAGTCCCTTCATCAGCCCCACAATTCCGCCCACTCCCACCTGCTCCCTCACGCTCTCACCTCTTGAGGACGTTGAGGACGCTGATGGGCAGGTAGCAGAGGGCGAAGACCAGCAGCACCACCATCAGCATCTTGGCCGTCTTCCTCCGAGCTTGCATCTGCTTCACCTCGGCCAGAAAGGCGCGGGCCCGGGGCTGGGGCTCTGCGCTGGGGCCCTGCCCCTGCTCCTCCAGCTGGTCTGAGGGCCGCTTCCAGTTCCGTACCAGGGCTGAGGTGGTGCCAGGGATCTGTCACAGACACAGACACAGCAGTGCTGGGTTCTTGGCAAGGGCCATTTTGTTTTGCTGGGCCCACTCTAGGCTGGACCATGCAGCAGAGTGGACGTGGGCCACCATAAACCCTAGCAATAGGGCAAACCTGATGTTCATGATAAAGATGAGTTTTCTGGACTTACGGAGCAATGTGGCTCTGGTGGGGACAAATGGTGTCACTCACCAGGGGAAGGGGCTCCAAGATTAGAGCCTCATTCTCCATTGTTAGCTCATTGTGAAAACACCTGCAGCATGCTTTTGGAAAGGTGTTATTAGCCCTTAGCTGTCATGAGCCCCATAGAGGAGGGGGGCCCCTCCCCAGCCATTCAACTTCCTTATCCCCAGCTCCATCCATGGGATGAGTTGTACCTCTCCCTGGCCCACGTCAAACTGTGGGGAGATCTGGGCAAGGGATGGCAGGAGGGCAGCAGGGATGGCCCTGGGCCTCAAAGCATGACAACCTGGGGCTGGGGATTTAGCTCAGCGGCATAAGTGCCTGCCTTGCAAGCAGGCAGTTGTGAGTTCGATCCCTGGTACCGATAAAAAAGAAAAAGAACAACAACAAAAAAAATTTCCTTGGGCTGGGGATTTAGCTCAGCGGCATAAGCGCCTGCCTTGCAAGCAGGCAGTTGTGAGTTCGATCCCTGATACCGATAAAAAGGAAAAAGACAAAAAAAAAAAAAAATCTTGGCTTTTCGTTGGGGCTGGGGTTTAGCGCCTGCCTTGCAAGCAGGCAGCCATGAGTTCGATCCCCGGTAGCGATAAAAAAAAAAAAGAAAAAAAAAAAAGCATGACAACCTGCCTGAGTTGATGCCCATAAGCCTGGGATGGTTCTGGGCTCCTCAAATCCCACTGTCCCATTGCCACCATGGGAACCTGAATCATCCCATAACAGAGGGCCAGGGGGCTAGAATGCAGGAAACATAGAGTCTGGAGTCAGCTGGACAATCATGGGCAATGTGGCCTATGATTCCCACCATGGGTTCCCACCTGTCAGATGAGGACAGTGTCTCTGCCCTACAGGACTGGGAGTCAGAAAGGAGCAGATGGCAGCGTGTGGGGAACCTAAGCCTTCCTCCATGGCAGGGCCTGGATCTGACCTATCCATCTCCCCACCCACACCCTGCATGGCCTGGGTGTGTGTTAATAACTGTGTGGAGCATAAGTAACAATCGAGCCTGAGCACACTCTGGCCTGCATATTCTCAGTGCCTGGTCCTGACCCAGTCTCACTCTGCTTGTGCTAAGGCCTCCACTTTAGTGGAGGAGAGAAGTCAGGCCCTGGTCCTGGCAGGCTCTGCCCTCACTGGCTTTGGCAGGAGGGGTGCTCTTGGTCAGCATTGTGGCAGGGAAATGCTGCCTCTTTTGTTAGATAGCTGTAAGACCCTGGATGCAAAGCATCATTTGGCAAGCAACTTGGAGCCGCTATTGTTGTGGTATTGCTACACCGAGGCATCGGAACCACACGGGGCCAGGTTTTAATCGAGATGTTTACTCACCAGTGAGTGCTTTGGGGGACCTTACATTGCTTCTCAGGGTGTCTGTTTCTTACATATTAAGTGGGGGATGAAATGTGGTAGCAAAGAGGCTACAAAGTGAGCCAGGGGCAAATCGTACAATAAACTAGAAGGATGTTGGTGACTCTTGTATCCCAGGGCAGGGACAAGTACTTTGAGCCCTGCGATCCCGAGCCTCTAGGTCTGGCCTCCCCTGCAGGGCCACAGCCAGGAGAGCATGTGCTGCAGGCAGAAGACTGACTGTACCCTTGGATTGTGGCCCCGTCCCTGTCCCTCCCAGTCAGTTCCACCAGAGCGGGCCTCACCTGTCGGCCCCAAAGCTTGCGGAAGATCTGGAAATAGGCCATGGCCATGAGGGCCAGTGGGGCCAAGTAGGTGACGATGAAGAAGCAACTGTGGTAGATCTTGGGGTACAGTTCATCTGTGGGAGCCAAGAGATGCGAGGGTCAGGCCCAGCCTCAGAGACCCATCCTGCCCTGAGAGCGATGCCACCCCGTCCCAACTAGGGCCAAAGAAAGGCTTGGGGCAGCTCTATCCCACATAGGCTCCATGGCAGTGTCCATTTTAGAGGGGTCCCCAGCAGCTAGGGGCACCCACATTGGAAGTATCCTGATAGTTGCCCACCATTACCTGCCCAGCGCTCGTCACAGACAGAGAAGAGCCAGGTGCGGTTGGCCAGCTCAGGCAGCACACTGCTGCATTCCATGACAGCAGCCTGGGGCACCATGACAGCCAGTGACACGGCCCAGATGCCCAAGATGGAGCCCCGGGCACGCCGGGCGGTGCTCTTGAACAGCAGTGGGTGGCAGATGGCATACCAGCGGTCCAGGGCGATGAAGCTGAGTGTCAGCACTGCCACTGACACCGACACAGCCTGCCTCATGGGGATATGACATTAGAGGTATGGAAAAGGCATCTGGGGTGAGGGGCACTGCCCAGAGACACTGGGTATAAGATAAATCCTGACTCTGCCACTTACTGGAGTCACCTGAGAAGTCACAAACCTCTGAACCTCATCTGCAGAATGGGAATATACTGTTTACCTGGCAGGATTCTGGTGAGACTAAATAAAATCATGTATGAAAAGTGTTCAGTTAGAGACCTGGCGTAGGGTAGGTGTTCCCCTACTGTGAGTTATTACTTATACTTACGGAACTTACTATGTGGCAATACTGTTCTCCTTATCCACATAACAACCCATTAGATGAATGCTATGCCATAGATGAGGAAACTGAGGCACAAAATTCTCTCCTCTGTCTGTCTTCATGCTTAAGATCACCAGAACTAATCAGCTGAGTGGAAAACCTCAAAAGACTGGGAAGTCCAGGAGGGATTTCTCTCACCCAGGAAAGCCACGCCTTCTCAAGAGGTTGGGAAAAAGCCCTCATTCCGGGAGGCAGAGATGAGTGTGGGCCAGCAGTGTGGGTGGCATTGCCTCCGGGGGTGGCATATACACATCTGGCCCCTTGGGGTCAGGAAGCAGGCCCCACAAGGTTAGTAACTGTGTCACCGTAGCCTTGTCCCTCTCTCTTCTGTGCACCCATGAACTCAGTGATGACTCTGTGTGTGCACACGTGGCCATGTGAAATGTCTGTGACAGGGAGGGGACCTGTCTGAGCATGTGAGACTGTTTGTGAGCTCTTCATGTGTCCGTCCTGGTAGTAGGGATGACTGACAGTAGGGATGACTTTGCAGGGATACTGAGTGACCTACGTAAAGCCATGGGTGGGTTCAGATGGGTGTGACCAGCTGGTGGCTGGTGCTGATAGCCCTCACCTGTAGATAGGGGATGACTTTGCAGAGGGTATGGCCGAAGAGCCATGACTCAGTGATGTCCACTAGCAGGCTGGCCGGCAGGCAGATGGCTGTTACCAGCACGTCAGCCAAAGACAGGTTAACGATGAAGTAGTTGGTGACTGTCCTCATGTGGTGGTTCCGCCACACTGCCAGACAGACTGGGTCATTGGGGAGAGGAATGAAGCCAGCAGCAAAGCCACGCCCACTCCAGTTCACACCCATCCAAGAAGTTCCCTCCCCCCATAGGACACTCCACTCCCCAGGGGAAGCTCTCAGTGGCACAGCTCAAGAAGCAGACCTACCCAGGGTGTTGCCCACCAGCGCTATGAGGAACACGGCCACGTAGGCTGCGATGAGGACCCACTCATACTGCTTCGGGTACAGGTAATCACGCCACAGATAGCGCAGAAACTCGTCTTCATAGTCTGGAGGCACAAGGGATGGATCTCCACTACCAGTGGGGACCCCCGTCTGGGCCCCTGGGGTGGTTGAGGGCTCCATGAGGTCAGGAGCTGCTGCAATTAAGGGGCATCCTGGACTCCACGGGGACTGGAGAGCCTGGTCCGGTCCTCAGCTTGCACCCAGGTCTTTGGGTCCCAGCCTAAAACTCCTGGAAGAGAGAAAGAAGGGAACCTTAGGGACCGCGCCTGTCACTGCACATGTGTGCTGCCTCCTCTCTCAGCCGAGGACCTGGGTTACATCCGAATTCCACACAGGTTGCTTGTTTGTAACTTACCCCATCCCCTTCATCCTGTTACTCCTTCTAATGCAGTCCAGCCGCACCTACCTTCAGGGGGCGCGATGAGGAACAACACTCTCTAACCCAGGCTGAGAGCTGGCACAGGAGGCCAGCCTTACAGACGCAACCAGGTACCATTCCCAGGGAGCCCTGCTTTGCAGACGAGGAGAAGCCAAGCCCCTTGCTGCAGGTGACAGGGCGACTAAGCCAAGCCTATCGGAGTCACTGAACACTACAGAACTGGGAGAAAATTGGTCCGATTGCAAAATTTTTTTCCTTGATTTCACAGGATTAATTTTTGGTCAGAAAAAAAAGGTGGAGGCAGGTATTAGAGACCCAAGTCCCACCTACCAGACCCTACCTTGTGGGCACGCACACAAACACGCCCACGCCGGGAAGGATGCAGGAAGACTGTACTGATCACCTCCCTGGCTACTCCCCTCCCCCACCACATCCCATCTTGAGGGGTCCTCAGGCCCACCGCTAGGCCCTGCTTGAAACCCCGGGATGTGATGCTTCCCCGTGGCCGCCAGGGGTCTCTGGGCAGGTTCTCTGGCCGCTCTCCATTCATAAATCCGGCCTCTCTCCCTGTACCTCCCTCCTGTCTAAAACCCCTCCTTCCCTAGGTTGCGCAGGGAGGACCCCGGACTTGTGTTGTAGGGTTGATGGTCCCTGGAGACCGATGGGGGAGCGGGAGGAGCCTCTGCACCCCACGGGGCTCCGCCGACTGGTTCCCTTGGCGGGACCTCCCTCCATAGGAGGTTGCGGGGGGCTGCGGAGGGTGGGCAGCAAGAGCTCTCGGGGTTCTGCAGGAGTCTACCTGGAGGTGAGCGGAGTCGGATGATGACCCAGCCTCCCAGCATCCAGGTTACCCACCCCCAAATTCGGTCCCCCCACTCCCGCCACCGCAGGTCCCTAGGAACCCTGATCCCTAGCCCAGGGGTCTCCCACGCCCCGCACCTGTTGGCTTCGGGACCCGGGCGTTTTCGGCTGCTGGTCCTTGGACCCTGCACCCAGGACTTCGCCTTCCTCCAGGAAAGACCGGGCCCCTGGGCGCGGGGCTGGGGAGGGGGCCAGGGAGCCCCTCCTGAGGCTGCTGCCTGAGCACCCGGCTGAGTGCGAGCCCGGGTTCCAGCGCGGGCGGTGGCTTGGCGCGGGCTCCACCGAGCTGCGCGCTGCGGGAGGGCGAGCCCCAGCGGATCTGGGCTCCAGGTCTAACAGCCCGAGACCCAGAGGGCGGAGGGACTCGCTCATCCTCCTCGCCCGTCACTTCAAGCTTGCATCCTACCTCCATTCATGCGTCCACCCGCTCATTCATACGGTCCGCGTTCATTCAATATTTATGTCCCCCACCAACGCGCATTCAGGGCACGCCTAAAGTGCGCAGAGGACCCCTGGGCAGATTCGGGAACCAGCGCGCAGGGGTGGACCCATACGCCACCTCTGCTCGCCGCCTCACCTCGCTGATGAGGATGGTGGCACAGGTTGGTCACAGGGTTGAGACAACGCCTGCACCTCTTCCAGCCATGCTCTGGGCGCCGCCGGAGCAGCGCGCTCCCAGCGATGCCAGAAAGCCCTGCCCTCTCATCTCCCGGTTCTCTCGGCCCTTACGGCTCTGTTTTGTTCGTACTTACCTTTCCCCTCCCAAAACAGAAACGGGAGGTGAAGACAGGAGAGGACAGCCAGGGGGGCCCACGAATTCAACAAATATCTACCAGGCTGAGTGTGAGGCGACGAATCTATAAAATTCAGCAGCCATTCCTATAGGGTACTAGGTGTGTGACCTCAGTTAATTATCACATCGACCTGGTGAGGTAGCTGACCCTTCCCATTAGACAGATGAGGACTCTGGCGGGCTTGGCTCAGTAACTTGCCGAAGGTCACCCAGCAGAGTCAGAGCTGGGTTCAAGATTGGATTCCTTTCAGTTCGACCAGGTGGGTAAGCAGCCAGGCACCTCATGTATGGTGTGAGTGGAGCTGGGAGAGAATTCAGGGGTCACTGGGGCACAGTACGGCAGATGGCTCTGCAGGGGCTTCCTAGAATGGGAACACCTGCATGGAGATCTGAAGAATGGCCTTGTACCAGGCTGGCGTTGGATGGGAGGTTTTCAGGTAGAGGAAGCCGCAGGTGCAAGGGTTTGTGGATTGGGCCTTCCGGGAGTCACAGGTAGGCGAAGGGTGATGCTTCAGCTTCAGTCACTTTGGACATTCCCTGCCTCAAGACCCCGCCTGTTCCTCACTACTCCCCTCCTTTGAGGTGACTGCTCCAGCTTCCCTCGGCAGCCAAAACCCTCTTCAAAGGTGCTGGACAAGTTTTGTGTTGGGCACAGGACACAGGGGAGCTAGGGCTGCGCACTGGTGGATCCCGTGACTGTCACTTCTTCAGAACAGAAGGGAAAGCTGAGGCTAACCCCAGGGCGGAACTTTTTCCTAGGGCATCTGCACCTGGGGTGATGGGTTGTAGATTCTGTTGACTCCAAAATTGTCCTGCCTGCTCTAGTAGCTGGCAGAAGGGGAAGAGATGTGGGATTGAAGAAGAGATGGGCTGATGGGTATATCTGTGTGTGTGTGTGTGTGTGTGTGTGCACCTGTGTAGGGGTCACTGTATCACAGAAGGGTGTCTAGGTGATATGAGTTTGCTCTCTGTGCTTGTGGGTAGAAGATGAGCTTGAGTGGATGACTGGAAGTCACCCTGGGTGGGGTGTGTCTGTATGGTCTTGATTTCCCCTGTGTTTTGGTGCTTGTGTCTGTAGGGTGTGTATGTGTGTGAGGGGTCTATCTGAACTATGCTTTGACTGGCACAGGCCTCTGATGTGCTCCCCTGTGAGTGTGGAAGTGCCTTTGTGTCCATGACTCTGAGTGTGTGAATGTGAAACTTGATTACATCTGCTCCCACGGCGATGACTCAGCCCTCTGACTTACTCCCCGCTCCAACCTTCCATCCAGGGCTGCAACCATTTGCCAAGAATGGACTGGGGAGGGGGCTGCAGCATGTGGGGGATGGGAGGCAGGTCACACAAAGACAATCAAAGGACAGCTGCAGCAAAAGGGGTGCAGTCAGCGAAGCGGGAGGTGCAGATTCACGTGTATGGATGGTGGGCACCAGCTGAGCCCAGCACAGCCCAGGCTCAGAACCCAAACAAAACTCACAACTATGCAATTCACGACCTCCCCGACAATCAGGGTTGGAGTGATTAAAGGGGTCCTCGGCTCCCCCAATCATTGTATGTGGGCGTGCATGTGTCTGGGGAGTGAATCACAGCTGAGAGTCTCCTCACTCCAGCCAGACCATCCAGTTTCACAGAGAAAGTCCCATCTTTCTTTACGAGAGATCCTGCCAACTTTTTCCCTTTATTCCTATGTACCCCAAAATAGCTGCTCCCTAGACAAGAGATCATAAGGCAACAAACCTTCTCCTCCCACATCAGACCTGGGTGAGCAGTCAGCTGTAGGTGCAGGTCCCTCTGGACCGAATTAGGCCCATCCAGCTATAATTTGACAGTGGGGAAGCCTGTTATTTGACCGAGATGGGTCAGATGGAGACTCCAGAGTGTGCTTGGGGGAAATCCTGGGGTTCCAGGGCAGACTCATAGCACTTGTGGTTGCTTGGTCCTTGGGCACAGCAGCACTGGCCTTGAGAGCTCCGGGCAAAATGCCTGTGCCCAGAAGAGACCAGCAACCTTGGATCTGCTGTCTCCAGGCTGGGCCCTCATCCTGGCGCCTGCTTTGCTCAGTGAGGGCTGACCTGAAGCCTTGGATTTGCTCGAGCTGTCTGTCAAGTGGTGCCCACATGACCTCTTTCCTGGAACCAGCCAGCCCCAGCCATGTTGATCTAATCCTGAGTCTCTGAGCCACAAGTCCCTGTCACATCTGTCTTGAAGTGTCAGCCTGGGCAGTGGCCCCAGGTGCTAGCCCTCCCCCACTCTCCATTCCAACATGACTCACAGTAACCTCTGTCTGGTGAGGACTGGAGCAATTGAAATGTAATTGGGTTTTCCACTTGCTAATGCTCCTGTGGGCCTCAGGGTGTGCGCGAAGACTCTGTGCAGGGCAGGGGTGCTTTTTAGGAGGACAGAGATCAAAAAACAAGCAAGAGTAGAAGCAACAGGGACTGGGATGTGGGTCCAGAAAGTGGATTCTGGGTCTAGGGAAGTCACTGAGGCAAGCTGTGGCATTCGGGTGCTTGGGTCCAGCTGCGCTGGGTCTCTGAAAACACCTGTAAACTGTACACGCTTTGCCAAATGGCTGGGAGACATCACATCCTCTGTGTTCTGGGTTGGACGCTCATTCTATGGCCTCTTTTTTTTTTTGAGACAAGATCTCACTATATATAGTTTAGGCTGGGCTTGAACTCACCATGTAGCCCAGGCTGGCCTCGAACTCACTCCCCAGGTGAGGCAGGGGAAAAAAGACTGAAGAGAGCAGTTTCCTATCTTTTCACTCATTCATGTGCTCACTGAAAGCACACTGATGGCTGGCCAGAGGGAGGGGCTGCTGTTAAGGCTGGGACATTGTCACATGCAAGTGTTGGGGGATGGTATCGGATACCTGCAGAGCTCAGGCAGGAAGTGAATGGAATCAGGACAATGCTAATGCATGTGAGCCCCCCCCAAAAACTGGCCAGTCTCCAGAGTGCGTCAGGTCTAGTGTGGAAGGGAGGGTAGGAGCATGGGTGTTGGGGCCAGGAAAACTAGACTGCCAGCTCTGCTGATTACTATGTGGTCCTAGAATGGTCACTTCCTTAACTTCTGTAACCCACTGAATCGTGGCCCCCAAAGATGCCCAAAGTAGCTGCAGTGTATCACACAGGTGCGAGAAAAAAAAAGCCATTCCAATACCTGGAATCTGAATGTGTCACATGCAAAAAGGACCTTGCATATGTGGCTAAAAAAGGATGTTGAGGTGGGAAGATGATTATAGATTATCCAGGCGGACCCAGTATGACCACAGTCTTGCAAGAGGGTGGCAGAACATCAGAAAGAGATGTGATGAAAGAAGCAGTGGCCAGAGCAATGTCACTGCTAGAATGGCCACCAGACGAGGAACACGATGGCCTTAGAAGCAGGTGCTCCCCCAGAACCTCCGGCAAGAATGAAGCTCTGCTGTTTCCTGGAGTTTTGAGATCTGACGCCCAGTACTGTAAGGCCACTAAATTGGTGGTGATCTGTTACAGCAATAACTGGAAACTGACACCCTTTCTGTGCCCCCTGTCACTAGTTATGAGACTTTTGCAATTTCCATTGCATGACGACTCACCAAGACCATGCAATCGTGCAGCGCACCAGCACAGCAGAGACAGACACAGGCCTAAGCTTACTATTTTACCAAAGTCAAAGTGCCCATCAGAGGAAAAATTGGGTCTCTGTTAGCCATCCTTACAGTTTTACATTATTGGTATTTTGAGTCACATATTAGGGCTGAGGGCTATCTGAGCTCTAAATCCTAAAACACTGGATAATATTAGTTGTGGGCAATGATCATAGTAAATGTGTGCTACTGTGGTTATTTTGATACAACAACATGCAAGGGAAAG